GCGCCCTCGAGATGCCCACGATCCGTCGTAGACTTCAGCCACAGTTCCATCTGGAAGATCTATAAGCGGAGCTTCTCCCGCATGCGATCTTCCGTGTCGTGGAATCGTCTGACCTCCCATCTTCGCTCATATTACTGTATAAAACGACAGTGGGCCCCGGATCTAAATCGCAGCTAACCTCCGTCGCGATGAATTCACGACAACTCCTTAGAAGGTGCCTTGTCAGTGAAAAGGGGGCCGGCCGTTGAACCAACATGGATCGGTGATTGCGCCAACGGAGGCTGCGCCGGCCCCGCCCATACACCTTGCATTCAAACCGCTATCACCGACGGACTTACGAGTCATTTTGTGAGCAGTACTTCATCAGACAGATACAAGTCGTACTGCACTCATTCAAGGTTCCTCAGATGGGATCTTACACTCATCAAGACGAGTGCTGGTCACTGATGTTGAACTGTGCTGATCGTATGAGAACCCGGGGCAGAAACCGGCTTACTCTGGCAAAACAGCTCCCCAACGAGATTCCATCGACTCGATACTCGCCTTCTGAAGATCTTCGGCATACCGATAGCGCCGAGTTTCCCGATTCCTCGCCGTCGACTGCGGGTCGCTTCCGCACAACCGACTTCTAGACGGTCCGATAAGCGGATCTCTCGAGCAAACAGCTGCTGAGGTTTAGATCGGAGAAGGTGATGGGATAGGAAACATTCAAGCTCTGTAGTGGAGCTAGCCCCTGCGTAGGATTTCAATCGAAATAGCTGTGTCTTTGCGGCGGGAGATTGAAGTGATGTCGTGTCTACAGATCATGACGTGCGACGTTCGCGATTTGTTCGCCAAGGTCTACGGGTCCCGACAAGACGTCGGACTGTGCAAGGATTTGACCCGTTTAGATTCCTCTAAAGATAGTCAAAAGATCTCTAGAGTGCCTTAAGTCGGCTAGATCTCGCCTACATTCGCTTCCAGACCAACCATTCACCGAATCATATCATGGATAAGATTAAGAATTTCTAGGAAACTAGAAAAGATCACTGTGGTCAATGAGGCTGTCGTCATCCCGCCCATCGCTTACGCCTTGGTCTACGACTTTCTGCATATTCGATTGGCGCTACCAGAATTGCTTGCATGAGAAGTCCAGCACTGAACAAAGACTCGGATCAGCCACGAGGTGCTATGGCTTATTCCGCAGGGCTGTAATATATCGGGCTCAAGCTTCCCCACTTCGCTCCCGTGCGGGTAACTAGACCAGCTCCTACAGTTATTTGATCGAAGAGCCACCGGACTTCGCTCCACGCCTCTCGTTTCTGACTGCCGGAACGAGCCGGTGTTGGAGTACAATAGCATCAAAAGTGGGGGCCAAAATTGATGTAATACATTAATTAGTAAATTCGACCGTCGAGGATGTCTGAGCGCCCTGAGGGAACGAACATCGTGCCCGGGCCCCGAGTCATTTTCACTCAGCAATTTCCAGCCACATCTGACCCTTTCTCTGCCAAGAGTCCTCGGAGCCTGGCCGTTCAGAACGCCACTCTCGCCTCTCGGCTCTATCGCCAGAGCTAAGCTTAGGGGTCACGGACTCGTTCAACTCTTTGAACATGGTGCCTCGTTAGATAACGTTGCACACTCGCTCAGGATTCGTGAGCAGATTGAAAGTGCCCCGCGCGCAACCGGTTTCTCGTACGTCAGCGGCAAGCAAAGACCAACGCAAAGCAGGAGAAAACAGTCGGGGCCGACAAAGGGCAACCCAACGCAATGGGTGGCGTGCTCCAGAAGGATAGATTGCTCGCGGTAGGAAGCGATGGCGAGCTGTGGTGTCGATAACGGCATTTCGGAGACATGGAGTGGAACTTGGATATCAGCACTGAGTCGGCGAACGCCTCGACCGGTGAGACGTGTTGTAAGGGTCCAATGGAGCCCGGGTGAAAAGGCCCGATGAGCGACGAGGGATGGCTGAACAGGTAGCTGCGGGGTTAGCGGCTGGATGCCCGCTCCCTGAAGGATGGCAAGCCGCCCGCCCTACCGCATGCCGCCGTCTCCGCACGAGACGTCTTCGTCGCGATTGGAGGTGGTTCGACAGATCGAGATCTGCACGGCGAGAGAGTGGTTGTGGTTAACGTTAACCGGGCAGGCATTGGTTGGGTGTTGGTTGTTTGATTCGTAGGTGTTGTTTGCCCGACCACTGAACTGGCCTGCCCAACCGCGCTTCCCGCAGCCGTTGCGTTGGAGTGACATCTTCCATTCTCTCTGTCGAATCAACAGGTGCTGCTAATGCTGACCTTCTTGCAGGCTCCTGCAGCTCCCAGAACGGCAGGCGAGCGCGGCATGCTACACCGCTATGGTGGCGGAAGTCTGCTTCTGCCTCAAAGGGGATGATTCCAAGTACGTCTAGAGCCACGGTAAGCGGCAGATGATGATAATCCGTGGCAATCGGGCCTGCGGCACCGCCTTTCCGCATCATACTTAGCCCGTAATTACACGTCCATTAGCGTCTGTGGTTTGCGCGTTTCTGTCACCAAGTCCTGACCGACGCACGGCGGTATCTACTATCCTAGCATACGGAAATCCCGGAGCAGAATCAACGAGACTTCGTAGAACTGCGGATGTGGCGGATTCGCACCGTGCGATGGGTAAAATTATGGATGTTGGGCAGAAAGGTGTCCGGAATTCGCCCTTGCGCCGACTCAGAGCTAGGGCAGTGGCATTGAGTGCCTACCAAAGAAGTGTATTTCTTGCATCTACCTCACTCGAACCGAACTTCGAGCCCAATGCTTTACTGCCCTTGGGTTTTTATTATTTTTTTCTGGAACAGGTACCAAGTGGTTAAGCGGGCCGCGGTTGCTTCAGAAATCCATACCAATGCAAGCCAGCGCACGCTAGCGTCACACTAAGTAGTCTGCCGACGCTCACGTCAAAGCTGTGATGTTTAAAAGGACTTGACGCTGCAAGCATCAAACCATAATTCTCAACCCTCTCCACTTGTAGTTGTAATATCTCAACAGCAAAGCATTCTAGAGCATGGCTAGGCAGCAGAAGCCTCCAGTAAATCCATCCGGCCAGTCCTCTGCTGCCTCTCCCTGTTCTCACGCTGTCTTTCCAGTGTGAAGGAGAGCTTGGACCAGCGAAGATTTTGTTTGAAACTTTATTTTCGAGGGTTGGGTAAGTCCTATCGAAGCTTCGCTCTGAGATGCTGTGCATGAGTCTCATCGACGTCTCTTCTTGCCTCCTAAGGAACACCGAGGCAACTCCCGGCGTTTACTAATTGAAATCGCCACCACGTGGATGTCTCACGCATCATGTTCCCGGATTCGAGCGAAGTCTGGTATAGGTGCCTCATCGAGCGCACTCCTTATTGGATGCACCGAACATGTCGCATGCTGTTTGTGTTTACGACTCCATACCCCAGTCGAACCAGCAAAAAAACTCGTCACGTGAGAGTAAATGCCGAAGGTGTCGAATCTGCTCACCCTCTGCTCGTCGTACGGAGGGGTGCTGCAGCCGATGGCTAGCGCGAAGAATAGCAAGGCTTTAGAACATAGCGTAATTATGCCCCAGCTCTGCCTGAGAAAAATTAACATATGCGGGTAGCTGAAGCTATCGTCCGGACGTGTACGTAGAATTTTTAATTCCACATTCTCATCCAGACGATAGCTTCAACTACCCATGACATGAGCAAAAAAACAAATCCACGCTAGCCATCGGCTGCGGGAAGGGACTACCCTTAATTAATAACATTTTACTCTCCGCCTTCGATCTAGAACTAGGATTCCTCACCACAGGCCTTGTATCTCTGAATTTGAGTCGGAAGCTATGCTCAGCCTCTCACCTCTAGAAGTGCTACTGCGTTTACTGGCGTTTGACGAGATACAATGGATGAACGCATGCTGGTCGACCCTATGATTAGGATGTTACAGTCTGATGGTATAGGGATCGGGTTAGGAACACTCGGAATTCCATTACTGGACTCTAGAAGTGCCCACTTTAATATTGATTCTCGTAGAAGCTCTAGAATTTCATGGATCGTTTGGTATCTGCAAGGCAGGGAACTACCTCGTTCAGTGGAAGAAGATGTTGTTGCTAGTGTGTTTATGTTTAGTGCAGTGTAGAGGCCGATACTGAGGTATTTAATACTTTGTATACCTTAAATACCAGAAATAGTAGAATGTCTTCTAAAACCGCGCATGATATCACCTCTCCTTCTATCGTTCGGGGAAGTATAGGTGCTGTTTAATAGATCATGCCACATGTGAGGAACGCACTTGATTTACCTCGTAGCTTTCCTTATTTATTGTTCCCTTCTCTCAGATACTGGCGCAACAACTCTTCCCAAGCGAGCGAGGACCATACAAGGAGGAGATTTACTACCGTTGGTCTCTTCGTTTACCACTTGAGTTTACATTTTCGGTTCTCCAGCTCAAAATCGGGAGATGTTTTTCGCATCTTTTATTTTGCATCCCTATGTTAGGAACGCATGTCTACCTAGTTACCTCAGCTATAAGGAAACATGGCTGGATTCCGTACTTTTTCTTTTTCTTTTGGGCGCCGTTCTTTGACTTTTGTCAAGTCTTTCTCATGATTCTACATCACCTGAATGCATATGGAAATTGTTCATGGCGGGCAAAATACCTGCCTTCGTTTCCAACTTCGAGAGTCAAAGCATGTGACAGGCTAATAAAACATACTGCACTTTACCCCATTGCTGCTCTTCCGCATCATTTTGGGACTTGAAAGCACTGAGAACTATGTTGTAGGAAAAAGCTGATATGCAACCAAGGCCACCAGATTGCCAGCTGGAAAGCATCTCCCGCGCAAAATCCTTGGGGTATGAAACTACTCTTTTTGTAGGGTCTTGTCTGCTGTTACAGTGTCTCTTTGACAAATATGCCGTGTGAACTTATGACAGCCACGAATTTCAGTGCGGGGTTGAGTTGCAGACCTTCAGAGCTGCGGGAACCGATGAAGAGAAAACACGGACCTTGCACTCCATGTTTCGACGGTTTGTTTCTTCAACGCTGCTGCCGCATCTTCTCGATGTCCTTCTTCGGATAGTACGGAATGGAGCGTTTGCAAGGCGTAGGCGGCATCCGCACCGGGTAGAAACGGTCCAAATATATGTGAGACAACCAGGCGCATGAGGTACTTGCGCACCAGTAAAGAAGGATACCAGAGGGTAAGTTCAGCGTCATGGGACCAATAGCCAGCGCCAATGTCATCAGGACGCGCTTGAAAATGAAAAAGGATGGTTTCTCATGTCCTTTATGCGGAGCCTTGGAGCCAGCGTAAATCGACGCCATAGTGAGCCCGGAGACGGCGAAAGGAAGGATCATGCAGGGGTCCGGGAGCATAAGGTTGGGAAACCAGAGCATCCCTTCTGCCGCCATTGACGGCTCCAGCCAATTGCTGAGTGTCTCGGGCACCGAGCTTGGGAGAGACGTCGTGCCCTTCCACTCAGCAACACTCTCCAATGCATCAGTAACGCCGTCCGTGGTGACTGCGTCGCTGACTTGCTCGGAAGCCTTAGGGGCCGCATAAGATCCGGAACCAAATACCAAACCCCACAAGCCGCTCCTGGTGCCCACCATTCTCCGTATGACCTCGGCCATAGAAATGAAGACAGGTAGACCGCAGAATGGTAGCATTTGCTTCCAACGTTGCGATCCCCAGCGCTTCCTAATCTGGTGGTTGTATTTGGCCACACTCCTGATGGTTACTGCTTGGGCTACTCGAGGGCCCTTGCTGTAATGTGCCATGTGGGCGCTGTGCTTCTTGACGATATGGAATGCGCGGGTGAGCGGTAGGAGCGAGGCGGTAGTCTGTTGAGCTTTCCGGGAGGGGATTTGGAATAACGGCATGATAATGCAGGCGCGAATGACAACAGCGCTGGCGGGAAGGGCGACAGCCCAGGACAGGCCGCAGTTGTGCAGGATTTCGAGGAGCCCCCACGATAAGTTCAATATGTTCTCTGCAAGCGGCTCCGGATTCCCTGCGAGCGTCTCTGTATAGGTGTTGGCCATGGACATGCAGCGCGCTTGAGACGGGTTTAGAGGGCGCGCCGGGGCATTGCGGTGGAGGTGGGCGCCGAAACGGGGCGTAAGGCCGCGGAGAGAGCGGGCAGCAAGCCTTGGTGCGGTGCAGCGCGGATGCATGGCGACAGCAGGAGCGTGGTCGTGGGCAGCAGAGCAGAGGTGGGAAAGAACAGAGAAACGACGAGTCGGCAGACGTGCTTTCACGAACGCGGCTCGGCCCGAGTGAGCGACCTCTCGGCATCCCGATCGCCAGTCGTCTCCGACGCGCGGTTTGCTCCCGTTCACACGTGTTTTCTTGCCAATTCCACTGCCCCAGGTGAGTCCTAACAGTCCGAGCAGAGGGTCTGCAAAGGTATCGCGCCGTCGTATCCGCAGCCTGAAACTGCACCGACGCACCGACGAGGCAGCTCGGTGCAGAACGGGGGAAAACGAAAGCCGGCGGACGGGACACAGTTGAGCAGAGCGGCGACCGGCAGGCGCTTGCGTTTCGTCCGGTGGCAGTTGGGCGCGGAGTGTGACGCGTTGACGATGAGTAGAAGCTTGAGCCACAGCACATGATGCCGCGCGCTCTCTGAACACCTTACCTCCACCTCCTCCGACGCGACCGGCTAGAACGCCATTCGATGGTGCCAACCCCGACCCTGCCCGCCCGGATGCGACGGTGAACCACAGCCATGCTGCTCCCCATCGCCGCCGCAACGCTCGCCGTCGTGCCCTTCATCCTGACGTCCGACTCGGCCTCCAGCGCAACCGCCGCCAAGCTCTGCACCTTTCTCTACCTCGTCATCCGCCTCGTGCCGCTTCTCGTGCGCCTGTCGGGCATCGCCATAGGCAAGAACATCCGCGCCAGGACGCAGCAGCGGCGGGAGGCTCTGCTGGCCCGCGCCGAACAGGACGAGAAGGACTTCAGCGCAAGCCGCAAGAAGACTGAGGATGAGGACTGGGAGAAGGTTGGAAGCCGCTCGTCCGGCTCCTCCACGCCTGGCGACCAACAAGACAAGGACTGGCAGGGGGTAGTCGGCTTCTTCCATCCATTCTGGTAAGCTCCGCAGGGCTACAAGCACCGGGCCCACGCTCACGGCAGCAACAGCAACGCCGGAGGCGGTGGTGAACGAGTGCTCTGGGCCGCCATCCGCGCAACCCAGAAGCGCTGGCCCCGCGCCGTCTGCGTCGTCTACACGGGCGATCACGACGTCGACAAGGCCACCATCATCCAGAAAGTCGAGGTACTTCGTTCCCCGCCTCGATGTAGCCCCACGTGCTGATGGCGCCAAGGACCGCTTCAACATCCAGCTCCACCCCCCGACGATAGCATTTCTCTATCTCAGCACCCGCCATTACGTATTGAGCAGCACATGGCCTCACTTCACTCTTTTAGGACAATCGCTTGGCTCTTTGATCCTTGCTCACGATGCCTTTAATCTCCTTGTGCCAGATATCTTCGTCGACACGATGGGTTACGCCTTCGCGCTCGCCCTGTCGAAATTCTACTTCCCATTGGTCCCCACGGGCGCCTATGTCCACTACCCGACCATCTCCACCGACATGCTGGGTTCCTTGGACGCCTCGCCGGAGGAGAAGGAGGGCCAGACGCGAGGCGTGAACGCAGGCGCGGGGCGCGGGGTCAAGGGCAAGCTGAAGAAATGGTACTGGATCCTCTTTGCAAGGCTATACAGCTACGTGGGCAGCTTCGTCGACGTTGTCATGACCAACTCGACGTGGACGCAAGATCACGTCCAGAAGCTCTGGGGGCCCAGGCCGAAGCGCGTCCAGTGCTTCGACTCGCTCGTGCTCTCGTTCGTGCTTTCACGCAAGGGTCTGCCCACCGATCACGAATCCTATCCCATCGAGGTCAACTTCCCGCCGGTTGCCGTGGAGGAAGTGACCGAGCAGATCGAGGTCTCGGAGGCGACCGAGGCGGAGAGGGGACCTTACTTGCTCTACATTGCTCAGTTCCGGCCGGAGAAGAACCACCAGCTGATCCTGCATGCTTTCGCGGAGCTGCTCAATTCCTGGCCGAAGAATTCGGAGGAAAAGCAGAGGCCGAAATTGGTGCTGATTGGATCGGTGCGTAACCCTGAGGACGCTACGCGCGTCTACAACCTGCGTCTCCTGGCGCACGAGCTGCGGGTCAAGGAATCGGTCGAGTTCATTTGCGACGCCACATGGCCGCAGATTCTCTCCTGGTTACGACGCGCGAGCATCGGCGTCAACGGCATGTGGAATGAGCATTTTGGCATCGGCGTGGTCGAGTACCAGGCGGCCGGGCTGATCAGCGTCGTCAACGACAGCGGAGGGCCCAAGCTGGACATTGTGGTCGAGATTGACGGCAAGCCAACAGGTGCGCGAAATTCGCCATTCCGTGTGACACGGGCATGTTTGCTAACTCGCTCTCGCCAGGGTTCCATGCAACGACGGCAGCACAGTTCGCCGAAGGCTTCCGGCAGGCGCTCTCGCTGTCGGAGCAGGAGACGCTGGAAATGCGGCAGAGGGCTCGGCGCAGCGCAGGCCGTTTCACGGAAGAAGTGTTTGCGAGCAAATGGCTCGTGCAGATGAGCAGGTTGGTCGAGCTGCAGCGCACATTGCACCCGAATTGAGGGCAGAATGGCATTGTGTGCATGCTGCAAGGACGGGAATCCACGCACCCCTAGAGTGGCGGCGGTGCAGCCAATGGCTAGCGCGAAATGCTTTTTGAGTACGACAGCATGCGGACAGAGGAATTAGATGTACTTTGACTCCGGACGCCCGGATTCGGCCATCCCTTGAAGAAGGCGGACAATTTCCACAACAACGGTCGGATGCGTGCAGTGTGATGGTTCGAAGCGTGTGCATGCATGTGTGTATGTAGCAGGCAAGGATGGCGGCGTGTGGACGCGACTCATGGTGTTTTGGCCTCAGCCCTAGGACGAGTTCGGCGGGCGGTGCATACGGGATTGGCAGACGCTGCTCCAATGGCGATGGGGGATCTGTATCTTGCACCGGTGGCACGGCGAGACAGCGGCGATCCGCCTAGGCAAGGCTGGGCCGGTGGGTTGAGGTGGGCTCCAGCCTCACCAGAGCTGCTATATGATTACGTGCTAGCCGACTCCACTCCAAAAAGCAACGGGGTGAAGCGTAGCTCGCCCGGCCCAGAGGACGTGGGGATCGGATCGGCCGCTTGCTCGAGCATGATCGCCGCACCTTCCGCATTGACGAGACAACGTCTTTTTTTTTCCTTCCACGACACACACACGACGATGATGAATGACCACGAGGGCAGCCAAACCCCCGCCCGGCACCACGAACCGACGTCACGCCCCGGCCACCGCTGCGAGTCGTTTGCGCCAGCGGCAGCCAGCCGCGAGAGACTCGCCGGATACCCACTGCCAGCAAGGCGCGAGCCCACAGCTGCTGCGTCTGGGTGCTGACCGGTCGGTCCACCGCTATATTGCCGCGCATATTGTATGTAGGCGCAAAGGGGCTGGAGGAGGAGGAAGAGCAGACGGGCTGGTCGCACGCGGGCGGGCGGTATTTACAAAGCAGCGAGTCGGCCGCAGGCGGCGGCGGGCCAGGGAAACAAGCTTCTTGGTCGGAACGAGCGCGGCGAGGCGGTCTTTGGCGGCGCAAAAATGAGGCGGCCATGCAAGGCGGGCTGTCGGCCGCGATCATCTCGCTTGTCGCGCGGCCAGGCACGCAGCGCGGCGCGGGCGCGCTTTGTGTGGACTGCCGCGGCTGGGACCACGCGTGTGCCGCTGCCGGCCGGTGGCTGCGCGTGGTGGTGAGGCGGTGAGCGGCGATTGCGACGCTGGGCTTGGGGCGGCGCGAAACGAGCATTAGACCAACATCGTGTCCTGGCTCTCAGGGCGCCTCTGCTTGGCCGCCCTGAACGACGACGCCCTGCTCCCCCAGCCGCCAGCAGCTGTCCGCCGTCGCCTCCCGCATAAGCACACCACCCACCGGCATTCGAGGGTGCGCCGCCTCAACGCGCGGATGCTTGGGATCCTTGCATGAGGGAACGAGTCATCTACGCTGAATTCCACGCCTCGCTCTGGGCACGACGTGATGCAAAACAACTGAATTGTATCCGCCCGCTCCGCTCCCTTCTGGCCCAGCACCTTAAACCCCAAGCCCAGCCCGCCGCAAGCAGCCGCCGATCCCCGTGGTACCTGCATCATTCCTCACCACTGCCTTTATCCCCAAGCCATGTCCGCAACAGGCCTCCCCCACGGGCATGTGTACATGTGAAGGTATCCATTTCCCTGCCCGTTTCCTGACTCGGAGCACGGGTTTGCCTGCGTTCATGCAGCCTTCCGTGGCCGAACACGTACTCAACGTCCCTTGAGTCTCAAGCCAGCTTGTGTCCGACAAACCGCCTTTTAGTCACCTGTGTGAGTCCACCGCTGACCCGTCTCAGTCTCCACCCTGCCGTCCTTTATTGCGCCGCCCTCACCGCCGCACTTATCACCCCCCCAAGCTGCCGCCATCGAGCTTGCTGCCACCACCTCATGACTGCGAATTACCCGAAGGGGCTAGAACGGCAAGGAACCAACCCGGCTCGCCCACCGTCCGCCATGGCCTCTCAAACCCAGGACAAGTCGCGTCGCGGCTCCTACATCAGCGACTCCTCCGACCAGACCTCGCTGCGCTACTCGTCCACCGCGGCCCGTGTCCCCGCCCAACCGCCCGCCGGCGAGACCTACCACCGTCGGCCCGAGCTGATGAACGTGCGGAGGAAGAGAAGCGGCTCCGAGTTCCGGGAGGAGGGTTTCTGCGATGAAGAGCAGGAAAAGGAAGCACGAAAGGCCATCGCGCTGGAGGCCGATAAGGCCCACGTCACCGACGCCGACATCCTGTCGGACCTGTGCCAGTGGATCGAGATGTCGACCGGAGGGAGCAGCAAGGGTACCCGTCTCGCACACAGCTTCGCCCACGCCACCTCGCATCCGCCCATCACCAAGCATTCGCTGAGCGAGCTCGACATTGGCGCCATCATCAACAACCCGAAGCTGCGCCACGACGTCAACTTCGACCGCGAGCTCCACTTTAGGCCAAACTTCGATGGCGCAAAAGGCAAGTTCAAGCTGAAGACGGCGGAAGAGTATTGGAACGCATTGGCTGCCGAGTTGGAGCTCTACACGTTCCTCTTCAACGGCGCCCCGTCGGTGACGCTGCGCAAGGGCGCGACGTGGCCGCGCGTTATTCAGATTGCCCAGAGGCGCATACCGCCCATGTTCGACACTATCAGAGACATCATCAAGAGCTTGGTGCCAGAGAGGGATCAGTCGAGGGTGGACGAACAGTTGGACACAAAAATGCTCATGCAACAGATCGAGAAGGGGGTTTGCGACCTGGTCAGCGTGGCCAAATGGCTCTCGCACCTGCTGAAGGCACACTGCGCTCCCGTGCGCGACGAATGGGTGGATAAGATGGTGGAGCAAATCGACCTGGGCACAAGAGGTGGCAGTGGTAGATCGTTGGTCAACGGGTTGAGAGAACTTTTGGGGATCCTGGAAGCCATGAAGCTGGTAAGTGAAGATCCCTTGACACGTCACCCGCCTTGCTGACACTTCATCATCAAGGACGTTGCCAACCACCAAATCCGCCATCTCCGCGCCTTGCTTATCGAGGATACCATCAACTTCGAGCAAAAGTATCATTTGGACAGAATTGCAAGGCGACGCATCCTGGTCGAGAGGTCACAATGCTGGTTTGCTCAACACGCAATCACTTGCCGTAGTATACCTGCCGATCGCAACGCTAAGGACCGGGGCTTGAGAGTGATTGTCCGTGGCCTGCTGTCATTGTTGACCTCTTCTGATCGCCAAGGCTCGTTCCCGGAGACGTTTTATTTGGACTTCGACCGCCTACGTGTCCTGAGGGCCGAGTTCCGTGATCAGGTGTACCTTGGTGTGGCCACCGACACGTTCAAATCTCTGCTAAGAAGGATTGGTTTTGCAAGATCGGTGCCTGACAACCACGTGCAAGCACTGCGAGAAGCCGTATCTGCCATTGTCGTCGTCAATGAGGTCGCGGGCACAAGCAGCAATCAGCACTGGCTCGTTAACATAGATAATATCTCTCTGGAAATTGTTCGCCATGCTCTCTCCCTCTGCGGGGCCGAAACGAACTACAATGCTGAGCTCGTTGACGCAACCGCTGAGCGGCTCCGGCACCTCATCCGTCCAGAATTCGGCATGGTCTTCCACGAGCAAGCCAGCGCTATGCGCGAGTCCCTAGCAGCCCGTGTGATGAAAAGCACCGAATCATTCGCCTCTTCATCCCCTGTCGACATATTCAACGCCTTGATCACCTCTCCTACCGCTTCCACGGTCTGCTCCATCTCGAATCAAGAAGAGCCTCAAGGCCCGGAAGCCGAATATCTCGACGACATCGCTCGCCGCATCACACACATCGCCGTTCTTCACTGGCGCATCTGGGGCAATATTGTCTACTCGCAGACTACCGCATTCACTACTCTTATGCGGAATCCTATCCCCGAGCCATCAACATCCTCTTCGCTTTCCTCTACGGCAACCCTATTCGACATCAATGCTTCTGCAGCGTCCTGGGCCGACGATGGCTTTGGGACGCCCAGCGCACAAAGCAGTCCGGACCCGGAAGAACAGCACTCTCACCAACAACAAAATTTACCCCCACAACGCGCCCGGAGATGGAGCAGTGCCAATGAAAGGCGCCCTCCAACCACCAGCTCCGCCGAACCAGGTGCTGCAGCACTCTCAGCACCGCCCAGCCAGCAGGGAGGTTCCAACGAACAGCCAGAGGACCAGGGTAGCGGTAGCGCCACTGGCGGCTTGGAACGGTTGGTCTACCGACAGCGTTAATCCAAAGGATTAATATTAATACGTATTCAATGATCGTGAGGCTCTCCCTGCTCCCCGTTCTGCTTAGGAGTGGTCACCATTCCTCCCTTTTTCCTTTATTTTCTCTCGACAGCGGAGCTGTTTAACGCTTCGCAAGGTCGAAGTCATCATTGATGGGGTATTTCCATCCCAATACCATGTCGCCGCTGCGGCAGTGACGAGTTTCATTACATCTCTCTCTACACACTATCGAAGACCATCAACATGTCTTCATGTGTTTTCCTTCGCCCTTCTCAAAGACGCCTCTTTCATTTGTATTCTTATGTAACGGCGAATTTGTGGATCGGCAAGATCTTTTGTAATGCTCTCCCTCTTCATGTCACGGCGGATACTGATCTCGCTGAGATCATCCTCCCCTCCCCCGCTTTATCACGGATGGGGGTTCTCGTTTTCGTAGGGCTGGGCGTCACAGTTTCTCTCTGCTCTGTCTATACTTACTTTTTGTTTTTGGTGTCGCAGTTGCCTTCTAGTTCTTTTACTTTGCAGGCGTCCTATTGTTTCTAGCGGCATTGTATACCCCGAGTCTCGTTTTGTTTGCCCCGCCTTTTATTAGATCCTATTCTTATATATCTTTTTTGTTACCCTCTGTACACGAGCCCCTTTTCTTATTGATAGTTGAGGATCCAGGGTTTGCTTCTTTTTTCACTTTCGGTTTCACGGGGCGGCGTCCTTTTGTCCTCTGAATTCTTTTATCTGTATCATGGCCGCTTGTTTACTGTTTTTAGTTCGTGTTTGTTTTTTTGTATGGCGACAGGATTGCATTGCGGCTTGGGGTTTTGATTATTTTTTATTGCGTCATTATTATCGGAAATGCTTGTTCAAGTGGAAAGGTCTGTTATAGGGGTATACGAATCGTTGATAAAAGTAATAGCATTTTTTTAAATTCCGTCCATGATGCATGTTATTGATTCTCGAATGTCAAGAACCGCTTATAATTACATGTTCGAAAATCGACATATGAAGAGAAAGTAGCAGGTTGGTCCAAGAAGAAATCAGAAATAAACCTGGGTTCGAGAGAGAACCATAAAGCATCATTTTGATAATGATACCCACAAACTCGATTATGATGGGGTAGTCTCGGGACGCTCATTCGAAGCGGAAGAAGATGTAGGCTCTTGATTCGCTCGTCTCTGCAACGGATGCAGTTACAGGGTGACGTGCCATTTTCAGGGTACGTTGGTACTCCTGGTATCTTCACTCAATAAACGTCGATCCCAGCGGTAGACGGCCCTTTGCAAGTAGACATGAGGTGACCATGAGCCATTCTTTTCATGCCAAGTATCTTCATGTGCGGACACTTGTGGCACTTTCATAGGACGGTTGGTGCCTTGTTATTCCTCGGGCCCATCATAGGGCAGTAAGAGTGTGATCATCATATGCTTCGGAAAATGTAGTTATCCCAAGACTTGGTTGCACATATTGGGCAGGTTGGGCGGGCACGGAGTTGGGAGGATCCCCGGCCTGAGTTTGCTGGGGGGTTTCGAATCTCAAGAGGTTCCTTGGTCTGGCTCGGATGGGAACTGTGGTGGAAGAATAGCTGGAACACACGGCAGCACTTCCAGTGCCTTAGATGGCGCCGGCTCCACTCATTGCACTGGCTTATCAGACAGTGCCAACAAAACTAACGGCTACCAGTACTGGATAAGCAGACGGCGCTGGTCGCACTTAATGCACTGGGTGCGCCAAATGCACTGGATGAGCCGGAGGCGCTGGCCGCGGCATGTAGTACTGACTGGAGAGATTATGCGTACCACTCTGGCAACTTCGATAGCCCCTTGCAGTGTAAACGCCAACTAAATTGCCGCTTTGCTGATATACCTGTATCCAGCCCTTACTGGCTCTGACTGCTGCTATTAGCTGCTACTAGCCGCTGCTAGTAGGTGGGGAATTTTGCTGATGTGGCGCATCAGGATGACATACAACGGTGGTATCTAGACTCCTCTTTGGATAATAAGAGCAGCGATGGATTGCAATAGACCGAAAGTCAAAGGCCCAATTAGAGTGACAAAAATGGTTTATTATCCCTGTTGGAGTGAGAAGTATGATAGCATGTTCCAGGATTCGACGGCGACGTAGGTTGATTGATGCGCAATTCACGGACGGTAGGGTCGTTGGCCAATCTCAGCAAAATGAAACTTAGGATCATCTCTCTTATGGGTTTGACCTTTCGAGTAGTGAAATATTAGTAGTGCGATATTAGTGACAGAGAGAATAGATAGTAATGGTGATGTATTGCTGAGGTGGTTTGAAGTGATGACGACCGTCCACCCAGTCGTCGTACATCGACTCCGTCATCATTTATATGCAGATCAAATGCGGCACAGACTTATATCCGCATCAATTTGAGATCTGGATTATCATTCATCACATTTTCACACTCCGATCACAAACTTCCATGACTCGATTCATGATCAAATCTCATTCCAGCTTTTCCCACTTCCTCCAAGACGACATCATGCAGCCCAATACGCTCCACCAAAACGCTCAATGAAAAACCAGCAATGATAGAAACCAGAAAATAAAAGGAGAATGCGAAATCAAAACCTCGCCTCAACCTTCTTGAACGTATCCTGCAGCGCCCAATCACTCCTTCCCTTCTTGCTCCTGACCTTGTCCGCCTGCTCGCGGGTGAAGCCCTTGGCCTCGACGGCGGGATTGTACCCCAGCCCGTTCCTCCTGCCGACCTCCTCGCTGCTGACCTCGGTGCCGACCTTCCCGTCCGCGCGCTTGTACACGGTGCAGACGCACGCGCCGCCGAGGCCCAAGTTGTGCTGCAGCGCGACGTCGACGCCCTTCTGCCCCGCACTGCTGCCCTTCGCAGGCGGGACGAGGCGGTTGTTAGCCCAGCCCCTGAGGTGCCAGACGAGCTCGGCGCATTGGGCGATGCCGGTGGCGCCGAGGGGGTGGCCCTTTGAGATGAGGCCGCCGCTGGGGTTGACGACGCAGCGGCCGCCGTACGTGATGTCGCCGTTGCGCACCATCTCGTGCGCCTTGCCCTCGCCGCCGCTCAGGCCCAGCGCGTCCAGCGTGACCATCTCGTTGGCCGAGAAGCAGTCGTGCAGCTCGCACAGGCGCACGTCCTGGGCGCGCACGCCGGCCTCGTCGAGCGCGCGCCGCGCCGCCTCGGCGCTCATGCTGTAGCCGACCAGCTCGATGGCCGACTTGTTGAACAGCGCGGGCGAGTCGGTGGCGAGCGCCTGGCCGGCCATGAGGATCGCGCGGTCCTTGAGCTGTGGGTGCGCGTCCAGCCACGACTGCGACACCAGCACCGCCGCCGCCGCGCCGTCCGACGTCGGGCAGCACTGCAGCTTGGTCAGTGGGTCGTGGATCGTCGGCGACTCCATCACCTGGTCCAGCGTGTACTCGTCCTGGAACTGCGAGTACGGGTTGCGCTTGCTGTGCTCGTGGTTGACGCGCGCGATTTCGGCGAAGTCGGACTTGGTGGCGCCGTACCTACATGTCGAGAGTCAGTGAGTGAGAACTATTCGGATAAGGGGTGGTCGTTCTGAGAGGAAGTTGGGGAAAGGCGGGGTGAAGGTGTGGGGGCGATATATCAACGCAAAAAAGACGTACTTCTCCATGTACTCCCTCCCCGCATTCCCGAACAGCTGCGCCGCACCAGGGGCGTTCGTAATGCCCCTCGTCTCCTTCATGACCAAATTGGTCGTTGCCGTCGGATTCGTCCTGTCCTGGAAGAAGGTGCCCAAGCTGCCCGGGAACATCTTCTCGAAGCCGACGACCATGGCGACGTCGGCGGCGCCGTGCGAGACCATGGTGCGGCCCATGTGCAGGCCGGTGCTGCCGGTGCTGCAGTTGTTGTTGACGTTGTAGATGGGGATCTGCGTCATGCCGAACTGGTAGAAGACGCGCTGGCCGGAGGTGCTGTCGCCGTAGCAGTAGCACGCCACGCCCACGTCAACGTCGTCGTAGTTGATGCCCGCGTCCAGCAGCGCCTTGATACCCGCCTCGAAGCCCATCTCGTTGTAGTCGACCTTCCCCCGCGGCTTGACGAACTTGGTCATGCCCACGCCCAGCACGTAGCACGCCTCCTTGGTTCCTTGCTTTTTGCCCATGGTTGCGGTTCTTGTCTTGTGTCGAACGTCGAGAGGAGAGTCGATGAGCTTTATGAGACGCCCCGCTGCTCAGGTAAGCTGAGAAATATCAATGCTGGGCGGTGGATTTAAAGCTGGTCTCTGGGCCGCGGCAGGGAGCTTGGAGCTACCTACCCCAGCTGCCTTTGTGGGGACAACCGACAGGCCGAGGTCACCGCCCCTCCCGTCCCCGCACATCCACCACACCCAACGCCTGATCTCCGCCAATCTCGGCCCGCCATCTTCCGTTCCCATCCCCTATTACTATTCACCGTGTCAGAAATTACTGACCGTAATCATGATAACCGATTGCCGTCTTCAGGACAAGGGTCTTGCTTATTTTGCTGTTTGCTCTCCTGATCAATGTTACGTCATGGACACTTCCGTAGAATAGCCACTTGATTCCATATCCTCTGTAGCAATCCAGCTATTATATCTGCAGCTTTTCGCTATCTAGCGTAGAACCACCCCACCGATTAGAACAATTTCCTTTAGCCAGCGACCGAGTCCGTATGCCTTAGAGCCACTTCAAGCGGACTGTAGCAAAACTACATACCATCTCCCCCATGCCAAAGTTGCTTAGACTTCGGTCAAATCGACCGTCTCCACGTCCTCGGACGTACGCGAACGATCCTGCCGCTTAATCTTCCGTTCAGCGCCGTCGTCATCTTCTCGCTCCCGCTTGATCTTCACTTCCGTCTTGACTTGGGATGTGGCTTTGAGTTGCTCCTATACTTAAGTGTCAGAAGGATTCGAGACATCTTGCTTTGTAACGAAACTAGTTGCCTACCTGCTGCCGCTTCACTAGCTCTCTCAGCTCTTCGTTGCTGAGACTCTCGATGGGACGATCCTCAAGAGCTGCGATCAATCCCAGTGCTTCCAGCCCAGAGCGAGACCTGTAGCGGAAGTTGAAGACTGCGAATGGCTTATCGTAAGGGTTGATGTAACGCACATGCGATACACTCACGTCGGCCACGACACGCTCATCTCCTAAGCTTTGCAACAAATCAGCAATCTCTCTTTCCTTGAGAACGACCAGATACGTATTAACATACTGTGCCTGCTGCGAGACAGCTCGGCCCTTCAAAGCCTTTTCCGGGACAGTCTTCAGCGACTTGAATGAGGGCTGATTGGTGCTACTTTTGCTTTCGCCAGTCTTCTCAATCCTCCAGAGTCGTACGCTGATCTCTCCGAGACAGCTGACTTTCTCCTTGAGACCAGTGTTGTTAAGGCCATGATTATCTTCATCTACGCCAAGAAATCAGCACAAGCGATTGGAATAATCGATGGTTATCCATACCTATGTTCAGATCCGCAAACGAGAACGGAAGCTCATACCACTTCCCATTTTTCTTGAAGCGAGCCCCAGAAAGTACGGTCCGGTAACCCTCCCATCTTTGGAGTCGCTTCGTATCGCAGATAATATTGTCGACTTCCTTACCGTCCAAGTGAACGGAACTCCTGATGTGGTTATCCTTGAACGGGAAGGCAGGCTGGAAGTGCCACTCGATGTGAAACTCCTGGCCAGATTCAGCCTCAATGTACTGCGTGGCGACGTTGTCAGATTGCTCCTTGTCAGTGTCGTGGTACTCTTCCTTGTACGAGTCCTTAGGCGACAATATCTGCACTTGCAACCCGTTGATTCCTTTGAGGACAGCCATGGCGAACAAGCCAGTAGGTTGCTGGTGCTTTCTGGCTTGCTGCTCCACCGAGTGAGATGGGCGATGTAGGCGGGTGAGGTGCGGCCGTGTTGGCCGTGCGATGTAGGAGTTCCTGGCACCGGCACCAAAGCGGTGCGTGTCAAGAGTGAAGTTGAGCGACGACAATGAGGGTGTCCTTCCTGCAGCCTTGTACGGGCCGCCGCGGAGGGAGTGGGTCGTTCTGAGCAGCAAAAGAGTGAGACCACGGCGGAAGAAAAGCGTCGCGGTGAAGTTGGAAAGAAGAAGGCGCGTCCCGGTGACGGCGGGTCGGTCGAGCCAGGAAAGCGCGCACAGGGTCGACGTCGGGAAGGAAAGAAGGAACCACCTAAGGCCAACCACCCGGGCCGCGTCCAGTGGATGAAAGCATTGTCCACCCAGTGCAAACTTGCAGAACCGCTGTGACACAGGCGTTAGCTCCAGTTGCTCTTTGGAAGTGAATGTCACGAGCCTCACCCCAAACCATCATCGACGAAACAAACATACAGCAAATTCCGTAGAACGACACATGACAGAAGACAAGCCACCGCGGCTGGTAGGATCAACGAAATTTTCCATTACCCTGAAAGCTATGAATGCTTTACGTGCGCTAGTAGATGGGGCGCCATTTGATATCATGATGCAGTGCTCAAACGACGGATGAGGTGTGCATCCAGAAGGAGAACAGAGAAAAGCCAAATCAGACAGAAACTCAGATGCCCGCATAAACCCAACCATTCTTGGACGATGCACCCCCAACGCCAGTAATGAGCTATAGTAGGAGACAAGATGTTTATGAGACCGTGGTGTGATAAGGAGCAAAAAAAGGAAAGAAAAAGGAGGCCTGTTCGCCAAAGCATCAGAGAACGCCCGCCTTGCACTAATTGATATCAGAAAGAAAAGCCAGAACCCCCCCAAACGTCGCTCAGCGGTTTACAGGCCGGTGACGTGAAATCTTCGTTTGCCCCACTCTTGTGATTTACCAAGGACCGACGCGGACGGGAGCACCTAAGCCATATGTACCGTTGAGCAGCTGCTGCCGTATATCATTGGTGCCCACGCCTGCTTGCTGGCCGGCAGGGTTGCTGCCGCCCATCCAGCCCAGGTGCGACCGCAGTTCGTTGACGGCCTCCTGCATCCTGCCACCGGAAAGCTCATTGTGCTTTGAAATCTTTTGATCCCAGCCGCCGTATCCAAGTTGAATGCCGCCACCCCTCTTTCCCGCCTCTCTGACGACCATCGCCCAAGCCTTTGCCATCTCTTCGTATGCTTCCTGCTTGTGGCGGTTGTGCTGGAAAGTATCCCAGTTGGGCAGTTTGTGGAGGATTTCGGTGGCGCCATCAAGGAAGTCAAGGGATGTAGCCGGCTGCATCTCGTTCGGCGGGAGGAAGTGCGGGGTGTAGTCCTTGAGGGATTCGAGAAGGTCGTGCAGAGGTTGCCTGACTCGGTTGTAGGCGTAGTCGGAGGTGTTGCGATTGCCAAAGGGAAAGGCGGCTTGGAGAGCGGATTCGTAGTTGTTGAGCACCTGCAGTGCGGAGGCGACGCTAGGCCGGGGAGCGGTGTTGACGACCTCGGCGCCAATGTCTGGGTGGCGCTCGCAGATTGATTGAAGGAGACTCCTCATGTCTTCGGGCCCTAGCGTCTCCAGCAGGCGGGAAAGACCGAGGGGGCGGCCGCTAATGTTTGTGCGCAGACGCTTACTGCCGTGGCGGGCCGCAGGCTGGATGAGGGATCGCTGGCCCATCGAGGGCGAGCGCTCGGGGGATGCAGACATGCGTTCGTCGGTGTCGGCATGATCTTCGTCGGCTTTGCGCTTGCGCGAGGACATCTGGTTCGGGGCGGGGGGCACTGCAGGGCATGTCAGCGTCCGGGGAACAGGCGGCCGTTGCAGTCGAGACGCACTGGAGCGGTTTGGCGAGAGGCGGGTGTTCTGGAGAAGATGCGGCGCGGAGAAGGGAGAAGTGGCGAGGACGCTGTTCATGGCTGGCGGGCCTTTCGCTGTTTCAGCGGAGATGAGGTGGCCGAGAGGATGGAGATGTGGACGACGCCCACTGGAAGAGCGTGAGGGAGCGCAGGTGAGGTGGATGATGAAAGAACGAGGTGGGACAGCGAGGTGTCAGTGGATGTTTAGCTGCAGGCCCGGCGTCCAAAGGGCTGCCGATTGCCAGGCCAAAGAGGACCCAAAGCTAGGCTCAGCCAAGCCGTGCCCGGACCACCGTTGCCCGAGGGCAGTAAGGCGCTCGAACGCCCTGGTCTCCACCACAACCGACAGGGCCGTCTATACTGCAAAGAAATACGGTGAGTCGCATGTGCTGTCACGCCGTTCGCAAAATCTGCACACGTGCTGCCGTGCGCCACTCGGGCGCTGCGCCGCGCGCGATCTCGCGCCGCGTGCTTCTCCATTCATTACTATTGTAAAGCACTGCTTTTAGCCAAACAAACATTCGACTATCTAAGGTTAACGCCCAAGCGGATCCTGCAATTGAGCTCAGCCGAACACCCAACGCCGCCGCAATGCCACTCGCTGAACATGCACCATGCCCCAGCGCTCTCCCTTTAAACTTCAGCTAGCCGCATAGCATTCACTGCTTACAGGTACAAGGACTGTGCAGCCACCAGATCCCTCCTGATCGCCTCGAGCGCCTTCTCAAACTTCTGCTCAAGCTCGTTGTTGCCCATGACCTTGGCACCCTGTGCAATCTGCCGCAGAAGCTCCTCAAGACGACGGAAGAGCCGGATCAAGCTGCCTTCGTACACGTCCGTCATTTTGCTACAATCTACGTTAGCCGCAGGAATTTGTGCGTCGGGGCGTTGGTTATAACTTACCAGATTTCTGCAAAGGTTGCACCCTTGGACCATGCAAACACGACCTCCATCAGCTGGTACTTGAAGCCATCAACGTATTCATCCTCGTTGACAGCCAGCTTACTTTCCTGCGACACCTTCGCAATGATGCGTGCCTGAGCCTGGATGTCACGGAAAGGTTTTGCGAGCTCCTCTCTCAGAGTCGGCGTCTCGTTGCTCTTCTCCTCGAAAATGAAGCAGCTCAGAGCAGCAGCGCACTGCTCAGGTGTGAGCTCGTTGAAGAAGCCGTTGAAAAGGAGTTCGCTCAGCACAAGCTCGTCACCAGTGCTGATCTCACACGCCACTCTGGCCTTGAGCTGGACAACGTCCGCTTCGTTGATGAAACCCAGACGCCTGAGCACACGCTTACGGCATTTGAGCTCGTCCAACTGCATAATCGAGAGGGCGTTGTTGATCTGCTTCTTGACCTCCTTGATCTTGTTGCCAAGCTCGACCTTGCCGGCATACTGGTCGTACAGGTCAGGTAACCTGGGCGAGTTGTGCAGCGGGTTGGACAATAAACGAGACTCCAGAACCTCAATCTTGCGTAGAAGCTTCTTGAAGCTGTCGTCCGTGATTCCCATGTTCTCAATGGGGTCAAGAATGGCAATGCCGTCAGGGAACCTCTTCTTGACCTCCTCAAGAGCTTTGCGAACCGAGTTTCTCTGGTCAGCGGACTTGAGATCCGGCGGAAGGAAGATGCGGAGATGGCCAATGGAATCGATGCAGGAGAGCAACACCGGAACGACTTCCATCTTGCCCTTCTCGCCAGGTCCAGGCGGGCGCACACCCTGGGGCAATTCCTGGTTAGATTGCGGGGCAAAGGTCACGTCGCTTGCAACCTGGATCAGCACGTCGACGACGTACGACTGTTGAGGTGATATGTCGGAAGCCTTCTGACCCTTGGCAGGCTTGCGGTGCGTAAAGTTCACCACAGCACCCCAACCGAAATCGAAATCCTTGTGTTTGATGCGCACCAGGCGACCCGACTGCATGTACTGCAGGCAGTAGTTCGGGTGGGTGATGACATCCCTCATGTCCTTGGTGTACTGGTTGAGCTGTTGCCTCAAGTCGTAGTAATCGCGAATGCTGCTCTCGTCGGGGATGGTTATGAGCGTCTTCATCTGCTCCAGCTCATTCAAATGCTTCTCAAGGCCAGAAACGCTTGCAGTGTTCTGGAATTGGAAGAAACAACGTTCGAGCATGAACTCCGGAGAAATACCCTCGACACGCATCAGGTTCAGAATCATGTTGTAGCTCAGGTAGAAGGCGGAGTTGAGCTTGTCTTGCTCACCGCGCACGATCTCCTTTGCAACAGTGGGCTCCATCTTCTCGTCGATCATCATGATGACGATACCACGGTCATCAAGACCACGTCTTCCGGCACGACCAGACATCTGAATGAACTCGGATGGTGTCACCCATCGTTGAGACACACCATCGAACTTGCGGACGCTCGTGAAAACAACAGTCTTCGCAGGCATGTTCAAACCGATGGAGAAAGTCTCGGTGGCGAAGAGGACCTTGATCAGACCCTCCTGGAAGAGAATCTCGATCGTCTCCTTGAGGATAGGCAGGAGACCGGAGTGGTGTACGCCAATGCCGCGCTTCAGAAGCGGCAGCAGATGCTGGATCTGCGGCAGCTCCCTGTCCTGCTCGCTGAGCGACTCAATGGCGCTGTTGAACACCTTGGTAACGAGCTGCTTCTCGGATTCCTCGTTGAAGGAAAGCGTGCTCATCTGCAGGGCAAGGTTCTCGCACTCCCTCTTGCTGAAGCTGAATACGATGACCGGATTGTAGTTCTTCATCATGATCATCTTGACAATCTTGTAGATATCCGAGGGACCCTTTTGACCGCCCTTGTTGAGCTTCTTATCCTTGCCTTTGCCCTTGCGCTTTGCCATGGCATCGGCCGGGTCGTCTCCTGCCTTGTCTGAGATGGTCTGCATTGCCTTCTGGAAGTTCTCCTCCCTGAAGACACCCTTCTCATCCACGATCAAGTGTATGCCATCGGCGCCAGCGGGGAAGAAGTAGTGCTGGAGAGGAGTGGGTCGGAAGTCGGTGTATACAACGTGACAAGGCTGATTATGGGTCTTGGTGATCCATTCGGCGAATTGCATAGCGTTGGGAATTGTGGCGGAAAGGAAGACGTAACGGACTTTGTCGGGCAGGAGAATGATGGTTTCTTCCCAGACAACGCCACGAGCTGTTCCAAGTCAGTATTGCTGCCACAGATTCTCAAAAACCCAATCTGACGTACACTTATCGCGCATATAGTGAACCTCGTCGAAGACAACCCAGGCGACTTCGCGCATAATCTCGGAGCCTCTGTACAACATGGAGCGCAGAATCTGCCAACGATTAGCATGCAGGATGAGCGCTTCACTTGCTGCGGCATACCTCAGTAGTCATAACTAGACAAGTTGCGGTAGGATTGATGGTAACATCTCCGGTCATGAGGCCGACGTCACCAAAGTCGGCCATGAACTCTCGGTACTTCTGGTTGCTGAGGGCCTTGATCGGACTAGTGTAGATAACCCTCTGGTTGTTCTTGAGACAATGCGCAATGGCATACTCGGCGACGACGGTTTTACCAGCAGATGTATGAGCGGACACGAGAACACTCTCGTTGCGCTGGATGGAGTGGACCGAAACCTGCTGGAAAGGGTCCAGCTTGAAGGGATACTCGCGCGCAGGGTGCTCTGGCGGCTGGTGCTCGGAGATGGGAATGTAATCGTAATCCGGAGGCAGCGCGACCTGATGTCTGACCTGGTGAGACAGCACGACGGCGGCACCATCCTTCTGCGCCTGCAGACCAGCGGCGGCGGCGACCTCGCGTGACTGCTCCGTCTCGAAGCTATCGGTAACAACAGGATCGGGCTCGTCGCGGCGAAGGCGCTTCGCAATGGCTTGCGCATCAGCACCGTTGGCAGCAGCAGCGTCCTCCTGGGGCGCGGGCGGGGCGTCGCTCATGGTGGCATCGTTGGCAGGCGACGCGGATTCGCCATTCGAGGACTTGACATCGCCGTTGGCTTGCCTCTTTTTGTTCTTCTTGGGCTGTTTGGGCGGCTGATCCTGGGCAGGGCCAGGCTGCCCTTCGAAGACGTCGAAAAGCTCGTCCATGGCGGTGGTGGTTGGAACACGCCTGGGGAGCGGAGGTGTCTTTCGTCCAGAATTGTCGACCAACTTTTGCGCTTGGACTCCAGACCGCCCGCGCGATCGATCGGCCTTCGCTCTTGCCCTAATTGGACGAAGCAGCCAATCGGCGGCGTTCGCCGTTGAACCGAGACTTTACCGCCGCGGCCTGACGTACTTGCCATGCTGACTTTCCTGCCTCTCGGACTCGTTTCCGTCTCCGTCGTACGGTCGTGCAACAATGGAATCGCTTGCTTTGTTATGCATTCCAGATAAATTAGGTCGAACACATCACCACCGCCACTTCTCCCAAAGGATCCTACATAGTGCCGCATCTTTCTACAGATACTAATAGAAGCCCATAATGATATTCTCAAATATAAGCGTCATTGATTGAACGCAAAGCTGGACTGACGTTCGAAGCTTGATGTTATTGTCTTTCTTTTACAGTATCTCCAATTTCCTCAGTCTGTCGTAAACTCTGCCGAAATGATATATGCCTCCGTCGATTCGCATACCATACTTTGATTCCATCGTGTTTTGTTCGGAGGGCCATGCTCGACAGACTCTATCATAGTTCCCGGAATCCCCTACTCCCCAACGCCACCAATCCACGAAATGTAATGGAACAGGAGTAATGATGAAGATAATGGAACGTTCTCATCTAGACCAAACCACGTTGTAGGAATACATAAAAAGGAACAATGCAGAAGGCAAGGGAATATTTTGCGGCTCTCAGAGCTCGTCACAAATCAAATCAAAATCAGGGAAGTCCGGATCCGGTCCGATGTTGATCGTCCCCGTAGGCGTGGCGCTCACTGTCGTTTCCTCCGCTGACGTGGCAGCGACAGGGGCAGCTGTGGTCGGTTCCGTCACGGCGGCCGCGGTGGTGCTGACTGCCGGCACGCTTTCGATACTCGATTCAATACTAGTAGCAGGTGCCACGGCGGCAGTGGTTTCAGGTGGTTCGGACGTGGTAGTCTCAGGCGCAGCCGTCTCAGGCGCGGCCGTCTCAGGCGCGGCGGAGGTGGTCGTTTCTGCAGGAGGAGGAGGAGGTGGTGGCGGCGCCGAGGTGGTAGCTTCAACTTCCGGAGCGGACGTGAGGGTGCTTGAGGATGATGACGAGGATGAGGAGGAGGAGGACGATGATGATGAGGAAGAAGATGAGGAGGAAGATGAAGATGACGACGAGGAAGAAGAGGAAGAAGAAGATGACGATGAAGATGCGGCAGTTTGCAGTGCCACGGCACCGAAGGTCGTTATTGAAGCAGAACTCTGAGCGGAAGCGCAGTTTGCTGTAGCGGATTAGCGTGGATACAGAGAAAGTGTGTGGACAAGCTAGGAATTGAGACAGATGCAGGTCGAGGCTATGCTTACACTTCTGTTTATTACAATCTTCCACAGTGAAGTCACCCTTGTTTCCTTGAGCGTTCGCTGCCTACATAAGACATGGTATTAGTAACGCTTTCTATTCTCAAGATTATGCAGTCACAAAAAGCACCGGCCTAGGGCCTAAAAGATGCAATGAAAGGTAATACAGCGAAACTATTCTTCAAGAGTAGGGTTCATCGTGCTAAAGGAAGGAGTCTGAAGAGCTAGTACTTACATCTGCGCATTCGTTGAACTGATTATCGCACGTCCTTTGTGCAGCCTCTGCGAATGAGTTCTGTTGTTTCATGTTAGCAAAACACTTCTCCAAACTGCACCATCGTCCCTTTCCGCCTCCACGCCGCTCATCTCCACAGGCACAGCTTGGCAACGGCCCCCAACTAAGAGCACTTCATCCTGTTCTTGCAGAACTCGGGTCCAATCTTAAACGACGAATCCCAAAGGATCCCCATTTCCGCCCCTCATCCATTTATGCCAACAGCTTCCCATGTTACGCCACCAACGCATAGCTCAGAAAGCACAGAAACGACATGGGATCCACTCACAAAAGTATCCCCATCGACCGCAAAAACCCGCTCCCCGTCCCCCGAATCCGTAATGGCCGCGGCGCTCTTCCCGCCGAGCGCTTCCCCAAACGTCTGCAAATTGTCCGACGACTGGCGGCGCACCGGCAGATGAAGCGCGGCGTCGTCCTTGGCGACAACGGCGGCGGCGGCAGCCCCGAGCGCACCGCGAATGTCGATGGGATTCGCGCTGGCGCTGCAGACAGACGACAACGAGAGCAGCAGCAGCGCTGCCCCCGAGAGGCGGCCGGGACTCGGTGACCGTGTTGTCCGTGCAGTTGCTGTTGGTAATAAGGGGATCCGCATTTTTATTTTTTTATTTTTTTTCCTTCTCTTCCTCTTTCGCAGAGAGAGGGGACGACGCACGCGCTCGTCCTTTTCGGTATTGGAGAAGTGATTGCGCGTCAAGTGGCGGAGATTTGTTGTGTCCTCTTCTCTGGAGATCTGCTACCTGGCAGTGGGGGAAAGCATTGTCTGGCCTGTAACGACTGCTTGGCTTCGGTTGGTGAACGGTTGGCTGAGGGTGAGACAGAAGATCGACAGGGCGCAGTGGGAAGGGCGGGTCTTTTGGTTCGGCTGCTGAAGCCCGCAGCTGCCCGGCGGCGGCTGTAGCCAAGTTGAAGCTGACTCGAGAGCTGGGCGGCAGTGCCGGTGGGGTGCAGAGTGTGGTAGTGATATGGGGAAAAGCTCATGAAAAGGAAGAAGAGCAGGATGGGCAGGGTGGCCGTTCATGCCGGCCGGCAAAATGGGGAGTGCAACGAGGAAATCGGGCACAAGCGCAGAGAAACGCCAATCATGGCCCGGTGTGGTGACCGCCGAGCGCGTCGCAACCGCTGCAAGTGGCAACTGTCACCAGCTTCTGAGACAGCACTGAAACGGCGTACGCGACCTTCCTGGTCAGAGCGCACTCCCGCCCGCACAGCCCACGCATACATGAGTCGCTTTCGTCACTGCGCTGGGGTCATTGCTGCTATGACGTTGAGCATTAGGAAGGCGATCATAGTCGCCGCTGTCTACATACTGCTATTTGGTAGGACTGTACAGTTGCGCAGTCAGAGACCGCCAAATCACGCGAGCCTCCAGACTAGAAAGATCCCAACAAGGAAAGAAGAAGGGGTATGCTGCCTTTCTAACTGAACTCGTAGTAACTCATTCTTTTTCAACACTACGTGTAGCCGTCGCATGCTACGTATGCACCTCGTGAATGGAACAATGAAAACAAGCCGGACGCGGCTGTAAATGCAAAATTATGATGGGGCAGCCGCTTCAGCGCGCCCCACGAGAAAAGATCCAACTCCACTGCAATGCAAGACTAATTCAATCGTGATGCTCGTGACGACGGCCAGCGGAGACTCTTAGAAGTTTGCTGCGGCGTTGACGCGGCCACCAGGCGTGTGGTGCTGCTCGAGCGTGCGGTTGAACATGTCGTTGGGCGAGCTGCTGTTGCGCTTCTCCGTGTTCAGCGGCTGGTGGGCGTTGCTGCCAGCCAGGGTGTAGTCGTCGTCATCGTCGACCTGGTTCTTCTTGCGGCCCCAGATGCGCCATGCAACGATGGCCAGAGCACCGAGCACGATGGCACCGCCGACACCGCCAACGACACCGCCGATGATCTTCTTGGTGCTCGAGCTCATTCCCGAGCTGCCCGAGCTCTCACTGTCATTGTTCAGGACCGCCGCACTGGTGACGGTGGAATAGCCGGTCGTCGACACGCGCGTGGTGCTACCCGTGCTGGTGAGGGTTGCAGACTGGCCATTGGTGACGGTGACGATGGTCGTGGTGAATGCCTCGGTGGAGCTGGCGACCAGCGCAGAGGTGATGGTCGTCTTGGAGGTCGTCTTGGCGGAAGTGGCCGAGCTGGTTGCAGAGGATCCGCCTGCAGTCGCAGTGGTGCCGGCAGCGGCAGAAGTGGCAGCAGCGCCAGACGTTGCCTCAGTCGTGGTCGCAGTAGTCTCGGCAACGGCAGAAGAGGTGGGAGCTGAGGTGGTGGTCGCGTCGTTGGTCGCGGCAGCAGACGTCTCAGCAGTCGTGGTGGGAGCCTGGGTAGTCTCCTCCGAAGTGGCAGATGGAGTGCTGGAGGACGACGTGGGCTCCTGAGTAGAGGTGGCTTGGGTGGCCGAGGTTGCTGCCGTTGCGGCATCGGGCGTGCTGGGCGCCGACGCAGTTCCAGAGGCTGCCTGCCTGCGGTGGAAGAATCCTAGGGCATAATCCTCGGCATCGACCGGGAAGTTGGCGGCGGCAAAGGTGAACAGCAGGCACAGGGCCAGAACGAAGGCCGGAAAGCCTCTCATGGTTGGTGTGGATGATGAGCGACGAAGATGTGCGGGCGGTGGTTGTTGAGCGGGTGAAAAGACGCTGTGCAGCCGATCGCAGGGTCCAAGCGTGGAAAAGGGAGAGCCTTAGGGTGGATTACGCGTATGTCTCGCAGGACGATGGGGCTCGCGGTGCGAAACGACCGATGTGGATGTGTAAGGCGCGAATGGGTTGGTTGAGCGAGAGGCCTTGGTGTGAGCGAGGGAACAGTTGACGGCAAAACGAAGGGATGTTAAGGCAGTTTATTGAATGTGGTGGGCGCGGGAAGAAAAGGCATGAACACGAGACAGCGGCCGAGTAGGGTGGTAAGGCTATGCCGTAAATAGCGCACGCTTACCCGCAGCGCAGGCAGCACGCCTTGTTCCAGTCACGCTGTGTCGGGCGCTCGTTGGCCAGAGCTGCTATGTCGCTGAACCAGGTAGGGATCGATGCTCCGGCTCGACCCAAGCGGCGGAAAGGGACTGTGAGGGACCGGCGGGTGGAAGTGCTGGGAACCGGACCCACCCAGTGCGTCGGCGTGACGCCTGCAGGCCGTTGCTCCCCCGGCGGGCCTGGGCCAGCTGGTGCGTCGCTAGCGCCGAAGTGGCCGCCTCGTTCGTTCGGCCGCAGGCAGGGTGGCGTGGCTGCCGTCATCCACCAGCAAAATCTGCCGTCTCCGGCGCCTGCAGCTGCCGCGCGAGCAATGAGCGCCGACTGATTTCGCAGCACGCGACCTGCTATTACACAACCACTATCCACCTTCGCCGAATATGGCCGTGACGATGCTTGACGCGGCTCTCACCACAAACGAAGCCCTAAGCGGCATTACCGGCTCTATTTCCCTGGCGGCGTGGATCTTCCTATTGGTAATGTCGATACCTGCTCCTTGAATTCTTATGCATTCCCTAAAAAATATACTCGAGCTAACGGCGCATTCATTCCTCAGGTACCCCAACTAGTCGAGAACTACAAGCAAGGCTCGGCCGATGGCATTTCCATCTCCTTCCTCGCCGTCTGGTTCATCGGCGACATCGCCAACCTCGCGGGCGCCGTCTGGGCCGGCCTCGTGCCCACCGTCATTGCCCTCGCCATCTACTTCTGTTTCGCCGATCTCGTCCTGATCGCCCAATGCCTGTACTACAACATCCGAAACGCCCGCAGAGTGCGCAAGGTGTCCGAGGCCTCGACCCGCGACAGCGTCGAGCAGCCGCTCTTGGGCCGCCGTGACAGCGACAACATGGGGCTGCCCGGGTCGCGCCGCCGTTCCAGCGCCGCCTCCCGCCGCAGGGACAGCGTGGGCCACCGCGAGTCGCTGGCGGGCATTGCCGAGGAGGAGAATGGTGCCTCGGAGTGGAAGAAGAACGTCCTGAGCATTCTAGGGGTCTGCCTGGCAGGTGCCGTCGGCTGGGCCGTCGCTTGGGCTACGGGGGTATGGAGACCCACTCCTGTTGATGCGGGTGCCGGCGACGAGGAGATTGCTCCGGGGGCTCAGGTCCTGGGTTACGCCAGCGCCATCTGCTATCTCGGCGCTCGCCTGCCTCAGATCTACAAGAACTGGCGCGAGCAGTCCTGCGAGGGCCTGTCTTTGTTGTTCTTCTTGCTTTCCCTCTTGGGCAACCTGACGTATGGCATGGGGGTAAGCCACATCCGGCGCATGGACCACAAAGCTCTTGCACTGACGATTATTAGATCCTGTTTCACTCTGTCGAAAAGGAGTACTTCTTGACCAACCTGCCATGGCTGATTGGGTCGCTGGGAACAATGGTCGAAGATGCTGCCATCTTCTTCCAGTTCCGCATCTACGGCGACAAGTCGCAACAGTCGGCTGCCGTTTGATTTCGCGAATAATGAATTGACGTTTGCATCGGTACGGATAAAGGATAAAAGCAGGACGGCAACGAGCAAAAAAACAGTCGTTATACCCGCCTGGAGAAGCCGGCAAAATAGTGCATTCAACCTTCGCTGGGATTTGCTGTACTATATTTGATGCTTGGAGTTGGGAATGATTTCAGAGAGGTCAACAAAAAGTTAGTGTGTTTTCACGAGACAATTAGATCATTGTACATAGCGATCACTGCGTTTTTGAGCAACTTAACTGGTTACGGTCCAATCACTGTTCGCAATGGAGCTGTCTGACGTTGAGCAAGCTAATTTAGGCACATTGCTAGAATTTCCAGGGGCTTTGCGAGCGGGACATTACATCATTACGACCTTGCACTATACTTGTTTCGCTATTAATGGCAACGGCTGTACCCTGGAGTGGAGTTCGGGACCGGGGTGGGAGACCAATTGTTTTCAACTCCACCAACCATAGGGGTCACACAGCTACAAGGCGCTCAAGTCAACCCCCACGTACACATACTTTACATCAAGTTAGATTAGTAGGTTTCTTATCTTCTTAAAAACTCACTGAATAAAAAAGACTCGTGTGGTACCGTAGTCCCTATTATCGACGAGTTATCAGTGACTCATCATTGAGGAAGAGAGGCTAAATCCTCTGTGACCTGCTGCGGTTTTGGAGTCCTAGGCTGTCCGATATCGCTCAACCCCATACTATGCCACTGGCACGAGGAGATACTGCGGATAAACGGGTGTTGATCCGGTATCTGGTTCCTGGTACCTTTAAACCGCCCTGAACCGGACTTCGGCTTTAGTCTTGAGGGTACCGATCCAACAAAAATGAATGGACCCAATGGCGCCGTAAAATAGAAAGGGATACATTTTCTTTGCATTGGAGTGAGCAATGAATGATGGAAGAAAGCGGCGCAGCCGGCAGCATCGTTAAGGAAGGCCTTGGGCAACCAGGCACCAAGGAATACAACACAAAGCAGATGAACCCTGCCTACCGTGATGTGGGGAAGCACATGGGCCTCGGCTGTCTTTCCGGGAAATATGCCATGGAGCTTCCATGGAGCTTCCTAGAGTTGAATAGCAAAAAGCTGGGGGAAAGCGAATCTGGCTAGCCTGACGGCGCACAATATGTTCTCCAGCATCCTTATGTGTATAGAATTCTCTTTCAAACGACGGGAATCTCATCGGCTTAATAAGAGGGACTGAAGCAGATGAAGTTCTGGATAGGGTCGGCTCGGTTAGATACGGGTTTAAGGGAGGTTCGCGCGTCCTCGGATGAGCGAGTGCTGGACCATATGGTGGCCGCCAACGGTCGTTAAGCTGCTGTGCATGAACGGCCACGTCTTGATGAGCTTTGCAGCCATCGGAGCGCGGTTCACAATTTTTCTCTTGGGGCAACTTTTTGATCATAAATTTGCAGCGCGCCACCGCCGCGTACGTGGCCATTGTGCCGCCTGCAGTCACAGGGACAGTGGACCGGCCATTTGCCGGCTTAAGCGTCCCAGCCTGCGAGGAAGCACCGGTGTCGCTGAGCCGTTTGTCAAGTCGCTGTTGGCGCGCCCTATGCTCCTTCTAGCCGCATTCCGCACCCTCAGATAAGAGTCACTCTCCCCGGGTGCGAGTGGAGCCCCGTTACGTAGGTATAAAACAGTCTCTCTGAACCTCACTTCCTCTTCATCTGCTGTCCATTTTCTTTCAATTGGCGGTTCGGGTTGATCTCTTTCCAATTCTTTCCCTTGTCCATACCGATACCGCAGGCTTTCAACACAGGCAGACCCCAACCATGTCTCCCTCCGCCGTCAACCCCACGACCGTCTCAGGCCTTACCGAGGCTGGCATTGAGCACCACATCGTCGAGCACCCTCCGTCGGGCGCGTCCAATGGCCACGAGCTCGCCCAGCTCGATGCCTCCAAGCTCACCACGACCTTCACCACTTCCCCGCGGCCCGTGCCGGAGCCCAACTCGGCGGAGGTCATCGCGCAGAAGGTGTGCACCGACCACATGATCACCGTGTCCTGGACGGCAGATCACGGCTGGCACACGCCGGAGCTCAAGCCGTACGGGCCGCTCTCGCTGATGCCGACGGCATCGTGCCTGCACTACGCCACCGAGTGCTTCGAGGGCATGAAGCTGTACCGCGGCTTCGACGGCAAGCTGCGTCTCTTCCGGCCTGATCGCAATGCGGCGCGGCTGCTGACATCTGCCAATCGAATCTCGCTGCCGTCCTTCGAGCCGGCGGAACTGGAGAAGCTGATCGCGAAGCTCTGCGCCGTCGACGGGCCCAAGTGGCTGCCCGTAGACCGCGCCGGCCAGTTCCTATACATTCGCCCAACCTTTATCGCTGACGACGAAGCGCTCGGCGTCAATGTTCCCAAGCGTGCGCTTCTGTACGTCATCATCTGTAACTTCCCCAACCTGGACAAGCCCACCGGCTCCCTGGCGAAGCCCGGCCTGAAACTTCTTGCATCCCGCGATGACATGGTAAGAGCCTGGCCAGGTGGATTCGGCTACGCTAAGCTCGGAGCCAACTACGGTCCTTCGTTGATTGCGCAGGGAGAAGCGAGGGCTCGGGGGTTTGATCAGATTTTGTGGTTGTTGGGGAACGACTGCCTGGTCACGGAGGCGGGCGCCTCCAACTTTTTCGTCGTCTGGCGCGCTCCGGAGTCGAACAAGCTGCAGATCATCACTGCCCCGCTGGACGACCGCATCATCCTCGACGGAGTGACGCGGCGCTCGGTGCTCGAGCTCGTCCGCACCCGTCTCGTCAACGGCTGGGCTGGCGCCGACGCAGCCGAGGAGACGCTCGAGGGCCTTGAGATTGTCGAGCGCAAGTTCACCATGAGCGAGGTTGTCGACGCTGCAGCTGAGGGCCGTCTCGTCGAGGCATTCGCTGCTGGAACCGCCTTCTTCATCGCTCCCGTCGGTCTGATCCACTTCAGGGGTAAGGACATCGAGATCCCTCTGGCGGCCGGCGAGACTGGCAAGTACGCTCACGTCATCAAGACCTGGCTGCGTAACATCATGTACGGCAAGGAAGATCACGAGTGGGCTCGTGTTGTTCCCGATGAGGGCTGCCAGGCTTGAACATGAGTTCTGAGATGCTGAGTCTCTTCCATGGCTTGTGAGAAAAGTTTAAGGGAGGATCTGCGTTCGTTTCGACCGAGAAGATTCATGATTGTTCTTTTGTAACTGTGGGTAGCCGGCGTTAAAAAGTGAATGTTGTAGACTAGAGGTCTGTATCAGCGACAGCACAATAGAATTTGAAGCATTACTTTGAACTCAAAAGGGGGTGAAAGCGCCGCTGCAGGTCCCTCAGTCTTCAGTGCAGGTGATGTGGCATGGCGGGATACAAGAACTCAGTGTTACCATAGACGGACGTGCTCCGGACTCGACGATTCGAGCAGCGGCAGATGCATCTTGTGCAAGCGACAACCCACGGTACGAGTAGCATCGGGACCGCAGTTGCGAACACGCCGTGGGTTCCACCTCCCGGACTCGTGCTCCCGCGCGCGGGTTTCACGGACTCTTTGTAGAAATGCAGTCGGCAAGTGAGTTGAGGGCTGCACGGCGGAAGCGAGCCATCGCCAGGCGGGTCCCTCCGTCCGGCACATCCGCATCGGGTAACCAGCCAACCAGGCAGTGTGCAATGCATGCGCTCTGCCACCCACGCCATGTGCACCCCTGCTGCGCGAACCATGGTTCGCCGGCAGCGTGCAGCCAGCGGTCGACTCTCAAACAACGTGCAGCACAGCAAGCGAGCCGGTGACTTCATTTCTCACCGTCCAGCCGTGGTTGCCCTCGGCTGCTCCCCCACATAGCGCCGCGCCTTCCTTCGACCCAAGATTGTCACCGCCTGTCCACCTGCTGACCCTCGGTGATATTCGTGTCTGCCATCCGTCTGTCCCTGCCGCGGCACGTGGGACGCGCCACACACGTTGGCCCTGCACATTGCACCGCATACGCACCGCGGAAACTGACGTCTACCGTACCAGACTTGGCCGCCATCCTTCCTGCTCTCTTACACGCAGACGCCTCGTCTTTGCACAGAGACGACAGAAGGAGACGCGAGCCCAAAGGACCAGAGGCAGCACGAAATTGCCCGATACCCCATAGCGCCGGGCTACGGCGCGCTTGCATTCCCTCCGTCTTCCGCACGATACATGACATCGTCCATCCGCGCGCCCCGGCCCCGGACTACCCCCAATAATAAAATGGTGTTTTATGCTCTAGCCTCTAACAGCAATGACCGGTACCTGACACCCCGGTACCACTCCCCGAACGCGCACGCACGCCGCCGCCACCCACGCGCGCGTGGCAACCACACACACGCTCGCGCGCACACACCCCCCCAACCACCCCGGCCCTCCTCCGCCTTGTTTTCTATGCGCAGGTCCCAATTTAAAATAGGTCTTGCTTGACTCCCGTTCCCGGATCCGTGGTTAGCATGCCGGGAGGTCAACCAGAAAGCTGCTTGCGACGTTCGATCTTGACTTGCCCCGATGTCTCTCTTTACCCTTTACGCAGCTAAAGCCTACTGCTTCCGGTAAAAGCCCTTTTGCGCTGGCTTCGAACTATTGATTTTGGGTGCTTAGGATCTGCGAACCCTCACACACGCTGCACTTTGATCCGCGTGCATGCCTGCGGAACCCTCTCACCAATTCTTTTTCCCTTCTCTTTTCTATTGGCCCATCGCTGAACCGATCATCGTGCCACCATGGCCAATAGTTGCTGAGCGCATGGACGCTGTCGTCCGTGGTGGTGTTCCCTCGCCGACGTAACACACGACAGTACTACGAAGACCACGGTCTAGAGCTACGACACTAAATGGCTACTGTTGTGCCCTTGCCCTCACCTTGTCGCCGACATGGGACGTTTCCCTTTATTTCTTTTGCCTCGACGCCCAGAGGTTGGGCTGAAACTGATGGCATTGCCTTTGATGGTTGTGTTTCACATTTTAGGCTTTATGGCGAAGCCGGACAAGGGTTCCATGTGCACAGATATATGCAAACAGCATCGGTAGTACTTCATCAGCTCCGGTTCTTTCTTAACATGTTTCATTATCTTCTCTTGTACGTGGTCGGCGTCACGAATACAACACGGCCACTGAATGAACCGATCACTCCGGTCATAGTTTACGATTGTAGCCGAAAGCAGGGCGGTGACAGTTTCGCGTTCACGACATGCTACTCATGGCGAGTGAGGTAGGGTTTTAGTGGTTATGGCAGTGGATATCTCCTACGGATGCAAGATCGTTCTGGTGCAAGCTCATTCTGATTGAACACTGCACGTGGTGGAGTACTCATATGCAAATTCCGCGGGACTTGCCCTTCTGATTGTCAACTCTTCCTTGCACCTGTCATGATTCCGCGGCAGCAATATAGCAACACTCAGCTCCATAAAACAGAGCTCCTCTTGCCTGTTTCAACCGTCTTCTACAACAAATTCTTGGCATATCAGTTCGGGTTGACACAACAAATGCAAAGAGATCACTGTGGTCGGCCGCGTTGTTGTCGTTCATTTCAGGAGTACATCCTTTCTGTGCCAAAGCAGAAACCTGGAACGACATGAAGCTCATCGTCTTTTGTACATGATGCTGGGCGCCTTTTCAAGCCGTAAGTGCAGTTCACCATCACGGGAACCATTTCTGCAAACCATTATCGCTTGACTTCGCAAACGAGAAACCCACTGTGCCTTTGGAGTCCTTCACATTTCTACAAAGCTGGATTTACTGTTCCGAGCCCTGTTCATAACTTCCGATTCACCCTATCCCAGCCCACTAACTACTATCGCTTCCAAAGCTATGACGTACCTCTCATTCTTGCGTCGTCACCTGGCACTAGTCATCGTTACCCCATCCACAACATGTGATCTTCACCCAACCTTCATCCAAATTCCTATAAAATATTCTACTTTTTGCGATCGTTCACCGCAGCATGTCCACCACAGTCACTCTGGGATAGGGAGGACATTCAACAAGATGGTTCACTTCGTCTGGGAGCATGACATCCGCTCGGCAACTTCGGCGTGGGATTTGTGTTGTTAAACACGGTATTGACATACTCTGACCAAGCCATCGTCGTTGCCATACAATTTCTGGCTCAGCTGACCATTCTCTGGGAACAATGATGAGTATCCTTTAGGTAACGAACTGCCGCATATCACTATTTTAGTGACGTGCACCAAAGCATCATGCATAGGCCTGTTATGTTTTGATCACGAGGTGGCAATTTCACCCCGTCAAGCAAGGCAAAGAACCGCACTACAGCGTGCAGCGTAAGAAGCCTACATTTTCGAACTCGTACATTATGATTCAACACCTAATATATTGTACTATTCAAAGCTCACACACAGGTCGATACTTGGTCTGACTGCCCACGTAGTAATAGTGAAACCTCTTCATCAAGGCACAGAGAACTCGGACGTTCTCCCAAACATTGTGCTGTCTGAGTAAAGCATGTCATATGCTCGAACTTGAACTATCCATCCAAATTCCCTTTTTCCCAACCCTCCCACCGACCAAACCACCCCCAAACACTGTTTTTTTTCCCCCTTCTTCTCAACCCACCAACGACAACCGCTCAAACGCCTTCACAACCGGCGGCTCCTTCTTCCTCTTCTCCGCCATCACCGCATCCCAGTACACCCCATCCGCCCCCGCCACAGGCACCTCCTCGCCGCCGCCGTCCTCTTGCGTCACGGCAACGACCTCCTTCTTCTCGACCTGATACACTTCATCCACGCAGCCGCGGCACAGGGCCACGACCTCCTCCATGGCAACCTCGACAGCGGCAGCGCGCTCGCGCATGCCCCTGCGCATCAGGCCCTCGACGAGGCGGGCGACCTCTTCGTTGACCTGGTTGACGCGCTCGATCAAGCGGCCGATCGAGTTGACGAGGTACTCTTCCTCGTAGACGCTGCCCTTCTTGCCGCGCGCGCGCTTGCGCTCTTCGCGGCGGCGGTTCTTGCTTGTCTTGCGCGTCGTCGCCGTGTTCAGCGTCGTGCCGCTGCGGTTGGTGTAACGCGTCATGAACGTGCCGGCCGACGTCGTCGCGTCCGTAGGCGCGAGCGACACGTTATCCGGGATATCCGCACCACCGGATGCCTCCGCGCCGTCGAAGAAGGCGAGCGGGTCCTCCTGCTTCTTGACGCGCAGCTCCCGAAGCCGCGGCACCTGCGCGTTGACCTGGCCCTTGCAGTCGGCCAGCAGCTCCGTCATGGCCGCCGAGCCCTCGACCAGGCCCGGGTCGACGACGGCCTCGACGAGGTCGAGCCGCCGCCGCAAGCCGACGACGCGCATCGCCTCGGCGAAGAAGTAGCCCTTGCAGAAGGTGCGCGCCGCCGCCTCCAGGTCGTCGAGGTAGTCGAGCTGCACCGTCGCCGCCGCGTAAAACTCCTTCGTCTCCGTCAGTCCCTCCGCCAGCGCCTCGGCCAGCGATTGGAGCTCTTCTGCCGGCAGCGGCACCGCCGTTGCGCACGAGAGCGACTCGCGCCACATGTTGGCCGCGCGGTAGGCTTCCGTGGCGGAGGCGTAGTCGGAGAGGTACTCGAATGCTGGAAGAAAACAATTTTGTTAAAAGCTATATGCTTTCTTGGGTTTGTAGGTTGCTTACCGATGCCCGCCTCTTTGAACCTGTTCCGACTGTCGAGATACCTTGCGTAGAGCTTCATGATCTCTTTCAGCCTGTCAGGCTTGTACTTGTGCAGCGCGATCGCATCGCTGTACAGCTCGTGCTTCTCCGCGTACGCCTTGAGCTCGTCGAACGCATCCAGCTCGTAAAGATGCCCAATTGCCTTCACCCGCCTGCCGAGATTGTCGTCGATGGTGAACTGGCGACGGAGTTGTTCCATCTCCTGGAGGCTCTGCAGGTACGGAAGGTACTCCCTGGGATCTTTCTGCGACTGCTGCGCAATGAGAAGCGCTACGTCGAGGTTGTACATTCCGAGCGCGTGATCGTAAAGCTGGTTGACGTCTGCGAGGAAGCAAATGTGTTCAGCTGCCCTCTCTGCCAGGCTGGTGTCTTGCTCTCTAAGCTTTGCGACGACACCAAGTCCACCTTCAAGGTCGGGGGGAGTCTTGCAAACATTTGCTGTGACGATGTTTTGAAGATTTGTCTCTGTGCGCTTCTGAAGAACTGCGAGGAAAGCGTCACAGATCCGGTTGACCTTGGTAGAGACATCGAATCTTGATTCGTTGGCTGGAGTGCCATTGGTTGTGGTGCCGGTGCTTGGCTTCTTCACGGTCTCCTTGTACATTGTTTGCGTCACGTCTTCATTTCTTGGGTTGAAGTCAGCTACCACAGGAGTGTCTGGAGAGTAAATGTAGGATCATACCGTAATTGGGAGAGAAATAGGTCAACGTGCGTGAATTTCTTGAGCTGGTCGAGGAAGAGTTGAATGCTTGCCATGAATTGTTCTGGCATGTGGTCATGAAGGATGTTCATGTCGACTCGCTGGTTACGACAAGCCATAAAAGCTCTCTTGTACTTCTTCTCCGCGATGCTCTTACGAATTCCTGCAACGACCAAGGCTCGAGGGAAGATGGTCTCGAGGTTGCCTCTGGGCATCTGAAGAACAACAGAGTAAGAGGATGGCATCACTGAGACTAGGCGAGCACCTCGCTCAATGCTACGGCAGCGTTCGTCCTTTTCCGGCTCGTCGAGAGGAACCTCAAGTTCTGCCAACAGTCAGCAAAGGTATCCGATCATGGTTTAAATGCATTCTACAGACCTTCAACAGGGGCGAGGTGCACGAATTTGAGGAGATGTTGTGTTGTGGTAAAGACAAGGTGTGCTGGAGTGACTCTAAAAGAAGTGCAGTTTTTAACCAAAAGTCTTGAGTTGGCATACAGTGACCCGTTTGCGGTCAGACCAAATGCAATGTCCTGTGGATATTAACGTTAGTCTGATGAACCACGGAGCGGAATTGAGGAGCATACCTCATCGTCATGCGACACCACCTCAATCCATGCTGGCCGAACCGGAAACTTGGAGATAGGCGACGGCCCGTCCAGGACATCTGAATCGATGCATGACACTGAGCCACCTTCATCCATGGTGCAGAATTTGCTGTAATCAACAGAAGCCATTGCGGTATGTATCCGAGGAGAATCCAGTGGGATCATGGTGAACCCCTCATGGTCCAGAGTCTTGTAGCAGACAATACTTTCGCCGATATCCTCATTGTCAAGGAGGACGAAAATCTCCGAATCGCCACGGAACGTGACTTGACGAGGTTTGGCGGCAGAATCTTCCAGAGTACAGCGTGTCTCGAGAATTGGATCTTGTGCTTCTTTACTTGAGATGTTGTAGCGGTACACACAGACTTCAGACTCGTGCAGGACTGCAATGAGAGTGCTCGAGGAGTTAATAGCCACATCGACCGCGTTGCCCTCAAGCAGTACTTCATGTAGGGCCATCGGCGGGGGAACATTGGCAAGCCGCAGAGGCGTGACTTTCAGTGTTCCTGTTCATTGTCAATATACGATCTGCGTGCTGGGCGTTTTCAGACTTACTGCCATCGATAACGGCAACTGTGCCGAAGTCGTTGGGTTGAACTGCAGAAGAACCTGCCACAGAGAAAACATACTCCAGGCTTTCCGAAGTGTCTGCAGAACTGTCAGTCATAATGGATGAGAGGTGCTAGGGAGTTGGCAATACAAGGTGTGGAAAGTGCCAGCTTCAATGCCTTTTCAGGGTTCCACCGAGGCTGCACAGCAGAAGCCAAGCTCAGATCTTCACTGAGGCGGATCTCCTGCTTGAGGTAGTGGTGGTAGTTGCCCATAGTCCAAAGTTGAAGTCTGTCTTTGAAGCAGACGGCAAGAACGGTAGAGTCAGTGTTCCAGGCGAGCGTGATGTTGCTGCCCCAGCTCTTCATCTCATCTGGTGTCAGTCTGAGGCTGAATTCTCCGTGGCGCAGGCCGTTACGCTCAAAGAACACGACATCGATGCGGTCCTCGCGCCGCTGCACACCGGCGATGATGTTACCTGCGGGCCGCCAGCTAAGGGCACCCTCGAGGTAGTCGACCGGCTCGCTCACGCTGTCGAGAGCGCCTTCTCTCGAATAGACTCGGATCATACGCCTCTTCTCCGACTCGACAGAGTTGACGGCGAGATAGGCACCGTCTCCTCTCCAGGTAATGGTGACGCTTCCGTCATCCAGAGAGCTCAGGAGACCTTCATCAACCTTCTCTGGCATAGTAGGGTCGCGGAGGGCCTTGGCACGCTTGCCCTTGAACTGCGTCTCTTTCTTGCCCCATCCGACGGACACGTGGTTCGAGGCCTTGATGTCCTCTGGGGTGAAGGTGATGTTGGAGACATTCTCGAAATCGCGGGTCATGTACAGAAGCGTATTGGCACGAGTGGTGATGGCCAGGAGCTCTTCGTCGGGCGACCAAGCGGCGGCCGTGATGCCAGCATCGACGGAACCGACGATTTCGATCATGTCCTCACCGTGCATGGGCTCTTCCCGGACAATGACAATGTCGCCGCCTGCGAGCACGAGGCATGCTGACAGCGAGTCCGGGAAATAGTGCAGACTTAAAACTTTGTCGCAGGACAGCTCTGGCAGAGGGCACGGGGCATCCCAGGAGGCTATCAGGCCGAAGGCGTCTGGGGCGGTGCTTTGGTCGTCGACCAGGCGCTTGAGCTCGATGACAGCACTTGACTCAGATGGGCCAAAGGTGCAGATTAGCGAGTCTGCGGAAGTGTCCCATGCTGTTGCAGTGAGCGGCAGGGCGTCCGCGGGGATTTTGCGGACGGCGTTCCGCACACACCTCAGGTTGCGCATGGCGAGCTCCGAGCGGGGCGAAGAGGTGTGGGTTTAGAGCCGGGTGGGCATGGCTGGGTGGTGTTTTAAGGCGTCGCCTCCAGGCTGGCGAATCAAAATTTCGAGGTTTCCAGGCGCTAGTCAGCCGAAGCGTCGCCGCCAAGACCTTCAAATCATCGTGCAGCGACATGACGTCCGCTGCCCAAACGCACGGTTCTTGGGTGTTCCGAATGCACGAGAATCAATTCATCTAGAAGCAGCCGCCTGGTAGCATTTCCTTTTGTACAATTGCAGCATCCACGCAGGTCTGGTATGCTCCAGTCCTCCGCGACGACCCCTTCTATCGAGAATTCCACGCGACTGTAATTTACTGGTCCTTCTTGGTCTGCCAGACTGTTCGTTGGAGCTTGCGTTAGTATGCGGCCGTGAATGGTGTTGGGACGCGGGAGTAGCTCACCGGCAATGCCGACGGGCGCGAAAAAGCCGACAGCTGCACCACCATTAGCTTCCCATTCGTAACCTATTCATTGCCGCAGCTTACCCATGAACGACCAGTAGCGCACAGCGAAGAACTTGGTCAGAGGGTTGAAGGGGATGTTGCTCTACAGCCCAGTCAGTGGATCACGGTCGAAGCTATCGGGAACACAGAGGGAACGCACGCGGGGACCCTGTCAGTTCAGTCAGTACATCGCATCAGCCAGAATGATCCAAGGGAGACGGCGCACCTCGGGGTAGTGGTAGGGCGAGGAGAGCCTGGCGCGGGTGGCGGAGAAGGCCCTCTTCTGGACCTGCGAGGCAACGCGGAGGGTGGGGCGGGACAGCATCTGCGGACGTCAGTCGCTGGCGACGGGCGGCCAATGCCATCTGCAACATCGAAGGCACGTACTTTGGCGACGTGGAGACTGCCGGGTCGGGAGGGTGAGTGGAGATGTGTGGTATAGCGGGCAGAGGGTGAGCTTGGCCGCATCGCATGATCCCGCGAAGTTGCGAGCCCCGGCCGAACTGCGGCAATTCCTCCCCAGCCCCCGAGTCATCTCCACTACAACCTCACTCCCCTTCGTCCGTCAGCCTTAGTCATTGACCTCAGACTCATGAGCTGACACACAGGCCATTGAATTTCATACTTCACCAGCCTGTACAAGCTACTTCGAGGATAATAGACGATCACCCCCCTCCAAAAAAGTATCAAGGTCAAGAGAGTCAGGCCACTGACGCATGGGCTGATCAGACAGCAGTCAATGCAATGAATATATTTCATTGACGAAAGGTCTTGTATGCGTATATTATCTGGTTGCACTTTTGCCCTTTGCAGAAAGCCGGAATTTCCGAATACCCCAGCTTCTATCCTTCCCAAACGCCGCCTCATGCAAGTCATTTCCTCTCAATTTTGCTGCTGAAACGGAGACATCAACCCCCGTGGGTCCCTCAACACCTCTATAGAATCACCAAGCATATACTGGTCCTAATTCCTCCCTTCTCCCGACCGGGTTCCCTCGTCTCTTTCTTCACTACTCCTCCCCGCTCCACCCACTCGTTCCTCTTCGACAACATCCTCTTCCTCTTCATCAATGGCGTCCACAAGCGCCCTCTCCTCATCCCTCACCTCCTCCTTCCTGCCGACCCCCTTACTCTGCTCCTTCCGCACCGCCACGTAAATCGCACTCCCCAAAATCAAACTGCTCCCCGCCCACCCCCACGCATCCGGACTCGTCCCGAACACGAGCTTGTCGCCGGCGAGCGCGAACAGCATCTGGCAGTAGACCATGTTGGTCGCGCGGCTGCTCTTCTCCTGCTGCAGGCCGGCGGCGAGCAGGAACTGCATGACGAAGCCGCACAGGCCGAGGAAGCCGAGCAGCGCCCAGTCGCGCAGCGACGAGGGCAGCAGGAACGGGATGCCCGGGATGAACGTCATGGCGAGCACCGACACGAACGTGCACCACACGGCGAAGTAGTTGACCGAGATGAGGGCGTGCGCGCGCTTGCCGATCCACCGCAGCGTCGTGTACGCCGTGGCGGCGCCGAGCACGCCGAGGAGCGCGACGGCCACGGCCAGCGCGCGCTGTTCGGGCGTGACGGACGAATAGTCGCCCGCGTCGGTGGCGTCGGGAGCGGAGGTCGTGCCGTTGGATGGGGGCGGGGTCGATGAGGAAGGGGAGGAAGGGGAGAAGAGGGAAGTGGGCCGCGCGATCAGCACGACGCCGAAGAGGGAGATGAAGGCGGCGACCTGCTCCATGCGGGTGAAAGGCTCTTTGATGAGGATGGAGCAGGCGAAGCAGGCCAGAGAGGGCGCCAGGAACGTGATCACCGTGGCGTCGGAAAGAGGAAGATACAGTAGCGAGTCTAGAGCGGGTCAGAATCTCAAAGTGGAGGATAGTAGTGAAGATAAACTCACAGTACATGCCAAATACACCGAAAAATCCACCAAAGCCGCGCAGTGCAAGTAGCCAACGAACCTCTCTTGGTCCAAACGGTGCATGCTCGACCTTCTTCCACCACACGTAGAAAGACGATAGGACTAATGTAATTCCCATGCGAGCGAACAGTACCTTTACACGAAGGACTCCTTAGCTAGGCCTTCACACATTCGGGAATGAGAGTTTACTTACCTGAAATGGGTGATAGCCTTTTCCGTGGTTGCCCTCTATCTCTAGAATTCTGGTTGTGACATTCATACCAACGCCGAAGAACTGTGACACAAGAACTAGGATGAGCCCCTTATTGTGCGACCATAACGCGTGCAGTCGGCCCATCCATGTCTGAGGTCGTTTTTCAGAAGAATTTGGAAGTCCATGTTGATGAAAAGATTGAGACAGCAGGAAGGTTGAGGATGTGGCAGTGTGCGCCGAAGGATAGTCCTCCAAGGAGAAAACCGAAAGCGTAGGGGAAGCGACTCGATGGCTGGGATTTTGCGGAATATCCAGACGCAGATTTTCCCCTGATGCCTTGGCTGTGAGGGCGTCGTTCTCGGCAACAGCAGCAAGTGCAGCCTCGTCGCTTGCCGGCTGGGCTTTCTTGCCGTCTTCTGTGGCGTTGGGCAGCGGGCTCATGATTCTGAAACTAGCCGCGAGTCGAGTTCCATTCAAGACGATAGAATCTGAGGAAGAGCAGGTGGGACAAGGCCGTAGGAAAAGAAGAGAGCTCGATGCGGAAGATTCTGGGGAAGAGGCGCTGCGGCACAAGACCCACCCCAGAGGCGGCGCATCCAGACCATTTGGACATGTCCGTCATCGGCTTTTGCAACGCGTGTGACTGGTTGGTGTGGAGGGCGGCGGCGGCAGTCAACCAATCGGTGGGTAAGCGGAAGTGTATGATGGCGCCAAGGGTTGGGTTTACTGTGGCAGGCGGCAGAGCGCGGGCAGTCCTGTGATCCAGTCGCCGGGAGATCGGCCGTACCTTCTCTCGACTTCCATATCGCAAACCTGACCGGTGAAAAACAGATGCCTGTTACGTCTTGTGGTGGTTGACTGTAGCCCTCGTGACGGTGTTGTTGGTGGTGAGGCGGCCTTTGACTTGGCCCCGGTTTCGGCTTTCGACCACGCTTATCTTATCGAGCACCTTGCTTCCCCGCCCGGCACCAACAGGAGCGGCAATGCACATGCGCTCCTTCCTCTGAGAGCGGCTGCATCAGAGCATGTCCGCCGTCCGCGGTGGCGCTGCTCGCTGAGGTCATCACGCTAAGACTGCTGCCTCCGTCACCTCTACCAAAATCCCATCACTCACCCGCCGCTTCCGAAAATCCTCCAGCCGTGTGCATCAGTTGGCCTTGAAACTCAGCAAACGTCACCCCAAAGCCACGGAAGCCTCATCTTCTGGCCCCCTTTAGACAGGATGGCACCTCGACGCGCGGGATCATGCCACTGATACACAAAACTCGGGACTTGTTGATTGGGAAAGCAGACACTTCACACGATCCGTTGCAAACCCTTACGCTACTGTTTCTCGTGTCCATCGCCGGGCGTGCACCTTTCGCATGGATTTTCGGCTGACAAGAAACCAGCGACTTGTATCACCGAGTTATGTTACTGTTTTTGTCTTTTCACGCGGTCTAGCCTCGATACTACTCAGCCACGTGCGCGCCCTCATGGATTGACCTGTCACTGGGAGCCTGAACACCACGCCGGCGTTATAAAATGTACGTGCTGAGCGAAGTTCACGATGCAGATCATGAGTACGAAATCCTCTCCAACACGCACCATGTACAAAACGAGCACTATCCTTGCTTCACTCCCGTCCTTTTGGCACCCCAGAATGCCGCCCCAGCGCTCGCCCAGCGGCCACATCTACTCCAACTCTCCCGGCTCTCCAGACTTTGCAAACACTGCAACCCAACGACAAAACCGACGGTTCGACAGGCAGCGCTTTGTTTGCTGCCAATGCCACCCTCCTCTTGCAAATCCCACCATCTTTGACGATTTTGGGTTCTGCCGACAACACAGCCACAACCGCTGCGAGAGGTGTAGAAAGCTGCACCGCGGAATGTGGCCACACTGGAACTTTACTCCGGGCGCTCCGGGCCTTGGCCCATGAAAATCTTGTCTCAGATCTCGGCTTTCCTTAGTGTGGCTGGAGTGAAACCATACTCACGCCTTATGCTTGACGACACACGACTCACAATGCTCCCCGAAGCCTCCCTTTGCATGTGTTCAGCTTTGCTGATGTGAGCGGCTGCTTTCCCTTTTCGGTCTGTCTCAACTATTGTCTTTTGGATACCACTTTTTCTCCTCCACGGAGATAGTTGCGCAAGGAACGAGTTGGTGGGAAGGAGTGACACGACAACTACAGAACGGGTGATACTATCCAATGAATCTACAAAACTCATCTCTCATCTCCACGTTATTTATGGCACCTCCACCTTCTCGCTTCTCAAGGCCAATGGCCGACGTGATCCCCAGCTTTGCTGGGCCACGACTTTCTGTTCAACGTCCCACTGCAGCTAACTAGTCGCTCCCTTCCCTCCTCCGTCTTCGCTCGGCCGGAGGCCGCACCTGCCCCACTACGACACCACAAATCATCTTTCCCCCTCCTTCCCCTTGTCCTCCTCCGCCTTACAACCTGCTCAGGAGATCGCCTTGTCCGACGCCACCCTCCGTCGATCGTCCTTCCGGATTCTGCGGTGATCTCCGGTGTTGCGTGTCACTCTTCGCTTGTCGGTTCGCTGATCCGAGAGTTAGCTGATTTCTCGCCTTCGCCGACCGGCCGGCCGGCTTGGTGTTGTACGGCAGGACGGGGCATAATTTTCCTTCCGAGATTCTATAGGGTGGGTTGCACGAACTGCGTGCACTTTAGCGTGGCGATGTAAGGTGAGGTGGTGTTCCTTCTCTAACTTTCTGAAAAACTTTTTTTGGGCTGGCTGGGTTATGGATTAAGAGAAAGAGAATGGAAAAGCAAGAATGTAATTATGGGTTTGATAAAATGGTAAGAGGTGTCAGAGTGATACTTTGATTGCGAGAAATGGCATGCTTTCTCTTCGGTTCTTGTGGGGAAATCAAGGGGGAGAAATGCGGAGGTTACTCCAGCGTGGCCACTTGTTTTCCCCCCAGAAAATAAGGCTATTGATGGGCCTACGTAGCGAAAGTGATAACAACTCGCCCATTCGACTACACCAAACCATTTTCGAGGTCACGGTCCCAAGGTTCTGGTAACTCCACAACGTTTCGTTTTCCGTCCCTTGCGCCATGATGCAGATCCAATAATTGAGAAGCCACGTTTGTAGAAACTCCCGACTGTACCTCGCATTGCGTGTTACTGTGGAAATGTTTTTTTGGGAGCAGCATCATTCTTGAAAGATTGTATTCAGTTCATGACGTAAGTTTTTGTTTTTAATAAATAGAAAAAACTACGGTTGCTGGTACGAGACGGAAGTTTGCCGGTTTTGCGCACGTCTTGATCTCCATCCCAAAGCGATCACCAGTTCTCCCCAGACTCAATGACACATGGTTCTACCTCAAGATTTTGATAAAAATTAGTTCGTCAAGGTTCCTGTACAGCCAGCCTCTGAAGTGGCTTCTTCCACATGTCAAAGGCAAGTGGAGCACGGGGCGCATCAATATCCGAGTTTGCACCGCATTTTTGACCCGTGGATTTTTCCCGTCTCCACAGCAACAGGCAACCTTTCGGACCACGGGACCACGTTGATCCAGTCTTTCCACGCGGCTATAAAATGAGGCCCTCCCCTCCAGCAGAACCTCTTCTTCTTCTTCTCCATACTTACCTTGTTGGGGCCGCCGAGATCATGAATTCGGTTGGCCTATCGGGCTACCCTGCATTGCACAGCGCGGAGGTGGCTCGGTATGAATCTCCTTCGGGGGCTTCACTGGCGCAATTTTTGATGGCTTTCCTGATGGAAAACTTTTCGTTGATGCGCTCGCCTTGCTGCGGGACCTCGAGGAAGAGGACTAGTGTGACCAGGCCGACGCACGGCAATGGCATGGGTATTCCGTGTGAGAAGCTTTTGGGACCTGCGTATCAGCTCTTCGAATTAAGGTATTGGGATGCGGTTTGATTTTGCTTTGACGTGTGTTCGAGTTTGAAATTGTGACGTGTCGGGTTTGGGCGAAGTTGTTGGCGCAGTCTACGTCGACTATACATGGTGCCAACGCAGCTGCTTTTATAATATTCCGCGTCGCTGTGGGCCGAATTTTGGAAACTGACTTTGCGCCAGCTGGTTGATTGTAGACACCTGCTATCACGCCAGATAGTAAGCAGGGCGTCTTCTACCCATCAGCCACGCAAGCGGCTTCAAGCGAACAGCAATCCCTCACCCAATTCGCAAGACAGCCAGACCTGGGGCTCATTCAAGCTGCTATCTTTCGACAAGCCCGAATTTCGCGCCTGCGTGCACAACATGACGCTATTTCAGTCAACTCAGCATGACGGCAGAACCACCATCGTCATATGTTGCAATACACTGCTATCACGTAGATAAAGCTAGCCCCCGGTACTTTGCGCGGGGCTGCACTTTTGGCTGACTCTAGAGATGCGCATCCTGCCTAAGGACCCCGGGAGTGTGGCGGCGAAGATGGGCCTCTTCGCTGGAATTGAGCTCGTTGAAAGGATGCCGGAGAATAGCGAGGAGATTCACAGCGCCTTTCAAGGAGAGATGGTGAGTCTGGGGTGGTGGGATGGAGGCAATGTGGGAGGTCCTGGGTCGGGGTCGGAAAAGAGAAGGTATGGGGAAGATTGGCAAAGCTCAAAAAAGCGTGTTCACAAACCTGCCCTCTTGGCAAACACGGCGAAATTTTGGGCTAGCCCGCTCCGTTATTAATATGCGCTCATATGAAAAACAACAAAAAAGTTAAACGATATGCAATTATTAGTGTAATGGAACGCTGTGGTATGACTGGCTCCCAGAGTAGATGGTACGGCTGCAATACGCAAGGGCATTCAAATGATTGATCGTCTTGGAGACCGCACGCGGCATAGCTTGCTTGCCGAGACGGCACGTAGCGCCGCTCTTAATTAGGCTCGCTCCACAGCAATTCAATGCTCCTGGAAAGCCACAAGCCAGCGCAACCTCCGAATGGCTCTCTTGTCATCCACCTCTAATCCAACCTCTCCTCTCGCCCATGCTCTATCCTCTCGGCCAATTGTGAAGCTGTAAGGGTAACTGCAACAGCTGGTCATTGAAAGCTGAGTGATGGAATGTGTCCTCAGATCGCAGCCTGGATGTGGCGACCGCCTCGAGCCTCAGACCTCCTGATTTTCGACCAACTCATGTTGTCCAGGCACAACAACGCCAACACTTTCGAGGTGCCATCGCATGCCCGACTGACATGATCGGTATCTTACCAGTATTGTGCCTCAGGATTTCGCATTTGGCCTACATTGAACAGTCAGCGTCAGCATGGGCGGCAAACACGTATCCTTTCGCGTGTCGCGTGGGATTCTTCCATACGAGCGCTGCCGATATCTCTCGCTCACTTAGATGCAACCCCATAACCACACACATGGACATCTTTCCTTCTCGTCTTCAGCCTGTTCCTTTCCTGTTGTCAACGTCTCCTCGTGGCATTCCACTGGATACCGAAAGAGCTTGGATTTGCGGGTATAGGACGTTTCCGATGGCGTATGACTGACACTGCGGTACCGACGGAGACTACGAGGAAAAGAGCTCGCGGAAATCAGCAACAAGCTCAGCTCGCATTACAGGTGAATACCTTTTTCATGCTTGACGGGGGGTGTCGCCTCCAATATCCATTGCCACGTACCGCTTCTGGGCATTTGCGTTCCGGTGCCCTCTTGAAGGCCGTCGCACCCACAGTGCAGATAGGATGAGCCGGAGGGGTTGCAACCCTCTGTGATGAGGAGCGCTGGAGGCAGGTTGCGTTGGAGGCTGCGTGAGGGTGGAGAAAAATTTCTGCGATGGATATCTACGACTTACGTCGCACAAAGCCATGCCCTGCAGAAACCGGGCATCACCCCCGCCTGCAGCAGGCGCATTGCCGAGCCACACTTGCCCGTTGGAAACCTGGCCCCTCTCTGCGCTGTACGCTGAAACCGAATGCGCTGGCTAATGGCCTCGGGTCCTTTTCTGCCACCCAGTGCCACACTGAGCGCTCGCACGATTACTGGCAGGCTCCTACCGCAAGATACAGTCAGGCACGACGCATCAAGTACCGGGTGCATCCGAGGAGAATATTCTGGAGAGTTGCCTGTGTGGAAGTGAAATCCCGCCGGGCTTGAGAATCCATTAGGCAATCCAGCCCTTCTCTTAAGCCAGACAGTGCCCCCGACACGTGCGCGCGTTCCGTCGCCTATGAGAGGTGTGGCTGTGCAGGCACCCAAGCCCGTCATAGCTGCAAGCTCTCCGGCTCTTGTCACCCGCACGCCGACCGCCCTCCCGCCAACAGCTACAACATCTTCCGCCTACGCCGCACGTTCTGCGCTTGAAGGCTGCTATCCCTTCTGCCCTGCCTCTTCCTGAGGCATACATCGGTTGACACTGTTCGACTCGTACGTGCCCCCCCCCTTCGCCGAGGAGCAGCTGGCGCTTCCAGCAACATACACCCGCAATTCGGTCCTACTTGTCCAGCTCTGATCATGCTTGCTCCAGTCCAGATCACGCCATTATCGCCCGCAATGCCGCTCCAGTCCACACTGGCTACCTCTGGCTCTGAGGAATCAGAGACGGCTACACCCGACAAACACAAAAGCACGAGGATGAAAACGGGTTGGGCCTACCCGGCCCAGAAAATCGGCGTGAGTCAATCTCTGTCTGTCACAGGGTCATACCAGATTGCTGATGAAACATGAAGCTGTCTGACGACTTATGCCGCATCGTCAACATTGCCTTCAACACAAATCCTGTTTTGTCCAGCGAGACATCCGCCTACTTTAGCGGTGCCGACGATGATGTACAAGTCATCAACTCTCCCAACCCCGCCTCCCACGACCTGAGGAACACTGTCCTGCTCAAAGCAGAGGAAGCTCGTCCCTTCGAAGCCCATATCGTTCCGGTCACGGGTAGTATCCGCGTCAGAGATGGCTATGGCAAATGGCACAAAATATCTATTTCCGGCCGAATGTTTGCCAACCTCTGGATTAAAGACAAGCACTGCTGGAGCAAGCGAGTCCACCCCGTCAACAAAGATATGGAGAATGTCGAGTTCTGGATCCTCGATCAGGGTGCAGAGACCTTCCCCCACGAGTCGTTTGTGAATCGCACATTCACCGTCGCACACAAATTAGACAAGCCTAATGCTGGAGCTCTGAAACTTCACCGTGGAAGCTTGTACAAGTCTCTTCCCGAGATCGCGGATGGTGAGCAGCAACAGAACTCTCTAGACTTGCAAGGCATAGCTAACGCTTAACACAGATGAGACAGTCAATAATGCGATGAAGCACCAGCGGGCCATGGTCGCCGCCGACGCTGCCATGCAAGAGTGCCTGAGGGGAAGTTGAGTTCGGCCTTGAGTGTGAAAAGAGGCATGTTTGGATGATGGCATATGAAGGCTTTTTCTGTGGCCAAGCATGGAAGCGGAAGATCTTACGTTTGCTCTCTCATCTGCCCTCTTTCTTTTCTTTATTTCATGAGATCATGTGTTGTTGTCGTTTTAGAGATACCCTTGGGATATCCTAGCTACATTAGCAGCATGATATACAATGAAAATACCCTTTTAACCTTATATCTTACTTAAAAGAGATGCATTACGTGGGAAAATCTACACCAGTCTCATGACGCATCTCAAGCAATTGTCATGGGCGACCAGCCCGTGTACTTGCGTTTAAGGCCAAGCATGTATGTCACTAATCACAACGAGATCATACGGTATCGTAGCCTCATGCAGGCGATGAAATGAACTTTGCGACGTTGTTAATCTGTGTTGCTCTAGATGATGCGTACGAACTACAACCCCATCCTTTACTTTGCTATAAAGACGACATTCACTGCGGCGAAAGCCGACGCGACGGCAAACACTTGGGCGCGCTTGACAGACGTCCACAAGGTCAGCAGCACCGCAAGTACAAAGTTAAAGATGGCAATGAGACCGAGGCTGAGCCCGTGTACCTTGACCGCCTCGACTTGTTGCAGTGCCACCATAGACACCACGGGCAACATCGACGCGACTCCGCTGGTCAACACGAAGGTCAACCGGTGTATAGTCCTGTGGTTGACCACGACTGTTCTGCTCCCATCTCCGTTATCTCCAGTTCTTCCACATATCCACTGAAACCATCCTTCCTCCCTGCTGTGTAGCTTCTTGATGATGCGGTTGACCACAAACTGTGTCAGGCTGTCGGACTCCGGCCGCGGAAGCAACGTTATGAGGTCTTCTGCATGATCCAGCTCGAAGTTTTTGACTATACAGCCCCATACATCGTGGTCTTGACCTGTGAGGCCCCCGCCATTGGCCATCTTGGTCGAGCGTAGGTATTCTTGGATGTCGCGGAGGTCATGCACGCTCGGCTTGCTAGCGGAGAGGACTTTCATTGTTTGGATGATGGCTTCATCTGGAGAAAGAGAAAGTAAAGCAAATTAGTAGATGTGACGTCAGAATTAGCTCTCTACTGCGGTCGGATCTTTATTTGAGAGGCAATATGAAGTCATGTAACGGCATCAGTACGTGTGGGTACCTTGACACTTACTGTATATCCGCAGTTTCTCCCGAATCATCTCCATCGTACGCCACTGCGAGTCATTAAACTCCTGCTGCTGCTGCTGCTGCTGTTCCATTTCCTTTCCTGCCACTGCTGCACTCTTCTCTTTGGATTTCGACTGGCTCAACTGACGCCAGTTGGTCAAGTACTGGCGCCTCACGGCCGTAGTGCCGGGTGCACGAGCGTCTTCCAGTTGAAAACTGTGCAGGTCTTTCTCGAGGTACACCAACTCGGCTTGCATGTAGAGCAGGTTGCGGATATTGAGCGTGGCGAAGCTGCGGAAGATGGACGCTTCGGGCATGCTGGCCATGTGCTGTGCGAGGTTGGGGTAACCGGCTAAAGATGGCTCTCCGCTATTACCAGATTGTTGCTGGCCGTCGTTTGCTGTTGCTGGTCTTCCTGTGGCGGCTTGTAAAGCCTGGAGAAATGATTGCGAGTTCGGTGCGAAGGGAGCGGCGGCTGCAGGTACCCCTGATTCATGGGTCGAGGAGCGCGATGGCGGCAGCAATATTGCTGCTGCCTCTATGCCTCGTGAACTTCCCAAAGAAGGTAAGGATGTTGCTGCTGCCCAGTTTGCAGATTGTGGCGACGCTGGTGCCGTTGTCCCTGCTGACGGGGGGGCATATGGCTCGGGTGCAGGTAATACATTGACGCCCGGTTGCCTTACCGGATTTGACTGCAATGCCTGATTTGAAGTGGTTGCATGTGATTGTCTGGAAAAGGACCACGGCATACTGCTGATCGATGTCACTGCTCCAAATTCAGCAGCACTGGTGTCTGGTCTTTCTCCTTCACGCCTGGGTCCTGGAAGCGACAGAAGGTTGAGTCCGATAACAGGACTCCTCTCTCTATCTCTAAAAGTGGGAAGGACTGGTTCCGATGAGGAAAATCGGCCTCGAAGTCTCTGCATGGTATATTCCTCTTCCAGAAAAAAAGTGATAAGCGTTGAAAGGCAGCAAAGAAAGCCTGATACAAGACAGCACAGCCCATCCTGTTGTTTTTGACAATTCATGCATAGATATATCATCATGGAAAGTTCAGCCTCGCGATGAGGGGCATCTCGGGTGATGAACTGTACTGTAGAAGGCGCATACCGCATGCATGCAGAGGCCGCAGCATGCTTGCTACCGGGTCCCGAGCTCTCTTGCAAATGAAGTTCAGCTCGCTTCACGGGACTCGCAGAATGGTACTGCCATGATCGCGATAAGTATCTTGAGAGCATGCATTTGTGGCTGGGCTGAGCGTTGTTCTGAACAGCCTTCATATGCAGTTCCAAGCCGATTAGATAGGACAGTCGATAAGTGTCGAGAGTCCGTCCTGGCATCGGAAGTATGATTGTAAATCCCTTACAATTTTTCCTATCAAAGGAAAGCTGAGAGGCAATCATATTAAGTGTTTCAGAGTGAACGGAATCACCCCAGAGGGGAGGAATGAACGATTTCAGTGATAATTTGGGGGATGTAAAAGTGAGAGAGGAGATCCAGAAGACATCCGATTGAGTATGCCGACGCTGACGACAGCGTGGTGAGTGTTGACGCACGTAAGTGAGTAAGCTACTGGATGGGTGGCTCTGCCTCGCTACTGGATGAGGCGAGCGTTTGCCAGCTCGGCAAGATGTTGTGCGACCATCCATTATGGAGTTTTCAGAGTCGCCCCACATGCCCCAACAGGCCTGTCACCCGAGTGTTGCTCGTGACAAAACATCGGTTGTAAGATGCTGAACGGACCATGGCCTATTAGGACCCGCGCAGTCCACTCATTCCTGCAAGCCACCTGGCATTGCCGAAATCCCAAATTTGTCATACACTGGCTTGCAAGAATCAAGCTGAAAGACCGGGTGTCAAGGGTTTTGTACAAGCGCCATCCAGGAGCGAGTCGCAGGGGAAGGAACTTGTCCATCATAGGGGGTTTTGCTGCACTTATTAGCCAGTTGAAATGTGTGGTGCCAGAGCGTGCAGCTTTTAGATCCGGTCACCCAAGAAATACCGTCGAGGCCTACAAGCAGCTCAGAGGCGCAGCATGCAAGGCTGCGGCTGAATCGCTGTACCCGTGTCGTGGCTGTGGGTAAATATGTAGATCATCGGAAGTGGAGGAGGTCTGGAGGCCGCACCGGTTGCCTGCGGCCGGCGACAAGGGAGTAGCATAGCCTCTCACAATGCGCCTTGCGATACAGCTGATGCAATGAAACATGGGTCATCTGCGCATCGCCTCGATTGTTCACTGTTACACAAAAGAGCAGGTTTGTAAGAAGCGGGCCGCCATATTACTGTGGGCGCCGCTGGGGCGATCGTATTATCATGTTCGTGACAACACAACTTCAAGCAAACGGAGGAACTACTTTTCTTCTCACCGACCAAGTGCTTTCTCTTGTTCGAGAATGCCACTCTCTTCTTCTCTCCGGTTACTATCATGCGTGCGTCCATACCACCCCCCGTTTCATACAGACTGTCGAACGGTATTGTGAGGCTGACATCTCCTACGATATACCCAGTACAAACCACCAAGCCGTCGCATCCAACTCTTCGGGCGATTGACGAAGCTAAGGATCGCTAGCGTTGTCAAGAATAGTCGAACATGCAATCTCATAAGCCAGGAAACGGTGGCAGCGTTGCAGTGCGACATGACGCCTCAGCCGCGCACACTACGGCTAAATGGCCTTGACTTAGAAGTTTTGGGAACTGTTGCATTGGAATGGAAGCTGGAAGGGTATGAAAAGACGGAAATGAGCAAGTTCTGGGTTCTGGCCGATCCGAATCCGCCGTTCGACGTGGCCTTCTCCAAAGAACTTGCAGAGAGTTGTGGACTGCTGTCACAAAGAGTAAGCCTTTTGAGGAGGACGCTGAGAACTATACTTGATGGCTAACTTGAAGAAAAAGGGGAGTTGGTTTCGGGACCTTATCTACTGGCTTCGAAAACAGGTCCTTTGGAACGCGAGAGCGTCGGCACGGTCGGGATCGACAAAAGCGGATCCAAGCGACCTCGAACCATCGACTCATGCCAGCTGGGACAGAAGACGGAAGACTGATTCTTGGAGCGTGAGCTCATACCACGATATTCCTAAATGAGGGCAAGACTGTAAAGGTGTCTTCCTTTGCGTGAACAGTACATAGCTTGGCTATCAGCGGGCTCCGTACACGAGAACTGCTCGACGCTATGGCGTTTGGATTTTCTCTGCAAGTCCAGCAAATAGATGGTATATTACGAGTCGATTAAGATGGTGAATATAAAAGGCTTGAAGTTCACGATGAATGGGTCATTGCAACCCAACCGATGCAAATTGCCGTTGGTTTTTCCTCACCAAATCGCTAATTGTAGGAGCGACGAACGACTATTGGGCCCCAGATGCTTATATTCTCATTGTGTCTGGTGTGCCCTGAAGCTTACAGTACTTTGTACGGCGGCAAAGCGATGCTAAAACTATACTGGTGCCCTCACAAGCGTCGGTTGCATTTTGCTTCCTCGCTGTAACATGGTCCCCACTTGTTAAGTCGTTGCCTCTGTTATCCTTCTCTTTTTGGGAGGCTAATATTGGCTGCATTGAGTTAATTTTGATCATTTCGGAAGTAGATGAGCGGTTACGAAGCAGAGTTCTGATATGGCAGCATCGTGAGACAACCCCACCCACGGTATGTGGCAATCATTGATTGGACTTGCGCTACCCGTCACGGCTTCATCCTCACTACTGCCTGGCGAACCCCCGAAACCTAAGAAATTGCGAAAAACTTGACTCGTACGTATTTTGTAAGATACACGATCTATTTTGGGCAGCTGTGACTTACGTTTTAGGATTTTGGAAAATGCTTGCTAACTTTTGAACCTTGAACAACACCGTTAAGTACGCATGACAACAGTCTTGCACAACCCGCACACGTACTTAGAATTACTAAAATCTAGTTTCCGCTATCTAAAAATCCGTTAAAGCATGATTTAGTTTTATAAAAAGCCACATTATCTTAAGATATGTATATATTATATATCTTATACTTACCTTATTGGGGCTGCCAAGATTATAAAGTCGGTCGACCTCTCGGGCTACCCTGCATTACACAGCGTGGTAGTGGCCCAGTATAAATCTTTTTAGGGGCTTTACCGGCATAATTTTTGATAGCTTTCAGCTTTTCGTTGATGCGCTCGCCTTGCTGCGGGACCTCGAGGAAGAGAAGAACTGGTGTGACCAGGGCCGACCCACGGCAATGGCTTGGGAATCCCGTGTGATGGGGCTTTCGTTTTCATTTTTGGAAATGCGTGTCAGCTCTTCAAGGTGAATGTCTTAGGATGCGATTCGATTTTGTTCTCGTTGACGTGTGTTGGGATGCGAAACTACGACGTGTCGGGTTTAGGCTGAGTTGGGTGTAGGCACAGCCCCATCTCGACTGACGCAGAGAGTGCGACTGCAGTTGCTTTTGCCATATTCTACGTTGCTGTGGCTGAATGTTGACACTTGCGATGACGCTGGGCGGTTAGTACACAGGGCGTCTTCCATCCGTCAGCCACGCAGCCGGCTTCCAGCGAAGAGCAATCCGCCAGCCAACGGCAATAAATCACCAAATTCGCAAGATCTCAGGCTCATTCGAGCTGCTATCCTTCAGCAAGCCTAAATTTCGCGCCTTCGCGCACCGAATGGCGCTATTCCGGTCACTTCTGCACGACGGCGGCAGTACCCTTACGGCACGGAGCAGGCACGGTAAGACAAGTCAAGGCGGATTTAACACCACGCTAAGGATTACGAGCTTCTTTTAAAAAGTAAGTTCGTGGAGGGATGTGTTGCTGATATCACGTTTAGCTTAGTCATCAGCAGAGGATAAGGACTCCCCGCCGGGCGACCCTCCCTCTCGCTCGCCACTAACAAACAATACATAAACATTTCAAGACCATTACTGACTGCACCAAATTTTAAGGCGATGAGACCGGGTAGCTATAATGTGCCCAGAATAAGATTGTTCTGGCCGCCGCAGGCCATTGCTACCTCCTCGTCTCAAAGTTTAACAGGAATAACGTTTTGTTATACGAAAGTGGCTTTCTCGTACTACTTTTATCTAAGTTTACAGCTTACCGGCTCGGGGCGCGTTTTAAAGTCTAAACGCCGGGTTATTCCGCGTATAGCTACGTCTTAAGTATTTAGGCTGGGCACGATGGTACGTCTTCGTGTCAACATCACATCTTTCTACCCACAGCTTCATCATGCGCCTTGGTGGTTCTCCTCTTTCCTCTCTTATCGTCCTTCTTCTTGGGCTTCTTCAGTTCGTGGAGGCTCAAAACTGCATGCAGGCATGGGCTATCTATGAACGATACTGGAACCGAGATAGAATCGGAAAACCCGAACTTCAACAATCTTGCGATGGACTCATGGCTGCGGTCAACTCTGAGCGCATGACGGGAAAGTTTGGAGAGCCAGTCAAGGAAAACAAACTGGATTGCGGAACCGATCGATCCCGCCAGGCTCCTGACAATCTACGATGCCAATGCAAACTCAAGTCTTGGCGTTTTCGCAACTGGGAAAGCTCGAGGAACAACGAGGCGGTTGGTTGGAAGTACACGAGCTTTGATCAGTTTGGCTCAGACAAGGTCAAGTGCAATGGCTAAAACGTAAGTCATTCCACTGTTCATTATAATTCCCAACAAAGCTCACAAATTAGAAAGCAATGCCAGCCTACTACGATCGACTGAGACTAGGAATGGTGTGTTACTAAGGGTACTGGGGTTTACTTTTATGGGTTTTGCCGCTTGGTCCTTGGTTACACGTTGTACCTTAGTCGCTTCATAGATAGCTTCGTCAGGCATACAGGGTATAAATGGGGACACTCATCTCTCAGTCATAGCCATCGCTTCCGCTTCATCCCCATCTCTGACTTTGCCTCTCTTTTTGCCCTTGCACATTACTTTTACCGCTCTTCCACAGCGTACTGCGCCTTGGTACACCTTGTGCTCCCACCTTCCCAACGCCCTTTCAAACCTCACGTATCTGCTCCACCATCCTTCCTCTCCGCCCGCGGCATCTCCAGTCCACCCAGGCTCAAATGACCTCAGCCACATGGTATACATCTTTGGCAAGATGGCTGACATCCATAAGAAGCCAAGTAACGCAGCACCGAAATACAGCAGTACCCCTGCAGCGAGCAGTCCCTTTGCGGTCTCTGAAAACTCATGGGGTGGGCGCGCCATGATGACGATGAAGGCAACAAGGCACGGGAAGCCAAGCATAGCAATTAAAGGGCCAAGAACCATGAAAGAGACGAGACCTTGCAGCGAAGGACCTCGGTTCAAACGTCGGGGAAGTGGCGGAGTTGAGAGCTGGTCTAGGGGAATATCAGTGGGTGAAATACAACCGAGCTTAATTACGTACCATAGTCAACTATTATGCGGTGGCTGGTTGGTATTCGTCGAACGTTGTAAATGGGATAAGAGGAGTCGTCGATCGTGCTGTCATTCTCAGTGACTTGTCGAGCTTCCAACGGACAAATGTAAATCAAGCGGAGCTCCGAGGCATTCTCTGCTTGATTCTGCCATGAAGTGCTCTGACGGAAGAGGGCACCTCGAGTGCCGCCCGAAACTTGAGAATTAGATAGCGCCCGCTCGAATATTACGACGTCATCGAGGATTTGAGCGTTACCGCCGTTGTTTGCCAAAAAGGTTGGGGTCTCTCGGTCGCTGTCTTGCGGAAGCAACGTGAGCTCGTGCAAACCGTTCATGGCGATTCTGATGACACTTTGCATCTTGACATCAACGCGTCCGCTCAGCAGTAGAGTTTCTACGCCCTCCAAATCCAACCTCAATCCATCTTCCCGTACATCCATTACCGGCGAAACACTCAGAGCACTCTTACTCGGCTCAACTGGTACCCACCCATTCCTCCCGCCTCCATCCCACCTTCTACCCTTACTGTTCCAAAACAACGACACCGGCAACTTCTCAAAGCTCAGCATCATGGCCAGCATCCGCTCCTCGGCTCTAGTCCCCCACCCCATGACAGCATCGGCGTTGAAATCCAGCAAGTTCGCCACAATGACGTGCAAGTCCTCGGGCATCGTCGTCGAGCGGTGCGCCAATTCATTCCACGTATCCACCAGCTGCTTGACGCGCCTGCTCGCATCGAGCCCCATGGTAAAGTGGTCGCCCGCATCCAGCCCGCGCGCATCACGCGCCGGCCCCACGCCCGTCGCCGTCGGCAGCGTGCTCACCTTTCCCGACGCCTGGCTGCCGCCGAGCCCGGTGCGCCACGAACGTGCTGCAGGCGGATCGCGCCGGTAGCTGCTCTTCCAGTCTTGGTGCAGGGCGTCCCAGAACGCGTTGTACAGTGCTTGGTAAATGGCCTTCTGGGACGCGGAGCCTGATGGCGGGAAGGAGATTTGCTGCTGCTGGGGGGACGATGGTTTGGAGTCGAAGTAGCGCAGGCCGTCAAGACACCATGCGTGGATGGGATCGAGTGCGGCGTCGGCGAACTGGAAGACGCATTCTCGTGCGAGTACGCCTTCTTGCAGTGTCCAGCTACGCCCCATCCATGCGCTGCAGACTATGCGCGCGAGGATTTGGCTCGCCGATGATTCTGTGCTGCACTGCTGCAGTTCGGCATCGAGGACGAGGACTTGCACCGCGGCGGCGTATATCGAGGCCATTTGGTTGATGGCTTGGGTGCGGAGATGGGCGTCTTCCGGCTTTACGGGAATGCAGAGCGTGTCCATCCAGAACAGCGGCGGCGAACGCTCTGGGTGCAGCCGAAAGCACTGACGGTTCCAGTCGATAGACAATGGGCCGATGCTGAACTCGCCGCTTTCCATGTCCCGGGGCATTTGGCGGAGGCAACGGTCGATGTAGGCGAGCTGACATTCTGGAAGCGCGTTGGCTGCTGGATTGCCCAGGCCGTCGCACCAGACGTGTGACATGGCCGTGTACCTGCTTTGCAGAGTTCGTGGCTCGACTTTCAGGCACATGCGTCCCGCTTCTTGTTGTACGGATATGAGGGGGACTCCTCCGTCTTGGATGATCTGGATGATTTGATCGTAGTCGACGCCTATAAACGAACACCCGCAGTGTTGGTTGGTGTGTTTTGTCTGGTATTGCTGCATGTTGACGTTGTTTGCTATGCAGCGGGGTGCGCCTGCGCAAGCCGTATGGTCTGTTGCTCGATATCCGGCCCGGTCGAGCATGCTCAGGTAGCTGAGTACATCATCACCATAGGATTCCGTGAGTTGTGTAATCTGGTGACTGCACCACCCTCTGTCTTGGAAATCTTTTAGGTAAGGACGCCTGAACGTGGTCAAGTCCTGGCTTGCTGATGCATGTCCACTGGAATGGCTTTGTAGGTCGATTTCACTTCGTTCTGTCATGGCCAAAACAGTTGATGGTTGACCCTGTATCCCCATGTCATATAAGGATGCGTTGTTGAAGAGTGCTACAGCCTCGTCTGAAAAGTTGTTCTACTCTAAATTTAGAACTCAGTGGGGGCCATTTTGGCGCGCCATTCATCGTCATAGGATAGTCCTCTTCAAGCGTGAGAGGGTTCTGCAAGTATGCATCTACTCAATGCCAAATCATCTGATAATATTGTACTAACCCAGTAATTCATAGCCACTGAAGTACTCGCAATCCTGCAATCACGCCAACCTACTTGTACTTACTCCTCACTCCTCCCCTCCCACATCCTCCGCCTCCACCTTCATCTTCTCCTTCCCTTTCCACTCTCCACCTGCAGCATCACTGCTCCCCTCCCCCACCGATGACTCCTCCTCCTCGTCCTCACGGCCGCGCTCGCTCGGCGGCCTCGTCGACATCCTCGACCTCGGCGTGCGCGAACCCACGCTGCTGCCGCCGCCGCCGCTGATGTGCTTGAAGCCGTTGTGCACGCTGATCTTGACCGCCTTCACCTTCTTCTGGAAGAAGATGCCGACCACCATGAGCAGCAGCGACGGCACCCCGATGCCCAGCCCCAGCCCGAGGCTGGCGGCCGCGCTGAGCTCCTCGTTGCTGCTGCTGCTGCTGCTGCTGCCGCCAACAGCATTACCGGCAGTAGTAGTAGCTTGGGTGGTGGCAGCGGTGCTGGAGGTGGTGGTGGGGATGCGCGATGTCGTCCAAGAAGGCGGTGCAAAGGAGGACGAGATGGCGGGGAGCATGGAGGACGCGGATGAGTGCGTTGCCGCCGCCGTCTGGTTGTCAGCGGTGGGCGCGATGGACGCGTTGCGGAGGCTGGTCATGATCCAGGCGGGCAGGTCTAGCGTGAATAGGTATCCGTTGTCGTCGCAGCAGGAGCCTGATTTTGCTGCTTTTTGGCCTACGGGAAAGAGGTTAACGTCGGTAGTTTAGGACGGGGGATCACAGTGGGACGAGAGAGGGAAGCTCACAGCAGAACTTGTCGTTGTTAGAGCAGTACAGCACGCTTTCATACAGGTTTGGCGTATCTTTGCGGCAGTATTTAGTTAGAAGGGTGCTTTTCAATAGGTCAGTATTGGATGAATGCTCACTTGAGGTACACTTGCTTGCGCATGCGTCGCTCCTCCAAGACTGGTCCGTGCAGCCTCCTCTGTAGATGTAATTCCCGTGCGACGGCGTCGACGGATTCACAGGGAAATAGCACAGCCCATTGTCAAGATACGTGTCGTTCTCGGAGGGGATACAACAGGAGCGGAATGAGACTGTTGAACAGAAATCAGCCTGGTCGAGATCCTATCAGATCCCAGAACCCAAATAACGAAAGATCATAGTCAAAATGAACAAGCGGTGCGTGCTCCTGGATGTGAGTATTTGATATGTTCCTCGAGAAAGCCAAAGAATAGTCACTGGATCACAGCTGCACGGGTGGATGGGACTCTCATGCGTTGATGCACAATAAAAGCGTTCGCCGGACTGTAGACAAAGCGGGGCGGGATGTCCTACGTACCAGTTGATGCATTCGGGTAGGGCACATATTGGTAATCCGTCGCTTTGCTTCCATCAGGATAGTAGCATGTAGCAGCTCCGGTCGCAGTTGCCACCGCCGCCTTCGTCATTGCCGTGTTAACCAAGAACACCACGAGGTATTTCATGAAGAGATTATTCCACTTATGATGGTGACGGTCTATCGCCATTTCGGCGGCACGAGCCTCAGTTGCCGCGCAGCGCAGGGTGGGCGGACGTAGAAGCAGGCAGGCGGTGGCAACGGTGCCGTAGTTACGCGTTGCATATGGAGTGAGATGCAACACTGAAGGATCCCGACGACGGTGTAAGGAGGAAGTGTTGTAGAATCGAAGAGCAGAGAATACGATGCGACGAACGCGGGGCGATAAGGCGTGCGGATGAGTTGTGCAGGGCGATGTTTTGAATAATAATGCGAGCTGGTCTGAGAGCGCGAAGGCAGATGGCAGTAAGACGCAGCCTGCTCTTATCTTCCAGCCGCCACAATAACTAGCGACCTCTTGACCTACCCGGAAATCATGGCGCCAACGGTGGTGGCGAAGTAGCATTTACTGGACACAGGGCGCCGGATAATGCATTGCGCAAGGATCAGGCGGCACAGAAACGTGGAACCTATGTTGTACAGTGTTGAAATCAGCCTTGGAGTCTGCCTACAGCAAAGATACGTTAGAGCTGTAGGATTAGATAGCGGCCCCACGCGGAAACACGGGCCAGAAGGAAGGGGCTTGCAGGAAGGCAACGGGCGCAGCTGACTGATAGTCGAAATCTTGTTCAGATTTCGGTAAAAAGGCAGGGCGATCGGTGGATGATCCTTAGGCAACAAAGATTTTTTTACCGGTCCGTTGCATGGGGCGTTTGGATGTAGGGCAGGACTATAGGCGAAAAGAGGCGCAGTGTGTCAGCTGCTGCCGCCGCGCTCAGACGCCGGACGGCTTGCTGATAGTATTAGGTGTTCCAGTAATTCGCGCATGGGGAAGGTACATGAAGCCAGCAAGCAATCAAGAAAACCGGACGTGGTGTTGCAGGGTGTTCGGGCGGTGGCTATGGCGGGGAGCTAAGATGTCATTTGGCGCTGTAGCCGGGCGCAAACGTGGGGGACCTGCGGAAGCGTGCCGTGTTGCATAGACCCCTGTCCTTGTCGCGTGCCGTGAATTCGTTCATGATCTACTGCTCCTAAACTAGCGGACATTATCTAATCAATACACCAGGTCTGTCGCTTCGAGGACCACTCTCCGATGATAGCGCCGTACTGATTATCTAGAAGACAATGACCAATCTTCTGTGAAGTGGTAGCAGCTTCAGTGGAGAGCATGCTATCCCGCTTCCTCATCATTCTTTGCTTGAACTCGCCTTCAAATCTAGGGTGGTCCGCTTTGATGATGTCGCCGGAGTCTCCTCGCCGAGCATAAGTCACGCCATTTTCTTCTCTGTATACAAAAGCCATGACCGTAGAAGTCAAATAGAGCCCTTTTTGATCTGAAATGTGTTGGGTCGTCAGAAGAGCAATACGGTCAAAACTCTCTTTTGGAACAAAGCACAGGCGAGAGTTTTGCATGAGGCACAGGTCCTCGGACTTCGAAAAAAAGTAAATCCAGCTGTCATCCCTGCCTCTGATCCAGACAAGATCATTGATGGGATTGAGCAAGGGCGACGACAAATTTTCAAGCTCGATTGCGTACGCATCGACGAACAGGCCCACGGGCGTTGGAATTGCTTGCGGGCGGCCGCGGACAGATCCTGCGTCCAACCATCGACTTCCAGTACCTAGAAAGGTTTTTGGGGCCCATCGAAATCCCTCTTCTTGCATAGTACCGTATCTCCAAAACAGCAAGGACTCGGGAACAGTTTGGATGGTCGACCAGAAAACCCGCATTCGGTCGGCTGGCTGAGCCCCCGCAATTTGATCCATATCAAGTGCCAACAAGCTGCCAAGACAGAGAGCTTCGTCTTCGACTACGCTTGTACACCGCCGGCTCAGACCTATGCAAATGTTCGCGATATCGAAAGTCTTTCCTCCAGATGCGAATCTGCTGATCTTCTCAGATCCACAAATATAACTATACATCATCTGAATGTCAAGCCAGTATCCCCATCCTCTTTGCAATGAGAGATGGAACTCTGCTGCTTCTTCTCTGATGCGCGCACATTCGAGGGTTGAATCAGCAAAACGAACCCAGAGGGCTTGACAGAGAGTGCCTTCTTGAAGAGTCCAGAGACGGGACATCCAATTTGAGCTGATAATGTACATGGCCTGATACAGTACCGATCTTCCGGATACTGAAAGCTTTCGCAAAGCCGCGTCAAGCACGAGTACTTTATCAGCGAGTGCATAAGTCTCGCGCATCTTCTTGATAGCTTCTTTCTTCGAATTCCCAGGGGCAAAAGGGACGCATAGTGTATCAATCCAAAAGGGAACAGGCTCCGTTGTTCCCGGATAAAGATTCTGTACAAGGCCCCAGACTTCCCGAAGTTGGCATGCAGGCATTGCATTGGCAATCGGATTTCCCAGCCCATCGGACCACACGTGGGATATTGCCACAAACGGAGTTGTAGCGGTCTTTGGAATAAGCTCAAGAGTCGGCAAGTAGCCATGCGGGTCGACAAGAGACACGAGTGGTATACAGCCTTGCCGAAGTAAGGGACCAGGGTCGACAGCGACAAACTCGCATCCACAGCCTGTCTTCGAGTGAACAGGCTTATAGTCGGCCTTTTTGACTTGACATGATAGACATTGCAAGTTCGTGCAATTTGGATGCTTCCGTCCAGGGACATCGACGACTCGAAGCTGCGAGTAAAAGATTTGGGTCTCCAGTTCAAAGAAGTCTCCCATCGCAAACACAGCCCGGGGACACCGTCCAGAGTGAGCCATCTCCCGGGTGAGCAACGGCATCAGTCCGTGCTCGTCTCGGAAAAACTGCAACCCATTTCCTTCGGCAGGGACGTTTGGCGATTTCCAAATCGCCCCATTGAGTCTTGATTCTAGGTCTTGGTCTACCTGCAGAATCTGTCGGAGTGAACAAAGGAAACCGCCCATGGTTGCCAAAGAAAGCAAGAAATACGGGTCAAGGCTCCTGCCAGGATTCTGTCTTATGAATTCGTAGACTTCGGATGCCTCTACGAGGCACGAATCCAAGTACTGGAAGCCTCTTCGAAAGATTGCTCTATCCAGCTCTTCCTTTTTGGCGAAAGCCTCGGAAATCTCGATCAACTGTTTGGTATGAATAACCGGAAAACCGTTCCGATCAGCGTCGATAAAGTCTGAGAACTGGATGAAGTCTCCGAAAACGGCGTGCAGCAGTCCAAAGAAGAGCCATTCTTGCAGGAACGAGGCAGCTTGCTCACTGGGTCTTCCTTCGGGGCCGTCCAATCCTGTCCAAGTGTGTCGAATGAAGAGCTCATCACGTGTCCAGCCTACACGCTTCGGGTAAGAGATGAAATCACCCTTATCGTATTCCCTCAGGCAGACATACCGCATACATGGAAGAGGCCGTGCCGGGTCGTCAGGCAGCAAAACATGGTCCATTGTGTTGACGGAAGTGGGCGCGTATCGATGGAGTTGGAACGCAGTGGGGTACTGTAAGAAAGCGTGGAGGCCTGGTAAGCCTTTTCATAGAAAGCTGACTGCAGCTCTGTAAGCATCTGCATGTCTCTCTTGATTTGGCAGTCATGACGTAGGTGAGCAGGGTTACACAACGTCTGAGTAGAACCATTTCCTGCTTTACACGTAGTCCCGTATTTCAGGCGTGTTGCACGTCATGCCTGCCTCCCTTATCTTGCACATTCCACTTGGAGCCGCCACATAATCCTACAGCGAGAGAGTTTTTTGCTCAAGAAAGCAACACTTCTGGCTTCCAATATCCAACCAGTGCGGGCTGCCATAACTTCAAAAAGCCTTTCGACGGACTTCTACCGCCCCTCACTGCTCCAGCCTTAAGGTTGCGATGATCACTATTGGTATTGAAGCTGAATGCAATTGACTAACACCCGCCTGAGTGGAATTTAAGCTGATAGGTGAATAGATCTGCCAATGGCAACAACGAATTCTACCATTCTCTGCCCTGGCGCGCCAGATGTACTAAAAACCCGAAAAAAAAGTCCTGACGCGAGAGCTGTGTATGCATCATTTTTAGTGGCAGCCACTATGGGATTCGACTGGACTTTCGCATATACACCCCCCCAGTCTCTGAATCAGCCTTCCATCCCTCCCCTCCGCCACAGTAGCGTTCTACCTCTACCGCGTCGCAATCAAAATTGCAGTATTCCCGAGTACGTACGCCGGCTGCCGCCGCCGCGCAGCGCTGTGGACGGAAGATGTGCGCGACTTGGCCGGTAGACTTTTGACCGATCGCTCACTCCGTCTCAGACTATGTTGCGGTCCTAACGTTAATGCCAAATCTTTTCCATTCTGCACTTCCCCTCGCATCTCCCGTGAAGCTACCCCGCCATCCAATGCTGATCGTGAGATTCTCGAACAGACCCAACCGTTTGAGCTCCCTGTCCGTACACCACTCCGAGCCGCGCGGGATAACATCTTCATCCAACAGAGACGAGCCCTCCAAGAAGGTCGCCATCGCGGCAATGCTGCGAGGGTTCTTTGGCAACACACGCTTCATGCTGCCGAGCATAAACGTCGCTGCCGTGCTGAGCGCCATCACAGCGAGCAGCGCCTGCAAGATACGCGTCGAAGGGCCGTTTTGTGTGAGCCGCAGTTGGTTCTGGAGTTGGCCTGTTCCTTCGAGAATGCCTTGGTCGGCTGCGACACGGTTGACGTTTAGTATCTGCGCAACAATCCGAGGGTACATGTCCTCCACAGCCGACTTTAGTGTTGTAATGTTTGTGGTCAGACTGGCGATCGGGGCCCCTTGCCGGAGGACCGTCCCAAAGAATCCGTCCACGGTGGCAGACCCCATCTCAATGCTTGAAAGGCTCGGTCCGGATACCGGATGGTCTATGTAGGGCATCAGGAGATTCGTGGCGATTCCAGGTATCTCAGCTACAATGGCAAACTTGCGCGAGGCTTCGTTGAGATACGGTTTTGACGTGCGGATTTCCAGAAGATCAGGATGCGTCAGTCCGATTTGTGCGTCAATTGTTTCCAAGTATGGCGTGCAGTGGAGGGCGAGCGCTTTCCAGCTATTGTTTTTCTCGTGATCCAGATGCCCTGCAAGGACAAGGTACTCCGGACAGCGATACCATTCCGAGCTTCTGTCCACCCAAAAAGCGAAGTCTTCCGAGATACCGCCCATAGAAAATGTTTCGTTCGTAGCCCCCTGTATGGCGTCTCCACAACGGGGAAGAAGATCGAAGGGTACAGTCAGGTACCTCGGGTTATAGGTGTCATTGTACCGTTTGATGGTGACCTTCGAAGCATGAATATCAGTGCAGTTTGCAACTGCACGCACTGCGGGGACTGTCGTATGAATTCTTTGATAATCCTCTCCCTGATCCACTTGCTCTGCAAAGGCCACTTGGGAGACTGCAAAGGAATCATATGTCCATCGTGGAAGTTCCATGCCATCATCAAGGACCAGTGTAGCCGCCATCATACCGTCTGTCTGGTAGCTGATTCGATCAGCATTGTCAAAAACGTCCATGTCAAACCGATCAAGTTGCTTTAATCGAATTCCCTTCGGGATGGTAACGTGATCGGCCGTGAAGAGGCCACTGGCGATGATTGTAAGGAGTTGCGTGGACAGCATTCCCGCGTAGATTGCGACAAGGCAAAACTCCCTTCTTTTCGCCGCTTTCCAGCATCCATAGAGGCCAAGAATGCTAAGGTAGTTTTCGTCGATAGTCCTGTCGCTTGGAGAAAAGCCTCGCTTCATGTTTAAAAAGGGCTGGAAAGTTTTCAGTTCGAACTCAAGTGAACTGTACAACAATCCAAATAAGACAAGTACAGTTGCTGGAATAAATCGCCAAGCATATTCCGCATACTGATAGTTTGTGAATGTCACAATCCCATTGTCCCGACGGCAGATCTGATACAGAGCTTCCAGGGATGCGATGAGTAGGATAGCGCTGCCGAGGATGCACATTCTGCCTGTAGTCGTAATGATGAATGGGTAGTACCAGAAGGACTCACTCTCCTCGCTAGAGCTTCCTTCCATCTGCACGGAGTCGGATGTAGTAATTCGCTGAATACAAAAATCACTAATTGTTTGAGTGTCTGTGGCAACTAGTGTAGTGTGGAAGGTGTCTGTAACAAGCTTCTCCTTAAGTGCTTTCAAGGTTGAGAAACTAGACCTGGTGAAGATCTCCATGAAAGCTCGGCTGCGGGCAAGAATGGTAGCAATTCCGGTGATGGTTCCAGGATCTCGCGGCGTAACGGACCGTCTGGATACATAACCAAGAGCGAGGCTGTTCGAAAATAGCAATGAAAGTGTGATCAGAGCTGTCCATACGCCATAACCGTGCAATTGCAGTCGGGTTTGTGCTTGGATCTCCGTAATGTTGAATTCTTTGTTATCGTCGACGAGCAGATGACTGTTTGCGATCTGTGCCGTAGAAGTGCTGTAGAACTTGGTAAAAGCGTCTCTCAGCAGACTAGGATCCAGGAGAGAGTTTGGTGCCCAAGGGCGCAATATTTGTGTTTTGTTTACTCCATTGATTGCCGCAAAGAATGCGTCTGAGATGTTTCGAGCAGTTAGGTCGCCGAGTTGTCGATCGTCGTATGGGTCTCCTATCTGCCAGATGCCAGTTTCTAGAGAGTGGTTGTACAGACATGTCATGTTTGCGGTCTGGATTTTATATCTTGGTTTGCAGACAAGATATGTACCGTTTGCATTTTGAGTAGGAAACATTGTGTCGTCTTCAATGACATTGGCAAAGAACCCAAACACGAACCGATAGTCGTCATCGATGCACTTTGTCTGTGGCGATGAGTCTGCAACGGCGTATACTAGACCGGATGACTCTCTCGACTCTGTGTAAATTGATGAACATGAATCCGAGGACAAATTGACAGACATGCCGTTGGATCCTATCGTTCCGATGTTCATGTATGATGGCAGTGGGTAGGTCTTTACGTTTCCTTGGGGGTCTTCGACGGTGTATCCGGTGCCGTCCACAATGACTGTCGTACCATCCGGATATAATTCACGGAACGTTCCCGAATCCGTCGCCCACACCTGGTATGAACCGGGGATTTGGGATGCGAGTTCACATTCAGCGTACGCGCTAATAATCCTTACTTGGCAAAGATTGTTGACAGTGGAATCATCTGTTTTACAAAGTTAGTATATTGGTATGCTAAGATGACCTGACTAATTAACCTACTAATTCGAGACGGTGGAATTTCAGTAGCGTAGGTGCTGGTTGTGCCGAAAGAATAGCTCATGTTCAGAGTCTCTATGCCAAATACTCGTGCTACGGGCTTTTGGCTGACCATTGAGGAGTTCAAAGACGAGCCTGAGAATGATCTCCCACCCCTTGTAGCCACCGGCTCGAGAGCGACATTGACGTTTGCAGCGGTGAAAAGACCGGTAGACAGGATAATTAAAAACTTGTTGAGTATGGTTCCAAGAAGTGCCAGGACTACTTGAATGTCTTTCCTCTTCAGCGACCTTAGCAGAGCCGTGATAAGGTCTGGGGAAACGTAGTCAAGTAGCACACTTCTCTTTGCAATCTGGGGTTCTCGGGCCATGAGCGTCCATGGAATCATCAACCTTGCGCGATAGTCGACTTGAGACCACAAGGTAGAGATCAAAGTAAAGACTGGCGAGATAAGTTTGCTGTTCCCGAGCTATGGGAGCCAACTACTTACTTGCGGTGGGCGCGTAATGCCAGAAAATATAATCAGCCGAACGGACTGTACAGATTCCCTTGTGGGTTGAAGAATACCAGGCCAGTATGGCTAACGCAACAGCTGCTTGCAGGTAAATGCAGGCAAATCCGATAAGAGTGAGGGGTCGAAGGAAGACGGGGGACCAAAACCTATTTGGCTTGCTTTCCTGAATTTGCTTGGCGTGTATCGCAACAGCAGGTAAAGGCTGTGCGAGCAAGCTTGCAGTCTCCGATGAGACTAAAGGTTGATCCAACTGCATCTAAAAGGGTGCGTACTCGACGATGCTTGACTTTCTGGCAGCTCAAAAAATGAGGAAAAAGGGATCCAGAAACCAAAGGCACTGTGAGCTGCAATATACATATGCCCTGATTAGTTCCAAAATCCTACTGATATGTCCTTTTTCCAAAGTCTAAGCCACGTTGCACTGCAGCCGGTCAACACGTATCTGTAGCATGCTGCCTTAAGGTAAGCCATACTTTTGTTTTTCTACACCTTTTTCGTCACACCCCGCCCAAATGAGCTAGTAAAGACCTACTATTCCCTCACCTTTATGTAACTGGAGCTGACGAGGCAGAGGATCAAATGACTACACCATAGTTGAAAACTAACCGTAGGGTGGTGAAAAAGTCGTAGTATCGTATGTTCAAGAATATGAGGCTTTGATTTGTAAACCCTAACTCATTGCAGACGAGTCGCTACCATCTGATAGACCATCTATTTCAATCTAAATTTAGTTGTATATCGCGCAGAGTCAAGCCAGTGTCATCCTTCAGCGCCACCGCTTGTGAAGGATACGTCAGCTCGAGAACCTACCTACGTAATCAAGGCTATGTACATGCACCAGTTGCTAAACGGGTGCATCGAGAAATATCGAGAGGCTGTGCATATGTAGGAATGGGGCCAGGCTGCAATACTCAAGCCTTGTCTCAGGTTGTGGAACCAACACATTGGGGAACGATCATCCAATTCACCCGCTGCTATGCAGTAAGCAGTTCAAGATGGCTGGCTTACTATGAGGCCTTGGCCATCTAGAATAAGCTTGCAAGACTTTCCAGCTGTGCGACACATCTGCAGTCTTACCGCGAAGGCAGCCTCTAGAATGGAAAAGAATGAAAGCGAGTAAGTATGAACTTGAGACGATTTTGCGCCTTGTTTTTGCTCTCAGAAACGCGTGTTGGTGTGCGAAAATTGTGAGTCAATTTTGATGCATGGGGAGCAGCTGCAGCTGATTTTATTGTTTCGTGTCGCTGCGACCGAATCTTGGAAGCTAACTTTGTGCCCGCCGGTTGAATGCTGTCGTCGGCGATAATAATTGACGATAACGCCAGGCAGTTAGCACACCTCTCCGTTAGCCATACAACTAGCAGAAATACATCTCCTAGTTAGATCTCGAGCCCATTCGAGCCGCTATCTACATGTATAGGGTGGTCATGCTAGTAAAATCAACCCTGCTGCCATCTAAACTTTCACATACCATTCCACATACAATCTCACGCGCACTACTTGCTTCTGCCGCTGATGGCTACCGCCCACTTCCTCATCGTATCCTGCGCATACGTTCCTCCAGCCAACTATCCCAAAACCTGCGCCGTCATCGCCGCATTCGACACGATACCATAACGAACAGGACCACGCGTGACAGGGCTCCCAGCAAATACGTCAGATTTGCAAATCGAAACAAACCGCGCAAATCAACCTGCTTTTTCATTTTACTTGACCAAGTTTAGCCCCCAATTTGCAAATCAAATCTGGAACCGTAAAAAGGCAAGTAAATGAACATGTAAAATACGTTATAAAGATAAGAGAATGTATATATGCGGTATAAGAAAGAGGATCCTAGCGAAAATATACGTCGATTTAGTACTTTTTATTCTCTTATACATTCTTATATAAATTATAGTAATTGCCGGCATAATGTTGAGAAAAATACGTTTTATAAGTACTAACTGTTTTAAAAAGTCACATGTCTTATCTCTAGCCAATAGATAAGAATAAGCAGGGGTACGATAGGGGTACTAAATAATTTAAATAAGCCAGTATTAAATCAAACAGTTAGCTGGTAATTTGCAATTCGGCGTGGAAATATACTTGAACTTGTTTAATTTACTTACTGGGAGCCCTGACGCATGAGCTCCGGAAGAGAATGCTGGGCAATCCCGCGGCGTATCGGTCTTCCAAGGCAAAGACTCATCAGCTACCCATGTCTATACACCATCGCGCAGGAAGTAGCGGGCTGGAACTCACCACTCAGGTTCGGATCACCGGTTCGACGGAGCTTTATTTCGTGCTTCTTCAGCTTCGATGGCGCATGATTCGTGCGTAGGTCGACAGGGTGGCCAGTGCTGATGATGATGCACTCAAGGTTGTAGGTTTCATAGACGAGACGGAAATGCCTTTTGGCTGCTCAGACGTTGTAATATTGGTGTGTCAATGACGTGGATGGGGAACAGAGAAGGGAATGGGGACCTTTTCGCCATCACCCTGTGCCTCCATGTCTGGGGAATAAGCGTCGAGCCTCGAGCTCGGGCGGAGCAGTCGTTGCGAGACTTGGGCAGAGAAGGCTTCACGTCGCTGGAGGATAGCGCTCGGATGAACACTGAGGGGCTCCGCTGATTGAAGAATCAGGAGGCGTTGAAGATTGAATCTGATCTTGTGGTTTGTTGATCCCTTGCCGGTTATGGTTCAATTCCCCACAAGCCAAGTACTCATGGCCCGTGTGTTAAGACTCCACGGAATACCTATATGAGCCAGGCCACCTTCCGAATGGGATGTGGAAAGTGGGGGCGCGGTTCTCCTATATTCTATAGCATTGTGCCACTCGTCTCTCCGCTCATTTGGTAAACAGCATCTTAACCATGCCTCACTCGCAGCAAGCACCTCGCAGGGAGACCAGGACGGTCAAATTGATCGACGAGAATGACCCGTCTGAGGAAATCCTTCCGCTCAGCAACCTAGACGCGGCGTATGTCAAGATTTACCTCCCCATAACCTCCACGTACAAGCTTGGCGACAATGTCGATAAGGAGGTTGTCGTGTCCAACCTGTGCGAAGGATTCCGCCGGACAACAAAGGAATACCGCCACTTGGGCGGCTATATTTACGCAGACTCGACAGGGAAATGCTACGTCAAACGGACCGCAGCCCACGGTACTCTCACTGTCCACATCAACCATCTCGAAGATACCGAATTCCCCACCTACCAAGAACTGGAAAAGCGGGAGTTTCCCTTTTCCGAGCTCGATGAAAAGCACCACATGCCGCCAGATTACGCCATAGCTGCCGACCCAAATCTGGGCAGAGGCTTCCCAGTTGCAAAAATCCAACTCAACTTCATCCGCGGCGGACTCATAATCGGCACAGCCATTCACCACCAGTGCGTTGATATCAAAGGATTCGACGTGATCATGGAGCGCTGGGCAGCCAACACTCGGTCGTTGTTCACGGGTGAAGTGCCCCCACCATTCGACCTTGGCTGCCTTGACCCGGCACCCTTCTGCTCCACCACGCCATTGTCGCCAGACCGCTTCGACGACGTCCAAGCGAAGATAAAGTCGTTCAAGTTCACCCCGGTGCTCCCGAACACCAAGACTCCGCCCTTTGAGCAGGCCCATACCATCTTCCACATCCCACTGAACCGCCTCTCCCAACTGAAAGCGTCGGCCAAATGCGAAGCCGGCAAATGGGTCTCGACAAACGACTGCATCTCGGCTCTCTTTTGGCGGACCATGACGCGTGCACGGCTGCCGGACAAGGACGACGACGTGCACTTGCATCAGACAGTGAACGTCCGGGCTTACAACGACCCGCCTCTGCCCGAGGCCTATCCCGGCAACACGCTGAGCGTTTCGTGGATTGATTCGACCGCAGCGCGTCTGCTGCACGGCAGCACTTTTGGCGAGCTGGCGCAGGATGTGCGGGCAGCAGTCGTCAAGTGGCGTTCGCCGAGTATGATCAAGGATACCAAGGACTACCTCGCATCCTTCCCCCTGAAATGCGTGCGGCCGACTTTCGCTTTCTCAGCGGGTCTCTCTACGACTGTGTCGAGCTGGGGCATCGTGTCGGCATACCAGACGCATGACTTTGGCTTCGGCCCACTGAGTGCGTTGCGTTTTGCGACCGATACGTTGAACAACCTGTTTATCATCTATCCGAGGAGGCCCAAGGCGGGAGATGGAAACGAAGGCATTGAAGTGCAAGTGATGATGGAAAAGGACGCAATAGAAAGGCTGAGGCAGGACCCGGAATTGCTTGAATGGGCGGACGTGAGAACGTTCTAAAGCAGATCAGGAGGGTTTCGCAGTGATATCTATGTAATCATCCAACCAATCTCTCATCCCGTCATCCCAATCAAGCAGCCGCGCCCCCCTCGCTCTCCTCCGCGATTTTGACCGCGCGCTAGGCGCTTCTCACTCCACTTTCCACTTGTTAGCTATAACCTTTCACGCTAGACATTCGATCTATCTCCACCGCACTTGCTGCTCCCGTCTCTACTAAGAAAATGCTGGTTTGGAATTCCTCCAACACTTCATCCGTGTAATCATGCTTCCCAGTCAGCACGTAGCAGCTCGGCTTTGTCTGCTTCCTCCCGCAACCACACAACGAAATCCAACAAACAGGGCATTTTTGCCGTATGGATTTGTCTCTGCTGGCTTGATTTTGTCCAACACCGGTGGTGACAGAATATCGAAAAGCAACTCATCTTGCCCTGGTTACGATCACGCAGGTAAAGTCAATGCACATTATCAGCTCTGCCGTTCTATAAGTTCCATTTTCCCATTTATGCCATTGGTTGGATTCGGCGGACCGTGATCCCCAATGAGTCTCTCATATAAGACTACCATGGGCTGAAAGTGCCAAAAAACTCAAACGCTGAAAAAGTGAAACGAAATGAAAGAATTAGATCCTCCAAGGAGGGAAATCCTGATTGAAAACCAAGAAAGAAAACCCTTAGCATTGCTTTGTATGACCTCCACGTCAAGCCAAGGACTTTGTGAAACCCCACCATGTTGTTTCGCAGCATGAAGCTGAATGAAGGCATGTCGGACCCATGACTTCTTTTTTTCGCCTGGCTCTGTGACGCGGTTTCCTGCAATGGACAACCAGACCGAATCTCGAAGTGCAAGTGTTGTTCCGCTGATGCGTGCCCCCTGAGAATTGAGGGTCACTCCGCCCAACTACCTCGAATTAGAATTGCCGAGATCTGCTGCTAACCGCTGAAGATGACTTCGGTCCATCAGTCCATCAGTCCATGTCTTCTGCAATCAATTCCCTCAGCCTCGTGACTTCAACATTGTGAAGGCCTTGGAGTATTTGCAGCGCTGCGTACTTGTCGGCTCTTCGTTTTCCTACTGCGTCGATCCAGTGGTAGCAGTGCATGTAGAGCACCTTCACGTCTCCATACGCTGACGCAATATCCAACCTCTGCAGATTCGTTACTCCGATGAGAGCATCGAAGGCTGGGAACGCCCATTCACCTACGAAGTACGTGAGCTTTTGCACCTCGATGGACCGGATCCAGGACTTTGTATGAGTTTCGAGTGTGTAAAGGAAAAAGAGCATAGCGCGCCAGCTGTCAAAGTAGAAGCGGCTTTCCGAATAGAAAATTGGTGCGGCCTCTGCATGTGTCTTCCGGTCCACCAGAAGAAGTCCTAGAGCCAAGGGCTCTGGAAGCTGGCGCCTGCGATAAGGAGAACGGGACCAGGTACGAATACAACGAACACAGTGTCTCAGGCGCTTTGGGCCCTTTGCCGCTTCGATATACAAAGGATTCTGCTCAATAAGGGCGAACTCGTAGATCGTGTTCTTGATCTCGCCAGGCAGGTCTGTCCAGCGGAAGATATCCGCCTTGGTGTTCTTCTGTTTCTTCTGAGTTGACACAGGAGCCGTTCGCTTACGCTTCTACATGAAGTGAACTGTCAGTGATTGAAATGTCTTTTGACGAAAAGATGTGGGTGTGAGAGCGAGATATTTTTACTTGGAAAAGCATCTCGTACCTTAGTCATTTGGCTGAGTGAGGAGCTATCGACATAATAGTCCTCGTCCTCCTCGGCGTCGCCCGCAAGATCTGAGGTGTCGGCCTGTGCCTCATGGTACGAGATCCGAGGGATCTTGCTGATCCGCGCGGACCGGCGGGCGCTCATGGTTGTTGGATGGAGGCGTGGAATCGGAGCTGCTTCTCACCAGCGTTATGAAGATGGATGGTGTCAAATGACTGTCGATGCAGGTGAGGTTTCAGTGATGCACCGCCACTGGCGGCGGCGAAGACAGCCAGGCGTCCAAGCAGCAGCTCGGAGCTGCAACGCTGTCAGGAAGCCAAGCGATGGAGGAAGGTGAGTTACTTAGCGTAGATGGGTGAGGGTGCTGAGGTAAGGAGGACGGAGTGGCGAAGATCTTGATAAAAGCACTGAAAAGTCTTGGCAGCCAGAATAGGAAACTGCCAAGCACGAGCCCTCGTTATCGGGCGCAGCAACCGCCTGCGCACAGACCCGGCGCTGTTGTGTAGTCAGACCTGCGCTGTGCATTTTTGTTCTAGAAACCTGCACGCATAAGTAGTAATTATAAGTTAGCTCCAGTTACTCTCAAAGACGATGCCGCATCTCCCGAATTTGATTTGCGTGGTCCTTGTCCGATTGCTTTAGCTCTCCTCTTCCATGGTAGCGGTCTAACGTAGGTACACCAAATCCCCTATCACATTTAACTCCCTCACTCCATCATTACATGCGTGTTCAACGCATTCCGAGATGGCAAAATAACCTTCAGACTCCTGCATGCCGCGAGTGAGGTTTTGGGCCAAAGTCCCGTACGCTACCAGAGACTGAGTCGGGAGCCTCGTCTGCCTTCGTTACTTGGAGATGCGTACGCACCAGTAGATTGCCATCAGCAGTGGAGGAATCACCACAAGATCAGAGAACAGATTGATAAGTCCACGCTAGGAGTCGCAAGGCCAGAAGAGGGAGTATGACATGGAAAGAGCGCCGAAGATACGGAGGGTCATGAGCTGTTCAGCGGCCGGTCGCGATCGTGAAAGACGGTAGAGAGCGAGACTGAAAAGAAAAAAGGTTTGATTTCTTCGTTGACGTTAGGTGACGTAGAATGTCGCAGGTGCGATGATACCGTCCAGACCTCGCATCCAGTCACACACGCAAAACACATCAGGGTGCTAGCCAAATAAACGACCACATTGCAAAGGCAATCGAATTCCAAAGAGACCCAGTATTCGATAGGTCACAACTGGAACAATCGAAGGAAGATGCTCAAACTCGGGTCCGAAGGTCCACGAAAGACATTGTGCACACCACCAGCTGGCGTGAGGTTGCTTTTTACTAAATGCGGCACCAGATCGACCTATCACAGAACTTACCACCACAACACGGCCAAGGTCTCTCCTCATGAAAGGATTCACCGTCTTCGCTTTTCCTTTTTCTTTTGGTGCTCAGTGGTGCAAATATACCTTTTGTTGGCTTGGTGTGGAGGGCCAGAGTGTCTGTGACCGCCTTCCGTGACTTTTAGCTCAGAATTCCAAGCCAGAGGGATCGCACGATGGCTTTACGGCATCCGTCAGGCTGCTTCATGTAGGGAAACACAGAAGAGCCTGGCCAGATGGAAGGACTTACACGCCGGTGTGAATAAGTACTTAAGACTCGACGGAACCCTTATTGCAACACCTTAGTAGAGAACCTCGAACGCTAGGGCCAGAAGAAGCTAGTCTACCCCAGAACCAACGATCCGAATCACTAATGCACGTCGTTCCAATCGCATTGGCGTTCATCGCCATCACGGCCCATGCACTGCCAACTCCGCCATCGGATGGACCTGATCTCGGAGGGCGTGTAGTGGACAGACGTATCAACATCAACTGGGCGCGGAGACCCCCGCCCAAGGTGAGAACTCTCTTGGCCGACGCGGAAATTTTTGATAACCTAATTTCCTGGGGTACACCGTAAGTAGGAAGAAAGGCGGCAGTGGCTTTTGTTTACGATCGTGCTAATGTCAAGCATAAGCTTTTCCAAGCGAAGTCCAGCGCAAAATGCCCCTGCTATTCTCACAGATGGTGCGGATGATACGGCCACCGCGTACTCGGCCGACACTTTGGACACCGCGGGCACCACAGGCCTTCCAGACACCACCGACATTGGGGACACTGAAATTCACACGGAACTTGTGGGCTCTGACGCCTCTTCTGGCTCTGCGGACACCGCGAGTATCACCGACGCAAAGTGGTGGTGGGACCGCCGGTGGCTGTCATTTGACAATCGCAAGCGAGAGACCAATGTACCTCTGAAGGGGAAAGAAGCTGGCGGTGAAAGCCTTTCCGCGGACGCTGCTGCGGACGTTCCGATCTTCCTGTCTCCCCAGCGCTCTGCACGTGCTGACAAAGCGACCCCCGTGGACACCGCAGACGCCGCTGCAATTACCTGGGGGTGGAATTGGAGACGCACTCGTGCTATCCCACCCGAGACCGTGGAGCGAGCTGGAGCAGCAGTCCCGTATGAACTGGCCCGCCGAGGCAAGATCTGTTAAAATCCAAGTCACGTGAGGGGAGGAAGTAATTGGGTAGTCGATTGATTAGTTAACTAAGCCGTGGGCAGCCGGCACCTCGCCTGATATAGCCGACTGCCAAGGCACTAGCCCTGTTAGTCATCAGATCACGAGACCATTGACCCTGCTACATAGTCTGATACTCAACAAGATCTAGTAAGGAAAGCGGATAGTACTTTAATACGCTCCGGTCATGCTGATCTTGAATGCAGCACACATATCGGGAAGCGAGCGCAGTCGGATCCCGACGCTCCTGAAGCTTCTGCGGAGGCTGGGGAGGATGATAACGGAGTTCCGTATAACCCGCAGCTCTACACTCTCGAGTAGGTATGAGAAGGTATCAGCAGTTCTTTGATTACGCATCAGTAATGCTGACCTTAATTACAGGGCACATGGCAAGTAAACACATCAATCTCTACAAGGACTCTAGTGACGGACGCTCTTGCAGATACAGTGACCAAATCGGCTTGTTGCGCTGCCTTTGATGATTTGGAGGACTATTGCGTGAAGAGGGGAAGTCTGGGTCAGACAGCGTTTAGATGTGCTGTTGGTTTGTCAGTGGTTAAGGGTATCATGGGGTGGAGGTCAAGTATCTTTTGGTGATTCGGTGCGGACGTTACTGTTTTCTGCGGTTGCCTTTATATCACACGGACCAAGATCAGGTTGGATCTGCTAGTATATTCACTCATTTGGAGAGCGGCAGACGCACTGTTTTCTAAGATAACATCCCACTCTTTAAGCATCTCCCGTGAGACGTTCTGCGTGACATAGACACACTCTCAAGGCTGACACGATCCTCCACGTTAAAAAAAAGAAAATAAAAAGAACATCGCCGAAGCCTCCAAACCCAGCAATGTCAGATAGATTTTGTGGCAGGCCCATATAACCGTAGAGGTTCAAAATGCAAGCACGCACATCATTATAAGAGCCTCAAATACCTTCACTAACGTCGACATTACAGCAACAAGTGAATTCAAAATATGTCATAGCGCCTATTAATGACTTCTATTATGAATGAATTACGGTAAATTTGGTCGTTTATCAAGAAGTCGAGTGACCTCCCCCCTCCCATCTCTCCTCTGGCGTGACGAAACTTGTTGCGGACTTATTCCTTACTTTGCTCAAGCCCAGCTTGTTTTTCTTCTTGCTGCATAGCTAAGAATTTTTTGAGACAGGTCAAAGTGTGTGGGTGCTGATGACCAAATTCCTGCACGAAGCCGTCATATGCTCGTTGGAATAGCTCCTTAGCCTCGCCGTACTGCCCCTGATTTCGTAGTACGTATGCTAAGCCATTTACGCTTGCTAGAGTATGTGGATCCCGTACGCCAAGCTCTCCCTCGCTCCCTTTTAGCGCCCGCCGGTATAGCTTCTCCGCCTCGTTGTACTGCCCCTGTTTACGACGTAGCACGGTTGCTAGGTTATTTACGATTATTAACGTATATGGATGCCGTACGCCAACCTCTTCCTCGCTCCCTTTTAGCGCCCGCCGGTATAGCTTCTCCGCCTCGTTGTACTGCCCCTGTTTACGTAGCAAGGTTGCTAGGTTATTTACGCTTATTAGTGTCTCTTGATGCCGTACGCCAAGCTCTTTCTCGCGTCCTTCTAGCGCCCGCCGGCAAAGCTCCTCCGCCTCGCCGTACTTCCCCTGATTTTGTAGCACGGTTGCTAGATTATTTACGCTTACTAGCGTCTGTCGATGCCGTAAGCCAAGCTCTTTCTCGCGTCCTTCTAGCGCCCGCCGGCAAAGCTCCTCTGCCTCGCCGTACTTCCCCTGATCTTGTAGCACGGATGCTAAAATACCAAGGCCGCTGAGTGTTTCTAGGTGATACAGCCCTGCTACACTCTCTCTAGCTGCTACAATCTTTCTTGCCGTTATTTCCGCCATATTGTAGTCCCCTCTCTTCCACATATACCACACAACCATTCTGAGAACCCAAGTGGATGCCTCCAGCAACTCGTCGGCCGCTAGCTCAGCGTTGAGAAGCCACTCGGCATGCGGAAGCAGCTGCTGGCAACGCGACCAGTTCTCGAACTCCCCATTTGGAAACTCACGTGCCATGAGCTCAACGAATTCCCGCTTCCACTGTTCTGAGCCGCCGGATGACGACAGCCACACTTGGGTGCAGAAATGCACGAGGGCATGCATCTCACACGTATCAGGCTCGGCCGTTGCGGCTATGAGCGAGTACGCCTGCAGGGTATCCAAGTCCTCGTTAAACATGGCATAAGCCTTCTCTTCGCAGCCTGGCCCCTCCGCGGTTCTGCGAAACTCCTTAAGTATCCACTCTGGAATGCCTTGGGGGTTGAAGAAGCTCATAAGCGATAGCAGTTCGGCAGCGGAGGGCCGCTCTTGTCGAATGCGCTCGAACGACATCTGCCACGTCGTCACCACGGAATTTGATGCGCTCGGGTCCCGACGCAAGTCGCCTGTATCCTGATTTAGGAGGGATTCTTTCTTCTTGTCGTTCGCCCGAAATTCGGACAGATAAGCCGTTATCGTCATGCGATATCGCCGGTTGATGTAAGCAGCAGCCTGGGTAATTGTGAGAGGCATGTAATCGAGAGAATAGAGCAGATCCATCGCATCATCTTCACTCGACGTGCCCTGCAGCTTGTCGGGGAGGAGTTTATTGCGGAGAAGCTGCATGCCTTGGCTCTTATCCATCACGAACACCTCTCTGATGTTTTTGTAGCCTCCTGCTAGCGTGGCTGCCGCATCCTTATTCCGGGAGGTGAACAGAATCGTCCCATTGCAACTTTGGGGGAGGTACATTGCCAGCGATGCCGACGCGCCTTCGATCGGCTCGCCCTGCTTGCGCACTTGGGATGGGAAGAAGATTTCGACGTCATCGGCGTTGTCTACGATCATTGTCCATTGTCCGTTTGTCTCGTCGCATAGCCAGGCGCTGACTAGCCCTAAATGTCCGTCTTTGGATCGTGTCGCCCAGGAAGCTTGAGTCTGTCTGCGAGGGCTTCGTACGCATCTTCAAACCGCTGCTTGGTGCTAGCGTGCACCCAGAACACGAACCTGTGGGGTGTCGTATCGCGAATGTTGTAGGCGTATCGAATGGCTAACTGTGACTTTCTTCGCTTCATCAGCACCGTGCAGATGTTCGGGAAGCGGACGTTGACATACCCTACGCCGCCAAGGCCAACGAGCGCCGCGCGAGCGCCTGGTCCCGCGCACATGCGGTGGATCCACGCTAAGGTCTCGGGCCGGTCCACGAAGTCAGGGTCTGGATGGAACGGGATGTTGTCAAAGGGCTCGCATTTCCGGTTAGAGCCGTCTGTAAGTCTCTGTCAGTTACGGAGTGCTGGCGTTCGGTTGGCGCATTCGCCTTGCCCGGGTGATGTCGCCACCCGAGCTTGAGTGTCATAGACTCACGCGAGCTGTCACCGCTGTTGCCGAAACTGACATTTCCGTAGGCGATTCCAGAAAAGTTCTGGCCGCCGTTGATTGCGGAGGTGTTCGAGATGTGTTGAGCACGTAGTGGAGCGTCGTCCGCCATGGAAGAAAATCACTGCCGTTGCATTGCTTAGCGTTGAGCTGCACTGGTGGTGTGGTCAACGGCAAAAGACCTCGCCAGGCTCGGCAGCGTCAGGATTATATCGTATCTATGACTCACTAAATGTGGTGGCTTGATAGCTGAGATCATCCTTGCAATGATTTTTGGGGGCTACGAACTATATCGCTGGATTCGGCAGCAGGGACTCTTCACTGGCTCTAAAATTGCAAGGCGGGTTACACAACTGCTAAACTACCAGGCATTGTGAGATCATACGGTACGCGATGATTGGTTGCAACTCCGCAGCATTGCCTCAGCCGAAGTGGAAAAACACGCCACTGTCTGAGTACGGCTTATTGCATACCCCAACAGCTGTCTTCGCCTCAGCCTCGTCTTAGCCAAGGCACAACACGTCAACTTTCCCCAACTCCTTCGGAAGCTGTCTTTTTCTCGCCTTGCTGGAAGGCATCCTTTTGTCCTCGTTGAAACTGCCTTGTCGTCGCCATGGACCCTCTCAGCGTCACAGCCTCTGTTGTAGGCATCACCACGGCAGCTCTTCAGAGCGTTCAGTCCCTCGCCACGGCCATCGACAATATCAAAGGGGCTCCCGACACTGTTCAGAGCACCAGCGCCGACCTTCAAGCAGTCCAAATAGTTCTGCGAGAGCTGGATACCGCATTACGAAACGATCCCTCGCAGCTCATTTCGAGCAATGCAATTGAGAGTGCTATCAAAAACTGCAATGGAGCATGCGAGTCATTTCAATCGAAACTCCAACAGTGGACAAAGCATTCTACGGAAGAAAAAACGGTTTGGAGAGACAGGTTGAACATTGCACTGTTTCAACAAAGCAGGATCAAGGCTTTTACGGGCCAGCTCAACGGGTGCAAAAGCACTCTCAGCATAGCACTTTCTACAGAGAAACGGTATCTTCCTTCCTCCTGTACTATACTTTATCAATATTTCTAACATGTAATTAAAGGATTGCCATGTCCCGACAAGACGATCTATTGAAGAATGCGATTCTTGAAGCCAACGAACGCTTTATCCAGCAAGAGAACGTCCAAGCAGACAATCAAGGGGCGGAAATAGAGCGCAGTCTGCAGCAACTCACGCTACAAGGAAGCACTGAGCCAGGACATGAGTCAGATCAGACCATACAGGAGCTACGTCAAGAGCTGGAGAGACAGAAAGCCATCAACGCTTCCTGCAAAGAGATGTGCGACGAAGCCCTGGCGAAAACGGTGTATGCACGCACAGGACAGAACATCAAAGGCGTCAAGGCAACAAACTATGGCACAGCTGTGACAGGTTTCTATAACGCGTCTGAACAAGAGTCGAAGATTCGTCAGGATATCTCTGGTATCACCGCCGATAATTGGGGTATAGCAGTTACTGGAGTCGCGAGGGATGTAGATTTCAAGTCATTGCGTCCAAGCGGATCAGGCGGGGGTGGGCTGTGATGAGGAGCCTTTCACGTCCAGAAGTGAGTGCTTTACTGGATGAGAAGGTGCCGCGAGAAGTGCGTGAGCCCTCGTGTTTTGTGGCGCTCCCCGCAGCAGGGATACATTACCTATACAGCGCATTCCACGTACGAGAACTACGACGAGTCTACGTTATTCTCAGTCATCCGTTTATCATTTTCAGCTGCTAAATACCTTTCTTTTCAACGTAGCAATAATGAATTTTTAGCCAAAGCCTGTGCTATCAGATCAAAACAAGAGGGTAAAGAAGGATCGGTCTATCTGCTAATCCTCGTAACACATGATCAGGTCTTTGCCTTCCTCCAAAACAAAAGACTATCCCGCTTTCTTCTCCGGGGCTTCAGCTTTCGATGTGCTTCCAGCTTCGAAACCAATCGACTGGCAAGAACTGCATCGGCCTGCCCAACAGTGGATTTGATGATGTCAATAGCATCCGTCTTAATCGCTCGAATGGACGGATCAGCGCCATGGTCCAGGAATAACTCTGCGATAGTACCTAATCTTTTGCAGGTGGATAAATCGAGGCCATCTTCCCCGTGTGAACTCGCCATCATCTCCTGTCCTGTTACTGACAATAGGTAGAGCAGATGATACCATGGTACACGACTGGACTCGTAGCCGTCCGCTGGAACGTTTGGATCAGCCCCATACTGAAGTGCGACTGAAAAAAACTTGATATCGATCCTGTCGTGGTCAAGGGCAATCACAAGAAAGTTTGATAGGCGAGATTGGTCGTACATTCCGGAGTGGTATTGCTGTTTCAGAGTGTGCTCGACGTATGAATAGAACCCTTGTTGAAGTGCAAACTCCAGGAAACTGGAAGAACCAGTAGCCATGGTGCACAGGTTTGTCCAGTCAGGCTTCAAGGCGTATGGAGCATTTTTCTGTACTTCTTTAATCCACTTCTCGGCATTAGCAGCTCCTCCTCGAAAGAAGCTGCCGGCTGCTTCGTTGAGATTGAGCAGAATACGGAGATTTATCTCACTATTGACCTCCTCCACGATTTTTGAGAAGTCGAGGCAATTGGAAGTGAGGTACTTGAAACGCGGGAGGAAGGTGGGTTGGGAACCATCCAATTTCTTGATACAGCGTAGAAAACCGGTGCAGAGGGACAAGACAATTTGATTGTTGGTGGTGTTGGATGCCGAAGTGAGTGACTGGGATACTTGGTCTTGGAGGAGATAGTCTTTCACAGTCCTGTGTAGGTATTCCACTTTGGCCCAGGTCTTCTGTTCATTGAAAGCTGGACTTTCGAGAAAGCCACCACATCGGCTTTTGATCCGGCGTCTCATCTGGTCGGCAAGGTTGTGATCTGCCTCAACAGAGAGGCAGCAGATGTTGTCATCCAGTGCTTTTTCCGGGCCTTCTTCCGCGTACAGGAGAACCAACAGTGGCACTGGATTTTTTGCAGTCTGAGTTCTCCGGAATATTCCTGCAGACTCCTCAAAGTATTCACTCTCTCGGATCTGGGCCCAAATCCCATCGAAGAGGTTGTTAAGTCCAGGAGGGTATTTGCTGAGTGCTGCATGCAGCTCTTCGATGGACCCACCATTTTCCAATTTATGGAGAAGCAAATTCGTCACAAGCTTGACCCAGAGGAAGACGCCTTTTGCTCTTCTCGTAATGTTCCCGAGAAGCTTTTGACACGCTCGCACCTGATCTTTCATTTCCATCCGGTCTTTGAACACATCATTCTCGTAGAATCTGTCCGTGACATACAATGCTATGTCAGAAGCCGTCATATTCTCCATGTGAAGGCGGGGGAAGTGCTTGAAACCGCTCTCGAATGGGATCCAGGGCCGGCTGGCGACACAAATTTTGACGTTTGACCTGCCCGCACAACACTGGAGGATGAAGCTCACTAGATCCCTTGGCTCTCCGGTAAACTCATCGAGACCATCAATCATGAAGAAGTGTTTGACGGAGCTATCCGATACTAGTGTTATGAGAGCCTGCTCAAGTTCACTGGCAGACCAATCTCGGGTTTGAAAGCCGAACAAGGTGCTGTATGTCCACCTATCAGGAAACAGTACGGGAATGAGGTCAAGACAGCCGCCGATGGCTTCGTATAGCAACGTTCTCAGCATACCGTCCTTGGACATTTGCATGGTTGTACCGGCATTCCAAAAGAAAAAGCCAGCTTTACGGAGTGAATGGTCACCGGTCCAAGATTGGAGGTATTTCGAAAGATGAGCGTCATCGTATAGAAGCTTCATGAGGGTCGACTTTCCGGAGCCTGGTTTTCCCGTGATCCAATAAAGCGGCCCCGAATTTTCCAGCCAGATACGATAACTGTCCCAGGTTGCGGGCCGAGAGTTTTGGTTCTCGAGTTGTCTTGCAGGAAGTTGGTCCCACCAACCACCAGGGTCGTCCGATTCAGAATCGCTGTCATCAGCTTGGGTTCCGTCCGCGTTATCGGTAACCGTTAGAGAAGTTTCGGATGGGGCATCGATATCACGCTCCCGCGCTACATGCGACATAGCTTCTGCTGTCGCTCCAACCTCCACCCCTGTATAGGAAGATTGATCGGCTTCTCCAAGATCGTGGAAGACCCATTGATATGTCTTCTCGTGCGCCTCTGATATCTGCAAATGACGGTCGCGCATATCGTGAAACTTCAATTTTTCCATGATTTTGCGTTGTATAACCTCCTCTCTTTGCCTTTTGGTGGTCTCGGAGATGATGGACGCCAGTTGGTCACTGTCTCCCTGCTCCTGGATCCGATCCATGTGCTGCCTGATGTTTTCGAAAAGCTGCATTTGGGAATGCTGATTCCTTTCTTCTAGCCGAGAAATTGACTGATCAAGGTTTTCACGGAATGTGATGTTATTATACTGAACGTGCTCGGTAAGGGAGGCAATGGCGATCATGCCTATCTGAGTGCGATAAGCGTCGAGGCGTTGGGACAAGTCCGCAATATTGTCCTCCTTCCAAACAGACCGGAGAGCTTGGCGGAACGTGTTCCACTGTTTGAATGAGCCCTGCCTTTTAAGGTCCGCGATGGCAGCTAGGAGTTGTTGTGCAAGACTGTTGCAGTCGGCACAAAGCAATGACAGCTGTTCATCGAGTTCGATGAGATTTTCTTCATGGAGTTCTTGTGGCGATAGTGAATCTTTCTGGGGTTTTCCCTTTTCTTTCCGATATCGAGTTGACGTGTACGTGATCAGATCGTTGAATGCCAAAATACTAGTGGTGATGGTCTCGAGCTCGGTATGCTTGACGAGAGCTCCATCTTGGGAGTTGGCTATTTCCCGAGTTCTGTCGATGAGCTCGCCTGCAAAGCTGATGAATTGAACCACATTTCCGGCGATGCCTAGAGCCGTGAGAGGGTCAGCCATGTCCCAGGCAAAGAGATGCAATCATAAAAAGTTTGAGATGAAGAATTTGGGGCTTGGGTGGGGGCTTAAATGGCGGGGCGTATTTGTGGGGCTCTCAGCTCCGCAGCCTTGCATACTGTGTATGCACACCGCCGGAAGCATGGTTGTCCAGCGCAATCTACTACGGATCCCCGAAGATTTGTTTTGTACAGATAGTACGTATATCCAGTGCCAATGCAAGGTTTGGTTCAAAGCCCCCTCGGTAAACATGGCCTCATTAAGGCGACAATGCATGGGAGGATGCACCTCAGTTACGCGCGGCCGCAGGTCCATTGCACGGTCGTTTGTGAAATACATGAACGAGTTGCGGATGCGGGCTTCAGGTGAAACACGCCCGTACGGAATCCGAGATAGCAATGGAGTTTTATACTTAGATATTTCACTAAGCTTACTAGTATAGATCAATAGAGATACATAAAAGTTTGATACTCGTCGCAATAAATTAAATTGTAAGATATTCTACATGAATGATAGTTCGTTTTATACCTCTTACTCGTCCTTACCTACAGCCGTCTCTAGTACATCAGCACCACATTCGCAGCATAAAGCATCGGGTAATTTACACTCCCAGTGCCACTGAATTCCAACTTCCTTGATTATTTCTGCTGCAGAGGGGCGCAAACGTGGGTCCAAACTGAGCATCTGAACGCAAAGCTTGATAGGAAAGACCATAAATGTATCAGTACAATGCTTCATAGGAAAGGCCATATACATATCAGTACAGAACGGATCTTTGCTTAGATCATACAGACTTTCTAGAAGATCAGTGACTTCAGTGCGGTTCGCCTGGAACGACTGGTCTTGCAAGTTCCGCTCGCGAGTCTGGCGCAACTCATCCCAGTGGTACGATCCTGCGAGCGCGCATATCATCTCAGCGAACACGCACCCGAGGGAGAATATATCGGCAGCCAGGCCACGGGGCACGTCTGGGTTGTCGCGATAGTTTTCTATTACCTCAGGTGCTGCCCAAACTTTCGTAAATGAGGGTAGTGAAGAGGTATCGGCATCTCGAGCAGAATCATATGAACGTGCGATCCCGAAGTCCGAAAGGTAAACTTTGAAGCGCTCTGAGTGGCGAATACTACTCATTCGCATATCTCGGACGAGTATGTTGGCAGGTTTGATATCCATGTGCTTGATGACGTAGTCTTTGCTGCCGTGGAGGTAGTGTATTGTGTTCGTCAAGCATCTGAAAAAGCTTGAAAGGCTTTCCAGAGCTTCAAGCTGAAATTGAGGCAGATAGTCAGGTTTTGCGAAAAGTACTGGTGCTGTCCAAGTGATGCCTGCTTCTACCTCCTTGCCCCAGATCTCATGCAGGAAGCTTTCGAGGTTGTATTCTGTGACTGGGTAGAGCAAGAGATTCGCGCTTTTCGGCGCTGGAAGCACATATGTGCCAATGACACGGACAATATGAGCGTGGTTGAGGTGTTGTAAGTGAGAGACTTCATCGGCGGCTCTCTCGCGACTAAGTTTGTTGCGGAAGAAAATTTTCTTGCGTGCAAGTCGGATGCGTCTGCAAATCACGACTTCGACTGTTGGACCAAGATCTGTGCCCTCGATCAAGAGGGGGAGTTCCTTCGGGGTTGAGAACTCAACATGTTGCCCGATTCCAGACCAATTCTGCTCCAAGGATTGTGGAGGTACAAGGTCTCGAAGTTTCAGGATGTGAATCCAGATGTTGTTCTTTTTGGGACGGATGCCACCAGCTTGCCTAGCCACGAGGGAGTGCTTGGATGGGTTTGACTGTGCAGTCTTGAAGCTAATGGCCATGCTGCTTCTGAAACTCAATACCGCACTGCTTCTCACGGCACTGAAGGATGACCGCGCAGTCTTGAAGCTGACCTGGTCGCTGAATCGTCGACTTTTCCTTTCAGGAGTGACGGACACAGTCGCACGACCAACAACCTCATCACTCAAAGCAATTTCCGCCTCGATGTGTCTGAGCTCGTTTTTCAAAGGCGTTAGGATGTCGCGGGCGGAGTCATTATCTTTCCACGGTTCCCTTTTCAGGACTGCTTGGTCAATCGAGAAATCTCTCGCATAGCCTTGCAAAAGTTAAGAGAGTTGACTACAAAAACTTTAGATCTGTGAAAAATATTTTGCATGCGGTATACTCACTCGACTGGATCACGACTAAATTCCGCACGGTCTGTTGTTACAGTCTGCATCGTAGTGTGGTAGAAACTTCTGCGCTGGGCCGTAGAGTGGCAAAAGCGGAGTGCTGTTGAGATTTTGTAAGGTGTTCGCCTGAGTTCTTGTCAGCCTAGCGGTGTGGCTGCAGATGTATGCAGCCCCGTTGTCTCAGCCTTGCATTACACAGCCACGTGCAGCGCATGAGTTTTGAATGTCAATCGCCATAGTCTTCAACTCCCGGGAGCAGATTGAGACGCAAAGCGACACAGTTCCGTGCGTAAGTGATCTTTTACCTTCGAAAGCAGCCAGCATCGAAACAGCTCACAAAACGAAGAGTGATTAAATGTAAAGTGAACCATGACTCCGCCTGCATTGCAGCCTTGCACGAGGCGCAGCACTGACACGTCACCGATTGGCACATTGGCCGCCGGGAGTAAGCTGCAGATAATTTTAAGGTGTTCAGCGGTGTAACGCGTTAGCAAACAGAATTTCGAGTTGAGAAGGGTGGACTTTCCTCGGATTGTTTACAGAAGGAAAGTGTGTCAAGCGACTCGGTCTGGCCTCTCCTTGGATAACGCATTACCCGTGCTGGTACCGCGCCACCCTCAACAGCGACACTCTGGTCAATTGCGCCTTCGTCAGCGGCACCATGCGCCCTGTCCATCATTGCCAACGTTAGTTGGAGAGGTCATTCGCCAACAAGCTCGCCGCGCTTCCTGCCAGTGAGCAGACTGTGAGCCCAGTCGGGGTACATGAATTTTGCCGAGAAGTCAGCCTCGATAACGAAGACGCATCCTCCTCGACATGGGCCAATCAGTGTGTCCGCAATACAGCCTAATTAGGGGCGGAGCCGGATCGAGCGGTGGTCAGCCGCACTTTAGGGCTCATAGAGGATCCTACGAACAACGCAAGAGTACTCGGGAATAATGAGACATTCCGTATGGTAACGACTACACGGTAGTATTCTCTATGTTGCATGGTGAAAACTAGATCGTAAAATGAAGCTGAAGCGGTTAAAATGCGATGGTAATAGCAACAATGGCGGCCTCCTGACTCAAGATCAGTCAGCTCTTGGCAAACGCCTCACAATCCTAACGAGAGATAATATCGAATGACTGTATCATAGCGATCCTTGATGCGGATGAGAGGATCAAGAACGATTCGGTGGTGCCACAATGCTGAGTCGACCTGCAGACCAGGGGTAAATTCCGCGGTGCCGTGCTGCTTACCCAGAGTTCATTCTTCAATTCAGCTTTCAGCCTGACATGTATTGTCCTCATGCCCATTGACTCTCCTCAGACGAAGTACCCTTCTATTCCCCTCGTGACAATTTAGCCCCTTCAACTACTTGCGAACAAAGAGAGAGAGATCCTACACGAAATGTCAGAAATGATGTCCCAGAGAGCCTTGGAGAGCCGAGCCGACTACACGGTCGGCTGGATTGCAGCCTTACCCATAGAAAGAGCTGCTGCGATCGCCATGCTCGACGAGCAGCACAAGAAGCCGCTTGATTTCGTCCAACCGGTTAGCGACAAGAACTCGTATACCTGGGGGAGAATCGCCGAGCACAATGTAGTTCTCGCATCGCTGCCTGCAGGTGTTTACGGGACAACGTCAGCTGCGACCACGGCAACCTCGATGGTCTCTTCGTTCCCTCAGATTCGCATAGGTCTTATGGTTGGCATCGGGGCGGGCATTCCACGGCCAGACCAAGATGTTGACATTCGACTTGGTGACATTGTCGTCAGCCAGCCATCTGGCCAGAGCGGCGGTGTCGTCCAATACGACTTCGGGAAAGCCAAGAAAGAAGATCGATTCGAGCGTACGGGTTTTTTGAGTTCACCGCCTCAGGCTCTTCTCAATGTGCTCTCCAATCTCCAGTCCCAGCACGAATTCGGATCCAACATCCCACAAATTCTCGAAGACATGTTCGACAAGCATCCTGAACTTGCTAAGGCAAAACCCGGAAAGTCCAGCTATAAGTACCAGGGACGAGAGCAGGACCGACTATTCAAGTCATCCTATGCTCACAGCCGGGGCAGAAATTGCAACTACTGCGATCCAGAGCAGGAACTTGAACGCGAAGAGCGCGAGTCTTCTGAGCCAGAGATTCACTACGGCCTTATTGCCTCTGGAAACACCCTGGTAAAAGATGCCGCCATCAGAGACTCGATCGTTCAGAACCTCGGTGACGAATGCTTCTGTCTCGAGATGGAGGCAGCTGGTCTGATGAATAACTTCCCTTGTTTGGTCATAAGAGGAATTTGCGACTATGCCGACTCTCACAAGAATGATCGATGGCAAAGATACGCCGCTGCAACAGCTGCAGCGTACGCCAAGGAACTTCTCGGTGTTATTGAAGGCGAAGATGTTGAGAGGACTCAGAAGGCTATCGATGTCCTACAAGACAGTTAGTTTGCCTCTATTGTACCCCGAGAATCACTAGTGACCACCCAAACAGTTGCCAAGAACGTGACTCATATCGAGCATGCAACGCATGAAATCAAAGCCGGCGTGGAACATCTTTCCTTGGACGGCCAAACGCAGAAGATACACTCATGGCTGTCTCCCCCAGACCCGTCAACGAATTACAACAAAGCTCTACAGCAACGCTCTCGGGGATCTGGCCAGTGGTTCCTCCAAAGCCCGGCCTATCCAGCATGGAAGACAGGCCGAAATTCATTCTTATGGCTTTATGGCACTCCTGGATGCGGCAAGACAATTCTGAGCTCATCAATTATTGAAGACCTTGGAAAGAGTGAAGTCTGTTCTCGAAAACTGCTCTATTTCTACTTCGACTTCAGTGACAGCCACAAACAGTCTTTTGAACATATGATCCGCTCGCTTCTTGCTCAAATTAGCCACGGAGAAAATGTCCAAAGGCATCTAGACCTTCTCTACGCTTCTTGCGAAGACGGAACGCGGCAGCCAAACATCAAAGCGTTATGCAAAACATTCTGGAATATGGTGCAGCAAATTGGCGAAGTCTGGATTGTCCTGGATGCACTCGATGAATGCCAGACGCGAAAGGAATACTCAACCGAAAGCCTACTGTACTGGCTGGAGCGCCTTCGAGGTTTTCGTCACGACGACGCTCTGAACGTTCATCTTCTTGTAACCAGCCGCCCAGAACCAGACCTCAAGTTGGCTATTGACAGATGGGCCTGCAATCAAGATATGATTTCGATTCAAAGCGGTCTGGTTGCGGAAGATATACGTGCATACATCCACATGAGGGTTAGACGAAGCTATGGCCTTAAGAGGTGGCAATCGCGACCGAAAGTTCAAAATGAAATCGAGACTACTCTTTCAGAGAAGGCCAATGGAATGTAAGATCTGGGTCACCATTCTTGCTTAAATTTTACTAAATTGAGATATAGGTTTCGCTGGGTTTCGTGTCAGCTAGATGCTCTTGAGAACTGTGTTGATTATCCTACACTACGAAAGGCTCTCGAGTCGCTACCAAAGACATTAGACGAAACGTACTCCCGAATTTTGGCCAACATACCGCCCGAGCATGAGCATCATACAATACGGATCTTGCAATTTCTGACGTTCTCTGAGCGGCCGCTGCGGATTAACGAAGCTGTTGATGCGATTGCAGTAGAGACGGATCGGAAACCTTACTTCGAGGCAAGAAACAGGATCACGTTTCCAGACGAGATCTTGAGGTACTGTTCCAGCTTGGTTACCTTGGTGAAGAAGGAGTTACAGCTCGCACACTTCTCCGTTAAGGAATATCTCACGTCTACTCGACTCGAGAACAGTTTCGCTAAGGACCTAGAAGAGACTGCCGCCAGGACGTCACTCGCAATGATCTGCCTCGCATACTTGTTGGAATTACCGGATAATATTCCAACGAGCAAGATCCGACAGTCATTCCCACTAGCACGGTATGCTGCCCGACACTGGACAAGCCATGCGCGAGTATCCGATGGCTGCAGAGAAGCACTCCGTATGCTTACGATGGACTTTCTTACATCTAAGAGCTCCTACGGAGTCTGCTATAAGCTCTACAATCCAGACGAGCCACAACTTGTGGATTCATGGACAAGCTCGTTGTTACCGTCTCCCTTATACTACGCATCACTTGAAGGGGTGACGTATATAATTCAAGAGATGTTGAACAATGGTGCGGACATCTCTACTATCTGGGGCAAGTACGGAGACGCTCTCCAGGCTGCTTCGTCAAGAGGGCATCTTCAGGTGATTCAAACGCTGCTCAATCATGGAGTTGATATCAACATGAAGAATGGAACCTACGGGAATTCTCTTCAGGCAGCTTCGTTTACCGGACAAACCCAGGTGGTACAGCTACTACTCGAAAAGGGGGCAAATGTCAACATGAAGTGTGGAACTTACGGGAGTGCCCTCCAGGCTGCTTCAGCATTCGGGCAAGTTCAAATTGTTCACTTGCTACTTGGGAAGGGTGCCAATGTTAATGCGAGGGGCGGAAACAGGAATAATGCTCTCTACGCTGCTTCGGAAAAAGGGCATGCTGATATCGTTCGTATGCTGCTTGAAAGAGGCGCCGAAGTTAATGCACAGGGTGGGAAACACGGTAACGCCCTTAGGGCTGCTTTAGAAGGCGGGCACATTGAAGTGGCTCATCTGCTACTTGAGAAGGGCGCCGAAGTCAATTTAGAGGACCGAAACTGGACCAATACTCTCAACAATGCTTCAATGAGAGGAGACGTTCAAGCAGTTCGTATGCTACTCGAAAAAGGTGTCGATATGAACGCTCAAGGCTCATACTTCGGAAACGCCGTCCAAGCTGCTCTAAGGGGGGGCAGTGTACAGATTGTTCAGGAGCTACTTGACAGGGGTGCCGACATCAACTCCCAAGACAGAGATTTCGACAATATTCTCTGTGCATTTTCGTCCAAAGGGAAGGCGGAAGCGGTTCAGACTCTGATCAATCAGGGTGCCGACGTCAACGCTCAGGGCGGATACTACGGCAATGCTCTTCAAGCTGCTTCAGCCGAAGGACATGTTCAAGTGGTTCAAATTCTGCTTGAAAACGGTGCAGACGTTAACGCCCAGGGGGGAAATTACACCTACGCTCTCCACGCCGCTTCGTATGGAGGACATGAGAAGGTGATTCGGGTGTTAGTAGAAAAGGGAGCCAACATATCAGCGACTGATAACGAGGGACTCACACCACTGCACGCAGCAGTTTTTCAGCACCTCAACGCAGCGAAGACCCTATACGAAGCAGGAGCCGACATTAATGCTCGCGGAGAAGATGGCTCCTCCCCTCTCCACACGTCAACAGATTATGGCCAAGTTGAAACGACGGAATGGCTCATTAGCCTGGGAGCAGACGTGGACCATGTGGATATGATGGGCCGAACTCCATTGCATAATGCAATCTATGACGGAAACGACAAAATGGTGGAACTTCTACTCTCTAAGGAAACCAACACCCACCTTGTTGATGGATATGGGAAAAGTGCCTTTGATTGGATACGGCAAAGCAAATACCTTTCGAAAAAGTTCGACAGCTTCATCAAAAGACCTCCAACTAACCGGAAACACGACGTCACTGACCATCTATGTCACTCTATTCAGAAGCTGACGACACGTCTATTGGAAAATGATGGCCACCAGATTTGGCCAGGGTATCATGAACTTGGTCACTGTTTGATGTATCTGGGCGAGCAGTCTGAAGCGTTGACCGCATTTCGACAGCAGATGACTGTTGATTCCAACGGGCTGGAGGTCACTCAGGACTCGATTTGCGACGGCTGTGAGGAAGATCCTATCCGCGGTTATCGATACGTGTGTAAGACTTGCCCGGATGTTGATCTTTGCATCCTTTGCTGGAACAATTCCACGAGCAACACTCTACCATCCCGTTGCTCGCCGAGACATGACTTCATGTACGTATGTGAACTGACTGGTGTAGAGAAGAGCATTGGTACGATTAATGAATTTGGAGAAACCAGTGTTGGTTGGCTTGAACGAATTAGAAGCACCTTTGGTCTTCGACTCTGAAGTAGTTGGATTTGTTAGTTAGAAAAGGAAAACGGCGTTAACGGACCATTTTACACGGACATACAATAATACCATTAAACCGGCTGCGCATAGTCCATATACAAATTTCGTTATTTTGTTCACCATGTGTGGGCATTCCAGGAAGATGACTGATGTATGGTAGGACCGTCGTGGCATTGGTGTATGGATTCAGGGTTGTGTAGCTACTGGCTCTCTAAGATGCAAGTAGAGATATTAAGGCTAAGGAGTGTACGAAAAAAACTACTCCACGCACAACTTCCACATCATACGAGCCGAGAATTGCAGCAAACCCGGCTTCCGCTACTTTTCGATCTTACAATTGACAGACGCCATGACAGAATGTCGGAGGGCTTGCCAATTCCTACCGACCAACAGTATGTTGGACATACGGAAAATTTGGAGCGAGCACTATGCATGGGTTGGACGGTGATTTGATTGGAATTTCCCTCCTTTCATGGTGTCAACACCACTGTAGCCTAGCGAACTACAAGGAATTGCCAAGAATCCATGAAAGCGAAGGAAATTTTACTATGGCAGTCACTTAGGAAGGCGTCTACTTTTCTGATCACCCCTCTCATTATCGCTTCCACAGCGACGGTGGCAGCTTCTTCCTGTCCGTCTGACCCATTGAGACACCCCGAGCTTCAATAGCCCTGCATGTCGTAAGGGAAAGGAGCGCTAGCGTTCTCTCCTTTCTTGCGTTTCTCATCCAGTAGCTTGTACCAGTGGATTACGAAGGTTGGCCGACAGATCATAGCCAGAACTGTATCTTTTGCCATTGGTTCTTCTGGTGCATACTCTCCCATAGAGTGCGCTAGAAGCGGGCGGATCTCATAGTGACAGTACTTGCACAGTGCCTCTGCATGCAATGGAAACAGCGGCTCCTTGTCCTGACGCACGACAATCGCACTTCCCACATGGGTCTGCCACTGCGGGGAAGCCCAACCCCAACCCACTGCTCCTGTGCGAAAATTGAATTTGGCTTTCGGATCGCAGCATACGTGGAGGAATGCAGCGTCCTGGTTGTTGAAAGGGTTCTGGTCTTGGAACATCTCATTATCCTGGTCGTTCGCCCACTTTGAGTTTGGGGGGCAACGTCTTGTGAAGATGGGAAGTCCGATGCGTTTCGCAATGTCAGAGGTGTCGTGCTTGGAGAAGATGGGATCCGTCGAAGGAATCTCAACTCCCTCGAATTGGGGTTTGTTGAACGTCCTCTGATCGCCGATGCAATTGATCTTGACACCTTTGACCTTTGTGCTGGGGGATTGCTGGGTAGGTGGTGCAGGTTCGTAACCGTACGAGAGGAAGTAGTCAGTGATGTGTCGGAAGTCATTCATGTCGAGGTCTTTGCAAGTGCTCTGATCGACTCCGAGACCCACTTTGCCGTAGGAAATGATCGGGCCTCGCCAGTCATGGTATCTTCCGGGTTTGGTAGCAGTGATGGCTGCAACGCTGTTGTTGGGGTTTGATCCATCGATGAGGAATGTGTCACGAAAGGAGACGTATATTGTGTCTGACAGTTGTCTCTTCAGAACCGGATTGTACTGAATTGTCGCGGGCCTTGGAAAAGAATTAGGGCCCAGAAAGGTCTTGGCGTCGGGATACTGAAACTTGATGCCTTCGTCTTCGTCATCGTCATGCCACTTGCAATGAAGCCAGATGAATTTTGGCTTCTTTTCATCGACTGGAAAGAGGATCGCTCGAAGATGCTCGTCAGTTGGTCGGCTCGAGACGTCGAAATTGGAGAAAGTTGCACAGAGGAGCTTGTGAGTAGGCCAGTCGACATGTTGGCATGTTTTCGAGCAGTACAAGGTACTCTTACATCGGCCGCAGAGCCGAGCATTAGTTTTGTTGCACACAGTACATGAACCCACAGCGTCGGGGGTCGTCATGGTTTACTGTGTGAGAGGGGATGGTTTGAACCATTAATGCCTTGTGAGATGGACGTTCAACTTAAATGCGGAGAGCTGAAAACCTCCACCTGCAAGCATCAAGAAAGCAGCTTGTCAAGCTGTCTTCTAAGACCTTTTAGCTTGACTGAATCGTTTGTTGGACACCCTACCTGCAGGCTGGCTTTGTGGGACCCGCCAACACATCCCCCACCTGCAAGGTGGCGTGCAAAAGCCTACCGCATACGGTTAAATATTTGAAGAATCCCTGCTCAGTGAGGCGCAGTAAACCACTGTGCTAAGTGTAAAAGATAAAGCTGTTTTTGCCAGAAACTGCAAAGAGCTCACTTTACATATTCTGTAATATCAACATAGACTATTGCGGGCAGCTGGAATCCACGTTCCGCGACGTGTAAAAATACCTGCTAACCTTTGCAACACCATTGTGTGTCCACGACAACAGCTATAGAACTAGCTTAGTATAAATCCTTTCACTTAGAGGTCGATTCTTGTCTGTTAATTCTGATCCTATCCTTGGTCAGAGCCGCATACTCTGTGTATCTCTTGTGGACCGCCGAGCTGACATAATGGATTTCAATTTCGTTGAGAGTACCACTGAAGTCAAACGTTACACGAGACTTTCTGCACTCAGCATTCAAGATTTGGCGTGTACGCTGCTCACATGGGTGGCACGTCCACCTCGCTTAAAGGCATGCTATCCTATGGCATGCCGAGGCGATTTCCTAAGACCTAGCCTTGCAAATGCGTGTTTCGTGAGTCGTGACTATCTCCCTTCATTCGGAAATGTTTGGACGAGCAGCCTCCCGTGCTTGCCGATCGGCAGGACACGGTAGGCTGCGATTCAGTGTGAACCCGTGTAGCCGCAACAATCTTCCAGAACGGTACCGGAGCTCGGCTAGTGTGGTGGGTCTCGCCCCGCCTGACGTCCCACCAAGGCCGTCAGCGTTGTCATTCAGTTCAGCCGCATGCGGCTACTGTGCCTTCACAACAAACTATGGAAACCTCAAGCACGTATGCTTGCGCATGTTTAACAAATGATAATAATAATTTCTCGAATGAATATTTTCTCTTGTGACCTCAAATTACGTGTCAAAAGTCTACATCACTCTATCTATCATGCGCAACCGCCTCTCCATGTGGGTCCGCGGACATGGTGTATGGTTACACAGCATTTGCCAGCCACCAGTAAGGTGCCGCTATCTCATCATTAGTGCCACTTGGAAGGACATCTGACCCTCGTATTAGTGGACTTGCTCGCTACCATGATTCCATAATTTCTCTAGCCTGATTGCTCTCTCTGGTCAAGGCCGGTTCTTGCTCAATTCTTTGTAATTAAACCCTCTGATATCCGAAGAACGACCTTTATGAGATTTCGTCGTCATTTTTCAAGTGATAAATTTAACAGCGTTTTGTTATTATTATTTCTTCCACGACGACGCGATTTCAAAGCCTTGTCTGCAAGCGAGCTATTGGCCAACAGTGGGTCTCACCGGCTGACACGTCAGAACTAAGTAGCGTGCGTATTTCCCCTCGTGGAGAGAGCCGCATATATGTGAAAACTTTGAACGCCCATACCTTTCCGTATCTGATCCGTCACTCCGGCACGACTTCAGCCTCGTCACTCATCAACCAACAAGGAGTCACGAGCCCATGCATAGCCACGATACGCTCTGAAGGCAGATCCTAGGCACACACACCTGGCATGTAGTTCAGCCTTGTCAATCCGAAGCCATGTTGGGAGACGAGGCTGAAAGCCTGATAGGTATAACCCGGAGTTCCACTTCAGAGCCTTGTCTGTTATTCCCGACTCATGGCCATCTTGTCTTCTAGTCTCACGTTTCCGGCAAAATTCTATCAAAGCCAGCCATGTCCGGGTATGGCATGTCGATCTTGCCAACGCACCGTCCTGCTACAGTACCAGCACCAACGTCGCCAGAAGAAAATAGCACCAACTATCCAACAGCCGCCTCAAACTCTACTCCGGCACCAGATGCTGGTAAAGCCGCTCATGAAACAAGTACCTCTCAACAGCCAGCTCAGCCAACATGCGGAACACCACAGCCGCCTGTCGCTCCACCTCCCGGTCACCCATTACTCGCTGATTACATGGGCCGAATGCCACAGATCGCCATATTCAGGCGCTTTGGTGCCACCAACGCCTTAGACCTCCTGTACAGACAGGCAGAAATAGTGCAGATGGAGACGCAACTCCGCGACCTTCAAGCAAATGATGCCAAAACCGAAGCTACAGCGTGGTACGCCAGGAATTCGTACTTCCTTAGCGATGATGACAGTGAGCAGTGGAAATTATTCCAAGAGCTACGCGTAAAACTCAAAGAGTATAGTAAGTACATCACTTAAGCTAGCTTAACGACATTTTATTCTTCGCATCCATCCCACCCTCGGCCTCGCTCTTTGCTTACTCGAGCCGTCGTCCCCAGACGAAGCTCTCGCCTTGCAGATCACAATCCTTTCGGCCGACACGCCCAGCGACTACGACCTCCACTGGCTACAACATTTCCTCTGGTCCGAAAAGATGGAGCCCGGGATTTCAGGAGTTGATCGCAACATCTGGGGCCACCACGAAAAGCCGGACGAGCACGCACCAGACTTGGTGAGCTTGCTTCCACAGCGGAATGAGGACTTCTTTTCAAAGTGGATGACCGAGCACGTCGTAACGCGGCTGCTGAAACTGGACAAGGGACGCGAACCTGACAAAAAGCGCGGCGTTGTGAGCTACGAGAGCGACAAAGTGCTCCGATGGACGTTTGCTTTCTCGACTGCCATCGCGTCTGTGCTTCCTGTCTTGTCAATCGCCATCCTATACGCTGTGCGGTCTCAAAAAGTGCGGCTCGCTCTCATTGCTATTTTCAATGTCGCGTTGGCTTTTGCCATTTCCCTGCTGGCATCACCTCGCATTGTCGATACCTTCACGGCATCATTCGCCTTTAGTGCCATCAACGTAATTTGGTTCAGCAGCTCCAATGGAACAGATGGGACTTGAGGAAATTTCAAATTCAAAACAAAACACCTGTGAGTAAAGAGCGTCTGGCCTGTGCTTCCAATACATCAAAAAGACTGAATGAAACATACTCGACAGGCCACTTTCCTTTTGTATACCTCTTGCAGTATACAACGAGTCACCACACATCTTTACATGCACCAAGTTCCCGACATATACGTTACAGCTGTACACAATGAAAGGGGGGGTTGTCCAGCTACCGTTGGAACAGAGTAGATGAAGGGGTGGATCGAGGAATCGATCTACGTCCTTCCCTGACCGGCCTCTTCATTATTGTTTTCCTTGTCACTGTCACCCTCTCTCCCTGAAGCATCAGTTTTCTTCTTCTGGTCGGTGGACTTGTTACTTTTCTTGTCTTCCTCATCTCCGTTCTTCTTGGACCCGCTGCTCCCCTCCTGCGGACCGTTCTGCGATGCCTTCACTTTGCGCTTCTCTTTTTCCCTCCTTGCGATCTCTTCATCTTCCCGTCTTGCTCTCCTTTCACGGTCCTCCCAAGTTTCTGTGGAGCCGACCCCGGTCAATCAGCAATGGTAATACTTCAAAAGGCAGGCGTGGTCTGAACACTCACCTTTCGACAACTCACCATACTTCGGGACGCACCCATTGCTCTTTCTCGATTCAACGGCAGGCCTTGCTTGCTGTTGCCAGCCACCTTCGTCAAATATCTTTTGCAATGCGTCCGAAGAAAGCGTCATCGGCACCTCTTCAGGACTCTCTTTCCCAGCGCCTTCCTCCCCCTCCACCACCAAGAACTTCCACTCCCACATTGTACGCACTGGGCTTTTGCCGGCACCGACGGAAGATGCCGACCCAGGACGACACTTGAGCACGATCTCACCACGAACCTTTAACCCATCTACGACAACGACGTCGTCGAACCACTTGACACAGCTCGCAAGGCGTCCAAGGTCATGGGCGCGAATAATGTTGTGGGCGCGGGCTGGCCCGGAGGTATCTGCGTGGGGATCAACGACAGCCGTCATCTCGACAACGTCGCTGCCGTTTTCCTCCCCCTCCTCCTGCTGCTCCTCGGACAGAATGAGTCTCCTGTTTGCGGAAACAGTGATTCGTACGGGCGAGTGTTCCTGCCACCTGAATGAGCACTCGTTTAAAAACAACCCGGGGTAACGTCCGCTTAACAGCGCGTCTCTCAACACTGGGGTTCAACACTCACCGGTCTCGCCGTCCCTTTGACACAAGGGACATGACAACACTTGAAGATGTAGTCAAGGAAGCTTTCCAGTGCCGTTGGGACCTTCGCTGCGAAGGGGTCAGATACTGTCGGCGCTTGCCCGCGGGTCATGGGCAACAGTTCGGCGTGGAAAAGCATACAACGAGGGCCATGGATCATGGCTACGGTCATGGCTGTGGGTTTGTTCTCGAAGGTGACAAGTCCAGGATGGTGGGCGATGTGAGGCTGGGTTTCGCTGCTCAGGGGTATGCATATATACTGAAAGAGACATGGACGCAGGTACTGCTGGAGACCACAGCGGGGTAGCGGCTAATCGGCCAGGCGCCGCGCGAGGCTACTGGTCGTCTGAAGAGGGGAAATAGCGGTGTGTACATTGCTATCTCGTGGTTGCCAGGTTTCTGCGCACGAGCTGTATGTAGTGTTCGGGCCGTTGGAGCGCGGGGTACTTCGAGGCAGGTTCCAAATGCAGCGTGTTCTCAGATATGATGAATGTTGACCAGGTTTTCTGTAGAAGAACGATATTTGGATCGAAGCTCATCAAGAACGTGGTGCTGCGCCCGTGTCTTGCCCGAGGCTATGACAGCGCAATGGCAGGTACTTGGTTCTGGAAGGAGTGTTTGGCGCTAGTAGGACAACTCATGAGCGCTATTGATAAGTGTCTGATTGGAGCTGACAACGCTTTGGCCAGTGCGGCGTTGAGCCTGCTGCCTGCTGGTACCATGAATCAAGAGTTCAACGTCTCCTGACACAGCTCACTTCGCTTTCTCCTTAGGGGCGGCCGTCTAGAACATAGGGACTGCGCATGAGACCGTGTTTGGTGTATTGCCCGCTATAGCTGAACCAGTGCGACCGTGAGAACGCTCAGCTTGTTGGTTCTCAGCCTTGGAACGTGCGAGTGTGCACAGATACTTACATCCCAAGCCCTCACATGTCCCATACAGATCGGGCGCAGCCGCATTAGGAGATCAACATTGCATTTATCCCTCAGTCTAAGTTATCTGGGTCACGAGATCCCAAGCCATGAAAGCGTTCTGGAGTCGTTGCGTTACGAGCAGCGGCTCAAAGTATGTCTCTGCCTCAGGCCCTCAGGCACTCAGGCCATAAGGCATGACCACCTCAACAAAAAGCCACTGGGTTCGAATAACTCCTCGAGCGCGCTCAACGTCGTCGAGGTGAGCAAGAAGGAAGGCAGAGGCTATAGGAACTGGACTCGGAGGGAGAACACGCGCTATAGAAACAGGCTCTTTGGAAACCTCCTGTTGTTTCCCGTTCTACCCACCCAAGCGTACCCCAGTCTCACCTGAGGCCCATGCTCGCAGTAATCGCATAGATATGTGGTTGGCAAAGTATGCTTCTAGTCTCCACAGAGACGGGTCATATTATCAGGACATGTGGTCTTCAACTGAAAGACCTTTCCGCTATGTCCAGCAAAGAGGTAGACGAGAGATTACATAATCTACGAGTGGCTTCTACGCCTCACAAGTGGCGGTAGAAAAAGGCATAGATGTTGATTAAAGTTGGGGCAATTACCAAACACGACCCCCCAATTGTGCCGAAAAGCCTAAACACGACCTCATCAAAATTCGTCTATAAAATATCAACCTTCTTGTATGTAAGATACTTTTAGTAAATTAAAATTGGCAGAAAATTAAGTTTCCAGCACCTTCAAGCAGCTTTAGTGTGCTTTCCCCCCGTGTCTTTCTGGGAGGACTATAAACCGCAGTGTCCTTGCCTTTGATCCCGTGCACGAAAAGTTTTGGCCTACAAATCGCCTTTGGCTTTTTCGAGATGATGCAGAGGTGTGTTACATTGGATGTGTGTCTCTTCTACAACGTTACGATTGGACGGACACCTCCCTCGCATATGCGATGTCTTAAAAATAGTCAAATTACGCACGTTAAGTTTCACAAAGAAGGCCAAGACCAAAATTTTCTGCGTGTGTTTTGTAATTGTAACACAATGCGGCCGCATATCAAACGCTTCTCCCCTGAAATTCTTGGGCACAAGACCCACCTTGCCTACTTCTTATTAACCTGCTGAAGCTCTTTCTATCTACAAATTCCAGATACCGGTGCCAACTCTTCACCATTCATGGTACTGTAGCCGAAACCTTCGGCCGAGCCACCAGGTGAACTCCTTTGCGTTCCGGATGATATTATTTTTCTGACCCCCATGAGGATTATTAGCTTCCATGCTTTTCGTATCGCCACAGGGCCTGCTAAGGAGAAGGCGTAAGTGGGTTGATTTGTTGATACTGTCACTTGCCTTTGTCCTTTTACTCGATGCATATCCCCTCATTTGTGTCGATCACACACAACGCGTTTCGCCGTCGATGTTTCACCCTCAACACAACGAACGAATATTCATAGCCAGCATGCACTGGAACAACGAAGCGATTCTAAGATCAAGGTGGAATCAAGCTGTCTTGGACTTGGTAACATACCTCGGTGCGGACAACGTTTTCGTTGCGGTGCTTGAAAGCGGGAGTTGGGATGGTAGCAAAGCTGCACTACAGGAGCTGGATGCGGAGTTGGAGCAGATGAGCGTACCCAGATCTTTTATTTTCGACGCCGTGACGCACAAGAATGCAACAGAACGGATCCCTGCTGTTGGCGAAGAAGGCTGGGTATGGACACCAAGGGGCAGAAAAGAGCTTCGTCGTATACCTTACCTGGCCAAACTAAGAAATCGTGTTATGGAGGAGATGATAAAAGCCTCGGGTGTAGATGAGAGGCCTTTTACCAAGGTTCTTTGGCTAAATGATGTTGTCTTCACGGTCTGTGCCCTCACCCCATTCACTCACCACAACTCCATCCCGTTCATATTCTGACCATACTTCATGGGAACACAGACATCAGACGCCCTCAATCTACTCTCCACTAATGGTGGTGACTATGCTGCAGCATGCAGTCTCGATTTCGCCGCGCCGCCAGCCTACTACGACACGTTCGCACTGAGGGACACCATGGGCCGCAAGACGCTCACGCAGACATGGCCGTACTTTTCTTCGTCGGCAACACGCAAAGAAATGGCGGCCGGCCGTAGTACGGTACGCGTGCAGTCGTGCTGGAACGGGATGGTGGCGATGGATGCAGCGCCTTTCACTGCCGCGGAGCAGCCACTCAATTTCAGAGGAATCCCGGACCAGCTCGCCGCGCAGCATCTCGAGGGCTCTGAGTGCTGCCTCATCCACGCCGACAATCCCCTCAGCGACTCCAAGGGGGTTTGGCTGAACACAAACGTGCGCACGGCATACGGCGCTAATGCTTACGACATTGTCAACTCTACACCACACCTAGTATGGCCTTCGCCAACGGATCGAATCATGGGAATGTGGCGTAATCGATTGGCAAAATTATTTGGCGGAGTTAAGGCTCCCATCGAGGACTGGGTAGTTCGGAAAAGAGTGCAAAGTTGGATGGCTGAGCAGCAAGCTGCAGGGATGCCGAATGAAGAAGCTGGGGTGCACTGTCTGATTAACGAGATGCAGGTTCTTATCGAAACCGGCTGGGAGCATGTTTGAATGTGGGAGTGGAGTTCTGCTACGTCATCACCACATACCATAGGCCTGGCCATCTTCTCCTCTTGGACCACCTGCAATGCTTCAAACTCGCGGGATTCTACATAGGACCTAAACAACCAACACCAAGATCACCGACCACATGTATGTCGATCCGCAAACGAAAGAGATGGCCATTGGCAGAGTCCAATTCTGTAAGCATTTACTCGGCACTGCGACTGGACCTCTTGATCTTTTTATCCGCTAACACTCAGTTAGACCAAACGAGATCACCACAGCCTAATCTACATGAAACTTTCTACCATCAACTTGCTATTATCGGCCAATATGTTCGGGGCTTTCTATATGGCGGAGAACTGCATCGGAGGATATTTTCGGCATCCTCTTCAACTGTTGTCTCCCAAACTCCATCCGAGCCCACTTATTACGCACTTACCAGCAATCCCTCAAGTAATTCCAAAAAACAATACAAACACTAAAGCCCTCACGAGCACCTACCACCAACAACCTCACCAGAAAATGGCCGCCGCCGCCGCCACAGCAGATCTCGGCGTCCACCTCGTCGGCAGCATCTGCGGCGCCGACTCCGCGCCCACCTCCTTCCGCAAATGCGCCGCCGCCTTCCCCCGCCGGCTGCGGCGGCTGCCCGACGGCGAGCCCGCGCACCGGCAGGGCTTCATCGCCTTCCAGCGCGACGTCATCTCCACCTACGCGCCGCACGTCCTGCGCAGCGACTGGGCCGACCTCTCGCCCGGCCCGGCCATCCCGCCCGCGGAGATCGAACGCACGCTCGCGCTGCTCCCCGCCGCCGGCATCGACACGGGCTACGACGCCGCGGCGCTGGAGTCGTACGCCGCCTTCGCCGCGCTGAAGGCCGAGGGCGTCGTTCCCAAGCCGACGCGCTTCCAGGTGTGCGTGCCGCCGGCGAGCGGCGTCATGCCGCTGCTGGCCGACGGCTACAAGGCCGCGCTCGAGCCGGTGTGGGAGAGTGCGTTGTTGCGCGCGCTCGAAAATGTGCAGCGGGGGATACCGGCGGCGGAGTTGGCGGTCCAGATCGACGTCGCGAGCGAGGTGGCGACGCTCGAGGGCGCGCACTATCCGCACGCTGCGCCGTACTACCCGGAGCCGCTGCTGGACTACATCGTGCAGCGGATCGTGACGCTGGTGGATGCGGTGCGGCCGGACGTCCAGGTTGGGCTGCATATTTGCTATGGCGATATCGGGCACGAGCACTTCGTGCAGCCGAAGGATACGGGGTTGATTGTGGAGCTGGCGACGGCGGTTTTTAGGGCGGCGAAGAGGCCGGTTACGTGGGTGCATTTGCCGGTGCCGAAGGATAGGGATGATGAGGCGTATTTTGCGCCGTTGAATGGTTTGGACTTGGGGGCCACGGAGCTTTATCTTGGACTGGTACATCCGAATGATGAGGAGGGCACGCAAAGAAGGTTGAAGACTGCTGCCCGGGTACTTGGTCACAGTAAGTTTGGCGTTGGTTCGGAGTGCGGCTTGGGAAGAACTCCGATCGAAGAGTTTGATTCTATCGCAAGGACAAGCACTCAGCTGTCTTCTCCAGTGGTGTAGATGATAGGTATATGCCAGTTTCCAATTATATCCAGCAATTTATGAAGGCTCTAATCAAGTTTGTTCTCTAAGTGCTACTTACAAATTACCAATATCCGACAGCGTAGGAAACGAATAGCAACAAAGCCAAAACCACTCAAACAAAAACAGCCATACCCTGAGCATTCTTCCCCACGCCCAGCCCCGTCAGTTCAAAATGCTGCACCATCCTCGGCCCAGCGCCGCCCTTCCCTCCCGAAACATCCAAAACCGTCACCGCAGCAGCGGTAGTCCCGTTGCCGGGCGACAGCGCATACACAAAGTTCCCGGCGGCCTTGAGATCGGTCAGCCCCGGGTCGCGATCCTCCGCCGACGACAAGTCCACCATGGAGATGACGCTCGCATCCTCCAGGCTCATCTCCACCAGGCGGTTCATCCCCGCATCCGCCACGAACGCGCTGCGCGTAGCTTCGGAGATCGTCGCCCAGCACGTCGCCTTCTGGCCGGCGATGGCGCCCCTCGCGGCGAGCGTCGCCACGCCGCTCGCCTCGTCGACGTCCAGCACGGCGGCGCCGAACGACGGGTCGGTGACGAAGACGCGTGAATTGCTGCCGCGGTCGACGGCCGAACCGAAGAGCACGGCCGTGCCCGAAGGCGAGCTGCGCGTGTCGTGCATCGCGAGCCTACTGCCGGCAAGGTTCTGCTCGACCGCGAAGACGGAGAAGAAGCCCGTCTTGTTGCTGGCCGGGTCGCCCTTGACGGTCGTGAACAGCTTGCTCTCGTCGTCGGAGAAGAAGACCTGCGAGACGGTGTTGGTCGGGCCGACGGGCGGCGTGGACTGGCCCAGGTCGAACGGACGGAGGGCGTCCATGTGGAGCCCGTCGCCGATCATCAGGCCGGTGGTGGGCGAGAAGGTGGTGCAGGTGATGCCGGCCCGGGCGCCCGTGGTGCCGACGCAGACGAGGTTGTGCTTGGGCGAGGCGGCGACGGTGTTGGGGAAGTCGCCGGGGACGGTGGCGGGGCGGCCGACGGGCGTGAGCTTGGTGGGGTCCGAGGGGGAGATGGAGAACATGCTGAGGGTGTTGGAGCCGGCGTTGACGGCGAAGAGGTTCTGAGGCGCGTACGTGTGTCAGCGGTGGGGTTGGGGGGATGAGAGGGACGAGGGAAGGGGGGCTTACGTTGCCGGCGATTGTCAAGGACGATTGGGCCACCAGTGCGTCTGGTGCGGCAGGCATGTTGTTTGCCCCGTTGATGGCATTGGATCCCGCACCACCGGTGACAGTGACGGTTCCTTCAGAGAGGGTGCCATCGGCAGCAATGGGAATCGAAACCACGGCGTTATTCGCGTCGTTGGTGAGAAAATATATTGCTCGTCCGGTTGCGCGGTATCTTTGTCCACTCGGTGCAGCTGTAGCAAGCGTGCTTGCAAACAGAAGAATGTTTCGGAAAAGGGTGTACATGGTGCCGATGGTCTGGATGTGGTTCGTAGATGAATGGCGAGAAACTGGCTTGTCTTTCGAATGTCCTTTGGGAGTGCGGCCTTCGAACCTTTTATACCGCCAAATCCTTCAGCTCAGCACCGCCAGAGCAGACGTTGCTACCACAGCCCGCTGTGTGGCGCTTCAGGTGCATATTCGATTATAGAAACGTTTTGTTCCATGAAGGATTGATTATTCGATCAGTGTTTCCGAATTCAGCGAGGCTTATACCCGGCCCCGGTTTTAGGTTTGATTGGCGTGCCGCTATTCCCAAAAAGGTAATATTTGATCAGTGATCGGGTAGGAGCCGCTAAGAAACGTGCTAAGCCTCAGGATTCAGCTATCCAACGTAATCACGGTCCTAGTCGCATCACATGACCGATGGGGCGGGTAAGCAGGACCCTGCGCCCCGCGCACTCTTCCAACACATTCCATCATCAATCTATCTCACGAGCTCCAGCCTTGACAATTCTCTCCAGGCCGCAACGGATTCTGGTACTCTTTTCTAAAACTTTACCGCCCTTGTGCACCGACTTGACGCACACCACAAGGAGCACCGGCCCCACGACGTCACTGACTAACCGCAATCTCTTCACCGACAGAGTTCCGCTGCGTTTCCAGCTCCGCAATGAAACTCAAATGGCTTCCAAACCTACGCAGTCCCAAAGGTTGGTGCTTTCACTCCAGGATCAGCTTCACTTCCCTGTTTGGGAAAAGGTTCCCACGTGATTTATCAGCTAAGACTAACCTCCTGGGCTAGAGTCTGAACAACCTCCTGAGCAAGCTCTGTCAAAGCGCCGGGAGCAAGTCCGTAGAGCCCAACGGTATGCCCGCAGTTGGATTCCCCTTAGCCTGCGTACTAACACGGATTTCAGAACCCATCGTGAGCGAAAAGAAGCTTACACAAAGGCGTTGGAGGCCGAGGTTCTTCAACTTCGAACCAACGAAGCAAATTTGATGCAAGAGACCCAAAGGCTTAATGCTGCCGTGAAAAGATTGAAAGCAACGCTGGACCTGAATGGAATTCAAGTGCCGTGGTCCGGGTCAGATGAGGTAACCTCTGATGCTTCAAGTCCCGAGGATGTGTCAACCAGATCTATCGTCACCATCGAGGACATTCGCACAGAGCGTAGAATTCGCGTGCGACAAGCGGCAGTCTTACCGCAAACGGCAGTTCCAACTCTCCCCAGCCAGAAGCCCAGGGTAAAGCAACAAGAGGCCAGCATTACGAGTGTTGCATGTGATCGTGGCTATCCGGATCCCTCTGGAAAAGCTTCAACCTGTATGAAGGACTCCGATCTATCGAGCCTCGGTGTTGACTTTGTACTAATGTGAGTGTTCAACCGCACCCTACTGATATCCACAACAGCTGATACGCCTGTCACTCAGTCTCGAAAGCCCTTGCTTGTCACATATGGAACACACTTTGAACGATTCGTCTGCACCTGCCGGTCACGCCCTTACAGCTTCTGCACCTTTGCTCTTCAGAGGCTCTTCCGGAACAACCGCACAGATCAATGGACCCCCGAGCTGGGAGGTACCCAACACGGGCCTGGATCGCCTTCTGGATCTTTCTTCGAACTTACCCTTAGCCGAGGAGATAACGCCGGTGCAGGCTTGGAATCACATCAGATGCCGTCCTGAATTTAACAGGCTTGAAGTGCAGCGACTTCAAGACTTGACGGGCAAATTACTGAAGCACGTCGAGTGTCATGGGTAAGTTCGACCCAGTCGCAATTTGCACGTGCTTGGGCTAAATTTATTGTAGTTTCGGCGCAGTGATCGAGCTCAGTACATTCGAGGGCTTAGCAAATGAAGCGATGCGCCATGCCGGATGAATGGAGGGCATGCTCAGAGATTGGGGGTATTGAGAAGCTGAGGTTTGTGAGGCGGTAGTATGTAAAGTCTCTCCATAAATCTAAGCATGCTTATGGCCCGCGATAAGGCTTTCGGCTGCCAGTTCAAATAACTCTTTTCATCCTTCCCCCTTTCCCCCGCCCCTACGTCATCCCGTGTTCCCCCTCCCCCTTAACATGCACCCCAAACCTCCTCCCCTCACCATCCTGATCTGCCGGATAATCGCCATCGTCACCATACCACCCCATCCGCAACCTGCACCCCTCCCACAACCCCGCATCCCTCCTCTCCTTGTCCGACCACCACTCAGCGCCCTCAGGCACGTATTTTCGCGAGCACACCTCACTGCCTGCCAGTAAGCTCGCCGTGCCGGCAATCGAGCACGGGTTGTGCGGCAGCACGTCGGCGCGGCCCCAGCCGACGAAGGCGAGGAGCAAGGCAATAGCTGCGAGCAAGAATAGCAACACTTCGAGCGCGATGGCCGGGCCGCGGTTCTGGCGGAGGCGCCAGCGGGTGCCGGGCGCGTGGGTGAACGTCCCCTGGAAGGTTGGAGGGGACGTTGATGATGTTGTTCCGTCAATGTCGTCATCGTATTCTTTGTCGCCGACGGTGTTGGTCGAGGAGTTGCTCGCGTTGCGCATGTTGTTCGAGATGGCCTGCGCCATGTACTCGGAGTAGAGCCTGCTGCCCGCTTTCATAAGCGCTCCCTGGTTTTCCTCGCCCAGCAGCGAGTCGATGGGGACGCCGGCTTTGCCGTCGACGAGCGTCTTCACGAAGCCGTCGAGGCCTGTGATTGACTGCTGGTGATAGCGGTTGACGAAATCGCGGTCCCTGCTGTCGGAATGCTGCAGCTGCGGCGTCGGGCTGAGATCGACCAGGCGGTTCAGCAAGTTGTTGGGCAGCCATTCCCAAACCTCGCTGCTGTTCGTAGCGGGATTCCTCAGGCGCCTCCGCGTCGTCTCGTCGGGCACCGGTGGGTATTTGGTGGAGTCGATGGACAAGTCTGCGGCCCGGATCAGGGTGACGTTGACGGTGACCTGCTCCAGATGTTGCGTGCACATGACGGCTGTCGCGCGGGTGTGCAGCGTGCTGTTGTTGCTCGACCGGCCCGGGGTTACCGCTGAGGATGCGACGGTGAAGCCGAAGGTCGGGCACCCGAAATCGCCGGCGGAGTGGTCTCGCATCCCAGAGAAGCCCGCATCGCTCTGACTTTCGAATCCGCCATTGCCGTAAACATCTACTTTTGGGCTAGCTTCCCATAGGAAGAACGTGGCTTTGCCGCTGTAGAAGCTTGATCGGTTGAAGGGGAATTGATATTGCTGACGCCAAAGCACCGTTGTTTGGTTGGTAGGGATGTGTACGCACCGGACTGAGACGTTAGTGTCGAGCGAGTAAGACGACCAGTCATATGACGGCGACCACTCGTCCACTTTGATCTCTTTTGTCGGTATGATGTACGGGGTGCAGTCCAACCTGGCTCGATAAGCTGGGGTGTTCAAATTGATCGTCCCGTCTCCACGTATTCCCACCGGCGTGTCCAATTTGTTAAAAACCAGGTCCCCGTACGTCCAGGCCGGATAGCTTAGATTGGTGTACTCTAAAATGCTTGTGATGGCTGCAGCGTTGCGATCATCAATGAACAAGCTGCTCTGGCTGAAGTCAAAGCTGTCCACTTGGCTAAGCGTCACTGTCTCGGAAACAGAAACACTGGTGACTGTATAGAGACCAGAGGTGATGGTGGTCAAAAAGCCAGCTGCAAAAAGCGCGATGCCACCGAGGACGTGGTGGAAATGAGCCTTTCGAGCAGAGACCAGGATGGCGTGAGGAAGTAGTTTGCCTACGATGTTGAACTCGATCGTCGACTGTGCGAGCGCATTGCCAGTTTTCAGACGGGAAAAAGGGGACATTATTGCCGATGCGCCCTCAATGCTGGAAAACACTGTAGAAAGGGAGAGCATTACCGTCGCCGCTAGATACCTTGGGACCACTTCTGCGTTCAGCGAGATGTCTATTATGCCTTGCTGAGTGTCGGAGATATGCTGCAAGACGATAAGAAATACTGCGATAGTGATTAACACCGTAGCTGTAAGAAGTAAGAACCACGACTTTGTAACGAAAGGTCTCCACCATTTGAATGGCTTCTCTTTATCTGAAGTCTGGGCGAGTCCATGTCTAAGCTCTTTTACTTCGAGGGTGAAGGCCCGGTTCGAAACTGTAGTCTGGAAATACTTGTCAGCGGTAGCGTCACGAATACAGCTCATCCTCGCTGCTCCCAAGCAGTCCATAAGCTTGGAGAAGCCGGGACTGGCTGCCAAGAGCGTTGCCATTGCAGCAAGTGGTGCTGGGTCGTGCGGAACAGCGGGTTGCGGCCTGAACCACCAAACTCCAAGTGCAATAAAGAAGAGCATTCCCAAAAAGGTTGACGAAAGAATGGCTGGTACCAGCTTGACTTGGAGCCGATTCTGACTGTATGAAATTGAGCCGGTAACAGAATCATTTGCCGGAACCATAAAGTATTGCTGAGCATACTGAACAGCAGTAGTTTGCCAGACATTGACGCTGATATTTTTCAACAGCTCTGCGTCCATGAATGGTGCTAGTCCTGACTCGTTGTTGGCGGCAGATAGAACTTGGAAGAAGTTTGGTACTGGATGGCTGAGAACGTAGTCTTCACCCCCATTTCCCATTGACATGTGCAGGAAAGTATTCATCAGGCCACCCAAAAACTCATTCGTAGATACATTCAGAAGCCGACTCGTGTTTTTGCGGGACATTGAAACTTCAGTCGAGACTTTAGAAGTGTCCGGGTCGATGTACTTCCTCGCCGTGTAAGTGTTCAGGAGGTACGACGGTCGGCAGAGCATTGCCGTGACGGCTTCGATCCGGTAAGACTCTAGGTATGGTGTGTTTTTGTATATGGTATTATTAGTAGGCGGCCAACGCACATCAGCCATAGTTATCAGTATCCTTTGCTCAGCATACTGGTTTGAAGCTGTGTGATTGGAACGAAGCCAATCCGGTGCAATTTGGAAGTCTGGGTCGTTGCAGGTGTAATTCTGGATGTTGCCTTGATAGTTCTGCGTAGCGTTTTCCCGATACATAAAGTCGTGATCCGCAGTCTGCGCAATGATCGCGTTGTTGATTTTGCAACTTGGTGTTGTGATGTTGGCAATAAAAACATTTCCCATGATGCTTATCCACGGAGCATGATAGCGTTTGACGCTGCTTCTGTCTATATTGAGGATATCGCAATCCAGTCTGGGGTTGAAGCCGGTGACATCTGTCGAGTAGACGCCGGGTGCAGGGGCAAAGCTCTGAGGATCGAAATCCTGAACGACGAAGTCTGGTCCCGTACCGAGAGGGTACTCGAGACCCTTGGTGGCAACTGCATAAGATATGGGACCAACAATTGTCGCACCTGACATGTTTGTAGCGTCAAATGTACTCGTGTCGAATTTAGATGACAGGCGAAATCCTGCGTTCTCCATGACGACTTGCGTTGGTTCCAAGACTATAAGACCAGTGGAGAAAGCTATCTGCGAAGAATTAGCCTCTTTTCTTTCCTCAGTCATGTAAAGAGGGTGGACTACCGTCAATTTCAGAAGTGCAACGGCGAAAGAAGAAGCGAGGATTACCCAATGTCTTCTTCGAAAAGCGCCCAACATAATTTCCGGATAGGTCGGTGATATGTAGTCGAGCAGTATGCTCTTTTCAGCTGCTGATGGGCCATTTCGTAGCTCCGTCCACGGCGTCAACTGTCTTGAAGCAAAGTTGACTCGACTCCAAAGGCTCATGGTAATGGTGAGGCCTAAGTCATATGTTAGAAGAACAAAGGCTTACTTAACAAGAAAAATACAAGCATACATGCAGTTGGCCCGAAGGTCCACAGATAGTGTCGTGATTCTATTTGAAAAGCCAGGCCATTATTTATCTCCGAAAAGTAATACAGCAGTCCCACGGCAATTGCCATAAGCGCAAAGGCCACGGAGAAGCCGATTATCACGCCTCCATGGAGCCACAGTGGGTTCCACATACCAGCCGATAGGCCAGTGTTCTCAGAGGCACAATCATCGGAGCACGGTAACAAATCGGAACTGTGCGAAGTGTCGTTTTGCGAAGGAAAGGGTGTTTGGTGCGTTCCGTTGTGAAGTAGCGGGTGTCTTTGATGTTCTGACTCGAGGCTGGGCCGCCCCTCTGCGTCTTGCACTTTGATTTTATTAGCTGCTCTTCATTCTACTAGTGGAAGATACGAATTTACAAGAGCGATGGATACAGGGTTCCATGACTGCGGTATTTTTTGTTGATGTGACAAGTATACCTGGGGAAAGTCGGAAGTGAGACACCAACCCACCGCAGCCTCGAGAAAAAGAGTCGAATAAATATCACGATCAAGAGATGGGGGCGATGCACTCCTACCATATCAGGAGTGGCAAGCTATTTTCAGTATATCGGGCACCGCATTGGTGTTACCAGGGCTGCGCCCCACTGCTTCAAGGCTGCACTGGCGCTACAGTCGCGGCAAGTATTGGTTCATGCGTGGGCTTGTACAACCCACGATGGGGCCAGTATTTTTTTCGCCTCGCCAGTATCCAGAAAACTGAAGGTAGTAGAGCATGATTTACAACATATCATCTATTCCGGGCAGCCGTGATCCACGTTTTGGGATGTCGTTGACTTTAAGACTTCCAACACCATCGTGCACGCATGACAACAGCTATTAAACCAGCCATGCACAAGCCGCACACGCACTTGCATTCACTCAAATCCAAATTCAGTTTTTTCACTTTTTCATGGAGACCCGATTTATCCTGATATTGATGATTTCAAATTGATTATCTACAAGTGCCCGCTCGTCAAAGTCCACTCTGCACTTGCACGCCATGAAACTGCACCACTCGATGCTCGTTGCAATCATATGTCGCAACGCTCATGAAGACTACCCACAATGACGGTTGCGCAATACTCGTCTCCATGTGATCCTCATATATTTGTAAGTATTCGTGACCCTACTCGACAAAGCGGAAGATTGCATCCTCAGTCTGATTCTCAAAAATGAGCTCCCTCAGATCGCAACCCAGGACCCACGTGTCATCAACATCTGGCTCGGGTAGACGATTCCGGCAGCCTTCGTGCCAAATGTGAAGGTGTTTCTCTTTCAGGTCGCCCTCCAGGTCACCCCAACGCCACCAGGTGGCTTCAATGAAACCATCATTGAGATAGGCCTTCCAAGATTCACCCGCGACGTCGTCCTTGGTCAGCCGCTGCTCGTGGCGGAAGATGCGGCTGATGGAAAAGTCATGCACGACCTCAACAGCGCCGTCGGCAGGAATGGTGAGTAGATGCGTGAACGGACGCACCTTGAGGTCGTCAGGGTAATCTTCGTACCCTTTGATGTGGGAAATGAATCTGCCTAGGGAAATGTGCCGCTTGTTGGGCGTGGTGGAGACGAGACTGGTGCCGCCGCGGGAGAGGGTGTCGTATTCGTCTGACGGGTGTGAAGGTTGGAAGACGGTGCCGTCGGTACGGATAGTTATGGGTCTTCCTGGCTGAGTTGTCTGAGCGATCCGCAGCGAGATGCGGAGCTGAAATGGGTGCTCTGGGTCTGGAGGAGCGTTGATGGAGACGGCGGGGTGCGAGAGTGATGCCGAAACGGCGATCACGGCCTTGCGCCGCTCTGGAGGGCAGATGCGCTTGAGGAGGACCATGATTGTGGAAAATGTAGAAGAGGGTTACGGCGGTAGCTGAGAGTTGTGGGACAACAGACCCGATCGTGTGGGAGTTTGGGGGGAAGTGCGCATATTTAAAAGGAAGGATAGGCTAGCCCGACCGGTAGAATGACATCAGTGGCCCCTCATGTGCGGAAATCGCTACCGAAAGTGCCTTTTGTCCGTCGGTCTGTATGGGTGCCTAATCAGACATCACTGCGCGATTTTTGCACTTCCACTGCTTTTCTACCGGCAATATCCTGCTGACGCATAACAGCTAGATTTGTATCATAATTTGCAGAGGCAAAAGCGCTTAAATATAGTCTTTGAAGTTGCTTCTGCATTTCGAGTCTTCGCGTAACCGATCACAGCTAAATATTGCTGGTGTCTTGATGGTTGGTGTGTAGGAATATTCAGTGCAACGTCACCGATTCACTGCCCGCAAGCCTCATCCGCTTACCATTTGTCGATTTATATTCCTCGGCGGCTGTCGTCTTTTTGTCCTTGTCATTGCTACTCTCTTCCAGCTTAGCGGTCAGATCCAGTAGCCACTGGCCGGAGACTCGAGTCATGTTGAAGGCATACTGCAAGGGAATGTCCCCGTTGCTGGGCAATGTTGTTGAATCGTCCGGGTAGGCAAAGCTGAGTTGGTTGATAACTCCGAAGCCCGGAACCTACTTCTCTAGCTCCAGCATGAGGAGACTGAGTTGCAAATGGTTTCTGTGTATGGTTCCCTTGTGAGATTCCTCTGATGTAGCCACCCCAACCGGCATTAGGACGAGATCTTCGGACTCTTGAGAGACAACGCGGATTCTGATTAGGATGTCGCTCCAGCGGTACAGAAATGATGAAAAGAGCACACAATCAACATCTGGTCCGTTGGAGATTTCTATTTTCCCTCGGCCTTCTCGCTCTGCATCATCGTCGCGACCAGCGAACTATGGCACGTCCACCGCCTACTGCAACAACTACTCGACTTCCGCAACCCCGAGCAGAAGAGCCGGTTCCAAGCCGAATCGTAGCAGGTCGACGAACGCCTTACCACGTGGCGCGCGAAGTTCGTCGCCGCCGTGTATCGCCTGATCAACACAGAGCACGCGCAGGAAGGACGCGCAGAGATGGATCCGAACATCGTGCTAACGAACTGCATCCTCGATAAGTCAGTGTGAATCATATCCTACTACCGCGTCTCCTCCGTACTCTTCTCTAACCTCCCATTTCTTTCCACAAAGCGCCGTCATCACCCTCTTCCAAAAGCTATCCCCTTGCCCCACTGGCATCGATCCCACATGCGACCCCTGGACATACGCCACCAATCGCTACGTCTACGCCGCCGTAGAATCTCACAGTTTTGATACACGCGCTGGAGGTTGGTAGCAAAGCGTTACGCAACGCTGGTGCAGACGGTGAAGGCGGAGCACCAGATGCTTATTTTCATGTAAAGCTTGCCAGCGCAGTTTTTTGACTTGCAATTCTCTGTGCTGGATATACATGATGCTCTGTTGGTGGCGGCGGAGGGGATCGATGCGGGATTGGGGATGGGAATTGGGATTGGTGGGAGATGGGATTTGGTAGCAGGTACCGTGTAGCAGCGAGTAAATGGCCGTATGGAGATGGAGATTGGACGGTCTCCTTTTCTTTCGATTAAGGGATGGCTGTAGCTGAGGCTTATAAGTTATTTGTAAGTGCCAACGTGTGCTTCGTGAGGTCTATTTCAATAGGCAATAGTGTAGAAATGAACGTCAAAAATGCGCGTTGGAAAGTACCAGGAGTATCCTACCCGGCGTTTCCCCGCACCCGCGTGGAGTAACGGGCCATGTCTGTCCACGGGCCATCCCAGCAACCTAAATAGAAATCGTGTTGCAGATCAGACTCCATCGAAGAGATGGTCTGTCAGACAACGCCCGCTTCACCCTGAGTGGGCGATCGCGGCAAAAGGAGAGGCTAGGGTCTACAGCTAGTATTGACATTGGGCAAAGTAAACCGCATTGCGTCCAGTTTGCGGGATGTGTATATAAACGGCCCCATAAAATGAAGCAACAACTACCCACTGGAATGCTCCATTAATTGCTCACTGGAAGTACTTTTGAAAAAAGTCTTCTGCAAGCCGCAACAGCCCATATCCTGCCCCCAAAATGCCCAGCCATGTCCGCAACAACCGCTTCAGCGTCTCCCCACGACTACTCCCTCCACCACTTCCAAACTTCCTTCTCCTCCATCCATTCCAAGACCACTCCCATCAGCGATTCCAAGTTTCCCTCCCCCCGCACCATCGCGCAAACCTGGCTCGACGCCTTCAACTCCGCCCTCAACCATGTTGGCAGCACCGCCACAGCTGTCAACGGCAACACAGCACATGCCGAACCCCACCCGCACCACACCCTCTCTTCGCTCTTCCACCTCGAAGCCTGGTGGCGCGATCACCTCGCGCTCTCACTCCAGGCCAAGCAGGGCTCAATATCGCAGCCCGTCTTCAACACCTGGGTCTGTCCTGCCTCATCATTGAGAAAAACGCCCGTGTCGGCGACACCTGGCGCTGCCGGTACCGCCCGCTCGTCACGCACGACCCCGTACAATACACGCACATGTACGGCCTGCCCTTCCCCGAAAGCTGGCCCCCTCTTCACGCCAAACGACAAGCTGGCAGACTGGTTCGAAGCCTACGCCAGCATCATGGAGCTGAAACGTCTGGACGTCGACGACGTTAGTAGCGGAAAAGCCGACGACGATAGCACACATCAGGCAGCAAAGCGCCGCACCCTCCACACCCCAAACACGTCGTCTTCTGCACACCGGCCAACGCCGGCGAGCCGCAGATCCCGCGATTTTTCCCCGGCGCAGGACGGCTTCCGGCGGCGTCATAGCTACCACGCCAGCCAGCCAGCACCGTGACGACACCTAATTCGAGGGGGGTTCAACACAGCGCGCCGTCCCAACCAACCACCCCGCGACGGGGCCGACGACGGCAAAAGAGAAGGGCTGAACAGCACCACCACCACCACCACCACCACCACCACCACCACCACCACCCCAACCCCTCCCTCGCAACCAAACACAATCCTCTCATCGTCGGCACCACCGGGCAACTCCGGCCACGACATCGCGCAGAACTACCACGAAGCCGGCGCGCGCTGCTCCGTCACGCTCCCTCCAGCGCTCAGGCACCTACGTCCTGCAGGCCTCCACAGGACTATGTACCCATGCTGCACGCCGGACCTCTACGACCAACGCGGCCCGCCAACCGCCGATCGCCGCCGCCGACTTCTGCGGGCAGAGCCTACCCACCCCGGTGCAGTTCGCGCTGAAACGTCGGGCTGACGGCGCGGATAGCGGAGCGCGAGAGGGACAACATCGAGGGGTTGGAGCAGATGGGTTTCGCAGTCGATTTTGGCGAGGAACGGGAGTGGGATTTATCGGAAGTATGTGACGAGGGGCGGGGGGTATTATGTTGATGTGGGTGCGTCGTGGTTGGTTGTTGAGGGGAAGGTGAAGGTGGTGAGGTGTGCGGAGGGGATTATGGGGTTGGAGAAGGAGGCGGTGGTGTTGGCGGATGTGGTGGTTTTGGCGACGGGGTATGGTAACATGCGGACGTCGCTAAGGAAGGTGATGGGAGATTGGGTGGCGGATGGAGCGAAGGATGTGTGGGATTTGGATGGGGAGGGTGAGGTGAATGCGGTAAGTGGGGTCGAGGAGGGCATGGAGCCTAGTGTGGTTGTTGGCTGACTTTTTTGTTCCAGATGTGGCGTCCGAGCGGTCATCCCAAGTTGTGGTTCATGGGTGGCAGTCTGGCTTTGTGTCGGCTGTACTCACGATTCGTCGCCCTTCAGACCAAGGCGATTGAGGAAGGGCTTTGCATTCCAACCTCGACATAATACAGAACCTTTTGTTACGCATCGGCAGTGATTGGCATTGGTGAGAATGGCGGGACTGTTCGTGGCGGAAATGTCCAAATTTGTATAAGATAGCAGAAAAAAAAATACTCGCGAGTAAAGCCAGGCCACCTACTTCAAACCAGAATCACTTCCTGCAAATTATCCTTAAACCAGTCCTCCCCTTTCATCAATCCGTGAACAAATGCTGGACCAACAACAATATATCCAGGTGACCCACTTTCAGCCTTCCGGAGTATCATAGGTACCGGTAGGCCTAGAACGAGCGCAACTAGATCTCCTTCAATCATCGTGTCTGGACCTGAGCCCAAATAGCCGTTTGATGTGATGAACAAGTTCCGCCTTGCTGTTATCAGGCTTTTACAGCACTGTTTGAAGTAATCTTGAGCCATTTGGTTGGTTTCAATTGAGGCGAGAGCATTGTCAATGACCTCTGGATTGTCAAATTGCGACGATTCGTAAGCCCCGACGAGTCGCATCATGGCGCGGTACCATTCGTTAAAGGCTTCACTAGCCGACCCCTTCTGCCGTACTCTACCTTCAAGCACGGGGAACACAGCATCCGATATCGACTCGTACGCCGGTGTGGAGGGTGTCTGAATCCGCAAGGAGGAGAACCAGTGCAGGAATTTTGCAAGAGGATAATGGAGCTCTTGCGAGCCCATGCTGGCTTTTTCTGGACTGAGGGAGCAGCCCAACGGCCCAGAACAGGAAGATACTTCCCCGTGCCATTGGATCAATACCCTCAAATGTGGCCCTTCTGCCGGTGCTCTGACATGTGATGTAGTCAATGTCGCGCTGTGACAATTCTCGCCAGTGTAATAGCTTGGGTCAAGCCACCTCGGGGGAACCTCATGAAGAGACGGAACCCACGTCGGCATCTGCTCAGATTGTCGTCCAGTATCGGCCCTTACGTCCATCAAAAGACGTAGAAAGTCACCACGCCATGCCAGAAGGTCGGAATATAATTCTTGATAGACTTCTCCTGGAGTCTTCTCGTAATCGGAGGTAGATAGGGATACTCCAAAACTCTCTAGCACGCCATACATGCCGTATGACCTGTCTTTAGGATCGGACGCGGTAAGATGACGCACAGCTTGAATTATTTGATTGAGTGCGGATACTGGCTCGGTGGAGCACTCCTTGCCCCTTCTTCTCTTACTAACACTGGCGAGTTTGGAGGGGCGTGGCCACTGTGAGAGCGTAGTCCCATCAAAAATGTGGCCGACCGAATGCAGGAGGAGGCAGACTATGGGCAAGTCTATTAGATGGATGTACCGTTGACTTCCTTCAGCCATGATCATGACAAGAATAATCGAAACGGTGAGTGCTGATAAAGTGAATATTAAGAGAATTCGGTGGAAGTTGAAGAGTGTGACAAGATCCATACTAGGGGTAGAAGTCCAGGTCGAGAACAGGGAATCGCTCTGTGGAGAGAATCGAAGGAGGGTGCTTCGGATGTAGGACGGTGGATACCGTTTTTGTTGGCCATTCCATATATCAGGTCTTTCACATCCAATCCAAAGATCGAAAAGCCTACACCAATCGTGGAAATACTGGGGCAAGGACTTTACCATCGTGAACGACTGGTTGTGCTCAAGGTCCTTTGTGTATTTCAGACCGCGCAGAAAGTCATTCCTGTGGAGAGCCTTGTCTCCGCACAGGACGACGGCGTCCCATGCAAGAAGGAACTCCTGCAGAGTCCAAACTCGCTGAGACCATGGCCGGCCACGGGATTCTAACAGGTCTTCCAAACACGTCATATCAAACGTGCCGGATATTTCCGTGTCTAGTGCAGGGCTACGGCGGATGCAAATCGAAGTAAGCAATCCTGTTGAAAGTTTAGCTATTGTGTTTTTTGCCACTGTGGGGGATATTCGCATTGATCTCTTACCTCTCCCTAAGCACATCAAGCTCCGCAAGCAAATGCGTCGCAAGTGCTGCACTCTCCCAGCTATACGGTTCCGCAGACTGTCGGCGGGGTGTAGCAGATATTCCATGGCATCAAGATCTAATTCGTAGGCCGAGACCTTTGAAAGGTAGTCCATTGCCTTGTCCGACCGCGCGTTTCCCTCGCCAAGCCAGACATAGACCGGGGATGCCCACGCATATATCTCTTGCATCAACGGTATTTGATTGCCCTTCTCCTGCTGGTCTTCTTGGTTGATGCATATGGAATCGACCCAAATTGTTATGGAGCCATGCCGCCGGCGAAGATGTGTCAACGCGCTGTGGCAATTTGCGGTCAGCTGAAGGCTGGAAACAGCACCGCATTCGGAGCCGCTTCTAAGGACTATGGTGTTCTCTGCTGATGAAATCTCCCCCCAAGCATAAGAAAGGGCAGTAAACTTTGGGCTTTCCGCTAACGAGACGACTCGTAAGGTTCCGGATAGCGGGTCCTCGTTTTGATCACTGGTACAGGAATCCTGACGAGAAGTTTGCTCAGCCGGAGGTACTGGGTCCAGATCTAGGACTCGGATCGAACGGGGTTGGGCCGAGATCGGAAGGTTAGAGTAGAGCTGGGATGGGGTAAGTTGTTTCTGAGTGGGCATTTCCAGGATAACATCAGAAAGCTCGGTGGTAGGCGGCATTGGAAACCTTGGCTCTGGAAAGCAGTTGAGATGTTGAAGAGATTGTGAGAAAGAGAGGAATTGTAGGTAAGTTTAGATTGTGGTTGGGAAAGATTGGACAGTATTGTGGCTGCTGCTAAATACTGAAATCACTACGGCGTTGTACCTTTTTTTAGTTCAGCTATAAACATAAATAGGGTAGATAGTTGTCTGCCTACTTAGGCGCGCGCGAATCGATTGATGCTCCACAATCAATGTGGCGCAGTGTCTGCATTTAGTATGCGGCGCGGTTCCTGTAAATAGTATGCGGCACAGTGCCTGTAATGGGTCCCGCGCGTAAATTTTGCGATTGCGATAGGACGGACGAGTCTCTACCCAACAATAATATTTGAGAACACGGTCCTATGTGCAACCAAATATAAACCTATTGCGTCTATGTCTAGGACTCTCACTTGTCTGGTGGGCCCTGAGGCAGTTCGTCGGTGGTTGCTAGTCCTGCCGCTTAAGCGGCCAAAATTGGCCACGTATAAACATCGGGTACTTTTAGCCTCTTATTATGTCACGTATGAGGAGCGGGCTACATGAAATGTACAACGTGATTCTGTGTGGGGGAAGGGCAGAGATTTCGCCGTAAAATACGTGCAAAACGCGTTACTGTACACGTCGATGGCCCACTTGGTGTGGCGCTAACAACAACACCCCTGCAATCGTATTGAGAAGGCCCGGGGTTCGGGGAACCAATTGATTTTGCTGTTGAACCGCTCAGATCTTCAACACGTCGATCAACACAAGGGATCAAGATCCTGCTCGCCGATCTCGACTCGTGTTTCTTCAGCTGCAGAGCGTAGTGTTCTTTCCCTACCCACATGGCGGCAAACTTATCGCAACCAACTCGGCGTAAATTTGTCATGATGCATTCGAGCATACCTGCCACTGGTGAGAAAACCTGCCGTCGCTGCACAGCTTCCCCACAGCGGACTTCCCACCCCCGCGCCAATCCCACTGCGCAAGGCATCAATGGCGGCATTGCAGACGCATGCAGTGCGCTTAGGAGCATGAAGTCAACTTGTTCTTCTGGTTCTTCTCAGATGTTGAAGTTGAGCTTTCCCGCACTTCGTGCCGCTCTCGGCCCGTCCCGCGGCTTGTCTGGGATCCCGATCTCGGCGGTGTGATGAGATCCTTGTCACTGGAGACCCCGCGATGATGAAGCAAATTGGAGTCCGTGCAAAAGCCACTAAGACAAAGAGGCAAGGCTTTTAGGTGCCGGAGCATGTTCCGGATAACAGGTGGAAGCACAGTTGCCACCACTAACCTCCCGATGAACACTAAAGTGATAGGCGATGCTCATCGACTGGTTAGAGCAGACTTCTGCCGGTCGTAAATCTCTCCACATGGCGTGTAGAGGCCGTCTTCTGAATCAATGCCACGTCGGATGGATTGCACGCCCGCACGCCCCGCAAGCTGAAGAAAAGCTTGGACACTTCTCCATCGTAGCTGAATCCCCACACAAGTGGGTCAGATCAGTGGCCAGCTGAATTGAAGCACTACAACTGTGATCTTTCTACACCGTGAAAGTATGCACGCGACTTTACATTGGCCGCCACCACGTCTATGCTGCCCACTCCTGACAAATTTTCCTGACGATCAATGGACATCGTTCGGATGTTTCAGTGACAGAGTATTAGACTAGATTTTAGGTCTGAGTGAAGAGCTATATAAGAAGAGTCGTCTACATGATGCAAAGTCTCTATCTCCATCACAGACGCCATGGCGGACCAGAACAGCACACACAACGCCATCAGTGCGTACTTCATTGGTCCCAAGGCCGAAAACCTTGACAACTTCCGCGGGAATGTGAAGATCATCCTTGATGAGTTGGAGCATGCCAGGAAGAGATATGCGGCGAACAATGAAGACCCGGTAAGACTTTGCTCGCCCCGACTGGCCATACAATGCAGCTGATTGTTGGAAGGACTTCATTTCGGACCAGGCGAAGGAGTCGCCTGAGTATGCGTATGTGTCGGCAAAATTCCAGAAGGCGGTGCGTAACACGGCCAAGCTGCTGGGAAAGCACTCGGTGCCGTTCTGGTCACCCCGCTACCAAGCCCACATGTGCACGGACATGACGATGCCTGCATTGCTCGGGTATTTCATGACGATGATTTACAACCCGAATAATGTCGCACTTGAAGCAAGCCCTATCAGCACCATTGCAGAGGTGGAGGTGGGCGAGCAGCTGTGCGAGCTGTTCGGGTACAACAACGATCCCAACAAACGCGAGCCGGTTGGCTGGGGACACATTACCTGCGATGGCACTGTAGCCAATCTCGAGTCTATCTGGGTTGGTAAGTTCTGATCCGCATCCTACCCATCGCATTCACGATGATGGACTGTTTTATAGACAAACATACTGACCATGAACAGCACGGAACCTCAAGTTCTACCCGTTCTCACTGAAGTGGGCCATGGAGGAGAATGGACCTCTGAGCTTCATCCCTGAAGACTTCAGCGTCCGTACGTGTCAAAACGTACTCAAACCGTTCAGGGCGCTCGACAACTGGGAGCTGCTCAACCTGCGTCCCAAAACCATCCTCGACATCCCCGAGCAGCTGCGCACCCGCTACAAAATCTCCCCGACCTTCCTCCAAAAGGCTCTCGACGAGTACAACATCCAAACCTGCGGCAAGCACGAGCTGCAGAAGCACTTCAACATCGACCAAGCCCCGACCATCATGGTCTCATCCACACGCCACTACTCCTGGCCCAAAGGCGGAGGTCCGTCCCCACACCATCTCCCCCATTCCCCCTTCCCCCCATGCTAACCCCAGCGTAGCCATCGCCGGCATCGGCTCCGGCAACATCATTGGCATCAAAGTCGACAACGCGGCGCGCGTCGACCTGACGGACCTCGAGGCGAAGCTGAACGAGCACCTGCGCGACTCCCGCGCCGTGTACGCCGTCGTGGCCGTCATCGGGTCGACCGAAGAAGGCGCCGTCGACCCGCTGCAGAAGATCCTCGAGCTGCGGCAGAAATTCCAGGCGAAGGGCCTGTCGTTCCTCGTGCATGCTGACGCGGCGTGGGGAGGGTATTTTACGACGATGTTGCGGAAGGCGAAGAGGGAGTTTATGCCTGCGGGGTTGAAGAAGAAGGAGAAGGCTGCCAGTAGCGATGGTACTTCTGAGAGGTTTGCTCGCCTGGCTGTCGCGGAGGAGGAGGACGATGATGAAGGGTCTGATGGTGGCTCAGACGCGGATGCGGCGTCGGATATCTCGGTTGTGCATCCGGGTCGTGAGCCTGGGTCTGACGGGTTTGTGCCGGGGTTGAGTTTGCGCGTTGAGACGCAGAGAGATCTCGCGGCGCTGCGATATTGCGATTCAGTTACTGTTGATCCGCATAAGGCCGGGTATATTCCGTATCCGGCGGGCGCCCTTGCGTATCGCGATGGACGCTCGAGGCACCTGGTTACGTGGACCAGCCCATACTTGTCGAGGGGTTCGGTGACGAGTATTGGTATTTATGGCGTTGAGGGGAGGTATGTTGACTGAGGTGGCTCAGCATGGCTGTGGCTCTGAGCTGACAAACTGTGCAGTAAGCCTGGCGCGTCTGCTGTCTCGACTTGGCTCTCGAACAAATGCATCGGACTCCACGAAAAGGGCTACGGTGCTCTGATGAGTGAAGTTTGCTTCACTTCGTCAATGGTAAGTATCTCATCACCGAGGGCGTGGTATAGGTAAACCTAACGGATTTGGCAGTTCTCGGCTCTGTGGGCTGCAATGACTCCCGATAAGGAGCATGGCTTCATGTGTATCCCTTTCAACATGCTCCCCTCGGAATCCGCCGGTGGAAGCGGCGTGGACGCCGAGAAGAAGAGAATCCGCAGCGAAATCCTGGAAAAGGAAAACACAGAGATCGTGAAGGACGAGTCGGCAATGAAGCTCCTGCGCTCGCTCGGATCCGACCTGAACATCAACGCCTTCGCCTTGAACTGGTACGATGAGAAGGGCAACCCTAATGAAGACGTTGAAGAGGCGAACTACCTTATGGAGCGTGTCGTGAAGAGGCTCTCTATCGAAACTCCGGACGATAAGCCTACGAAGATACCCTTCTACCTCACCTCCACCGAGTTCGAGCACGAGCTTTACGGTGACTGCGCTGCTAACTACAAGCGCCGACTTGGGTTGGACGCCTCGACCCAGCAGCCAGTAATGGTGCTGAGGAACGTTGTTATGAGTCCGTTCCCAACTACCCGAGGATTCCTCAAGACCGTCGAGAAGACCTTCATCGACGTCGTGAAGGAGGAAGTCGAGGTAAGGAAACCCGACCACAGCGCCATCACCCTCTCTCAAAAACAAATCTAACACGAAAGGCCAGGTCTGCCGCAAGCGCAACAACGACGCGCCGGACTACCACAGCTTCCTCATCCACGGCGACAAGCGCATCTACCTCTCCTACCGCACCATGTTCCACATCGGCAGCCACCGCCGCCAGCTCATCGTCGCCGCCGAGCTGGACGAGCACGGCCTGCAGGTCTACCGCGACTGCAAGACGGCGACCGAAGACCCGCTCATCCTCAAGACGGCCACCAAGATCGACCTGACCCGCGTCGTTGCCAACCGTGGCTCCTTCACCGCAAACCTCACCACCGCATCCCAGTACGTCTCATTCCCCTCTCCCACCCCCCACCCCCCCAGCTTTCCCCAAATCCATCAGACTAACACTCCCCCTCCCCCCAACAGCGGCATCCTCCACCCCGACATCACCGTCCGCATCACCGCCGTCCTCATCAACCGCTCCCTCGACTCCGCGTCCCGCGACGATGCCTATCCCTCCGGCCTCATGCCGTTCTACCTCTACGGCACGCCCGACGAGCTGCACGTCGACCACATGCTCGTGCGGCACGACGACAAGGGCCACAACATCGCGCTGAGCGCCGGCAACATCACTCTCGACGGCGTCGATCCCGAAGCTTTGCGTAACGAACTGCGTGACGGCGAACGCGCCGTCGTAGCGACGTTCGTCGGCACGCACGAGGCGGCGATGCAGCCGTTCCCGGATACCGACGCGGAGGTGCGGGATGACCCGAGCTTCTTCTTCCGGGAGGGGGCGCGGTTTGAGCGGGTGGAGTTGTGGCGGGATCCGTACGGGCCGGAGGTGAGGACGCGGGGGTTGTTGAGGGAGTTGGGGAGGAATGAGGGGTTAAGGTTTGCGGCGGGGGCGACGGTGACGCTGGCGGCGGAGGATGTGGTGGCGGATGTGGAGAAGTTGAATCGCGATCCGTGGGCGACGCCGAAGAGTGTGAAGGTGACGAAGTGGCGCGAGAAATTTTCGAGGATTGGGAGGGATAAGAAGAGGTAGATTTGTCGCTGATCATCCTTGTTGAAAGCATGATTTGGAATAAGGAGTTTCATACCGTTTGAACCTTTCTGTCATTACTCATAATCAATTGGTATGGGGGGTGCTCTCTCGTATTACTACCGTCGTAACTGTGAAGAAACCTTAAGATGGAACATGGTGACTGGGACGGTGAGGATCCTGATAAGCTGGACGGGATTCAAGCACACGCAATTATGCAAATAGAATTAAAGCCTGACATTTCCGAGACACGGGTGTCTTTGCCTAATGCTACCTTTCTACAGAGGCGAGAGGTTGTAAATTTGATTATAGGTGTAAGAAGTCAATGAATCTATTCAACAGCTTAACATCGAAGATTTTGAGATGGGACTGTATATCGGCTTATAGTTAATGGTAGTGAAAAGTCACGTACTCTGCACTGTGTGAAACACTACCGTCTGAAATTATGAAAACAAAAACCTCTAAATTGATGAAAGACTGGATGCCTAATCCATTGGAACAGTTCATTCACTTTGCCATCCCTTATGACACCCATCTACGCTCCTATCATACCGTTAATTCAGCTCAGTGCCTTGATTGCAGTCACTGCTAGTGCTGTTGTGAGGCCCCGATTGCCCAGTTTCATCTGCGTTTTGCCGTACTGGCATAGCCACCCAATTTCAAACGATCCGTCTTCTTGCTGCTTCTTCATCAGCTGCTGCAAGTCCAACTCGTCTCGTATGCCCATGTAGTGGCATGCCAGCACCCGCATTGCCAGCCCAAGAGAGTCTGCTGGTGTGTTGATACGCTCATTGAGCCGTTCGCGTAGCAATGCTGATGTGTTGCGGAACATATCCGATTCCGGATTTTCGTTGAGTAACCGCGCAAAAAAGTAGAGATACGTGTCGGGTTGATGGTAGTACCGAGTTCCCTGTAGATATCCTCGGAAAAACAAAACATCCTGGATCCAGTCTTTGGTTGCCTGAAGGGCAGGCTCATCCCCACGTCCGTATGCATAAAACAGCCGTACTACGTTAATGCATACAGTGGGATCTGTTCGCACTCGCATGTTGTCGAAATATACCTGCTCATCTCAGCGTCCTGATCCGCTCCGTTCTGCTGCTCTCTCTTACCTGGACAATGTTGTCTGCTGTAGTCCACTGGGAAGATATCATCTCATCCATGATGGAACTTGCTACTGAGCGGTCGAGAGATAAAAGTTTGTATGCATATGACGTCGTGTCAACATCATCTGGGTAGTTCTTCGACGTTCCGAACGGAGACTCTGCAAAATGTCAGTTCACCAAACGCTATTGTGGAGATCTGTTTACTACTCACGTATGAAATAGTTCCAGGTCCGATCAAAGTATTTGAGACTTAGAAGGTTCCTATTTAAATAATGTTAGCTCACTAAAACCCAAGAGTAATTTTTATGTCGCCTGCTCACAAATCGCCAGTAAGCTCGTATGTCAGGAGTTGGGCAAAATTGTCGGGAACCACCACTCCTGTGTCTGTCTCTGAATAGAGGTGCCCTGCTTCCCTTCGAAGCCAGTCCCTCCCTCTGCGAACCGGGTCTTCCAGGACGTTCAAGAGTGCTCTTCGCATATTCGGGACATCAACAAAGACAATTGTTTCCCGGAACCCCACTGACTGTGCAGCGATGACATTTTCCAATTTGTCGTCGACGAAGACTGCTTCGCTGGGAGCCATCTGGATCTGCTTCAGAACGTGGTGAAAGAACCGAAGTTCCGGCTTACACATTCCAGCCTCGGACGAAGTGAAAACTCGATCGAAAATATTCCAGTTGAAATCTTTACCCCTGAGGATCTCCCAATCTGGTCTGGATATATTCGACATGGCGTAGATCTTCAGGTCCGGGTGGGCCGCCCTCAACTCGGTGATGGTTTCTACCACTTTGTCATTCTGAGCCTGCGAGTCTCTAGCCTGTTGGAAAGCAATTTTGACGTCCTCCACAGGGACGTTTCCGTGTCCTGCTAGCTGTGAGAAGCATTCATCTTCGCCAATTTCTCCACAGTCGTATTTGTACCATGTTGGTGAGTTGCGAAACTCCTTCAAGAGCTTTGGATCAACAGACAGATTGGTTGGCGGTTTCCAGCGGCAGAGGACATCGCCGAGGTCGAAGATGATCGTCTTCACAGGCGGTCCAGCCATGTGAGAAAAGAGAGGATATGAATTTTAAATTTATGAGACCAGAAAACTGGGAGAAATGTTTGGGGGATAGAATGCTGTGAAGGAGTAACAGGCGTCGATTTAAATCTTAGCTATTAGTTGCCAAAATGACGGTAGATTCCTGAGACACCATGCTGTCCCCGAATGGGACCTCATTGCGATCCAGAGCAAGGCGCAGTTTGATGTTCGTCTTTCTGGACAGCCTGCGCCCACTGCTACGGGTAATTAGAAGCTGACGAATCCCTCTACGGAACGTCGGAAGCACACATCAGCACTCTTCGCATTGCTGATAGCGGTGAAGCGCTGTAACGCCGTGGCAAAAACATCGAATGAGGTCTTGGCACCGGAACTCTTCGGCGGTTGAATAGAACGGTGCTCTGAAATGACGGTTTCACACATCAGACCACTTCGAAACTTGGTCCTAAGATGAGGAACAAAAGAAAAGGAGAATATCGGTGTAGAAAGAGCCTTTCGTCCGAAGAGTACAGCTGCCTGAAGCAAATGACTAGCAAAAAGGATTGTAAGGTCTTTAAACAGGGAGAACATGAGACAAACAGATTCATGATACGAGAGTCTGTGAATGCAGCTCGGTCGACTAACGGACATCTTCGGAACCTTCGGAACGACAGGGGTGCTGTATCGTACCCCTGACAACACCCACTTTCTCTATCCAATTCAGACTTGACTTGATTTCGATTTGGGACTTATTCCGTACCAATTCTGAATTTACTGGGATTCGTTAGAGTTTGGGTTAAGAGGATGTGGGTCAGCCTTAGGAATCTCCCTTAGTTAGACGGTTTAATTCAGGTTTGAATCTGTATCAACTACCCCCTCGGTAGGATACATATTTTGCCGACGATTATAGGCGGCTTGTGTTTCGCCTTATGGCCGATGATAGGCCGAACTGTACGCTCGTCTGTCTAGCCATGACTATTACGATATCTTCATGACTCGTCATTTATAATCAGCTGATGTTTTCCATCGTATGATCAGATTCTAGTTAGGCGGCTGACAAAGCAACAGCAGAAAGCTCTGATCAAAGTAGCTCTTGGGTTGGTATTATTTATCACAGCCTGGAGATGTAAAGACGCACTCAAAGAATTCATTACTGCTCTCCCTCCATCTTGCTTCTCACAGTAATCTCACCCGATACTCCTCTGATCCAGGTTCCGACACAATGGCCAATCAAGTCCTGCAACTGGATAAGATCGCGGCGCCCGATGACTTACCAGAGGTGATGCCAGTCCTTTTCTCATGGAACTACATCCCACGGCTGCCGCCATTCATCAACGCACGGGAGTGGACCTTTGAGCTGCCTATTGATACCAACCGCGATGCTGTCGACCCTTCTTGGCGCAACTCGTTTCCCATCAATCCCAAAGCTGCGAGTCTGCCCTATCATACTGGCCTGACATTCGCGCGCCACAACCGGTTCTGGAGGTCGGCACTCAGATACGCAGCAGAGCTCTGTGAACTTCTTGCCACAGATCAGAGCTACAATAATACAAACCTAACGCGGGGAGGTACCCTAGCAAGCATCGGCCAGCGGGAACTGAAGAAGCCTGAGGGCGAGCGCTTCGTCACTTTTGCGATCAATCTCTTCCCACAGGCAGATGAGGAACGCATGCAATTGATTGCTGCTGGCATTTTATTCGTCGTGACGTTCGATGGTACTTTCTCCCTTTGATTCCTTGATTTGTACTCAGCTCGAGTTCTATATTGATTAACGTTTTAACTGCTATGACAGATTCTTGGGAAGAAGCTCCAAGCGAGTCGGTAAGTCACTGAGTACATGTCTCATATCCCCCTTGTCTCCTCCACCCTTACGCTCTGCGGTTGCATGCTCGTGGCATACTCCACTTTCAAAGCCACAGAGCTTGCCGCTATCTCTATTCGACTTTCCGCTCTGCTACTCTCCATAATCTCATATGGTCATGCGTAAAAGCAACAAACTAACCAAAACCACAGCTCCAAAACGTCCAATCCGACTTCGTCGCGCGCCTCCGCGGCGAAGCCAGCTCCACATCCACCGGCAGCCCATCCAACGCCCGCACGCCTCTCCAGACCCGCATCGACGAGATCGTCTCCCGCTGCCACTCCTGCGACGCGCGCACCGGCACCACCTGCGGCGCCGACTTCATCGCCGCGCTAATCGAATGGGTCCAGCACCCGCCACCGGCGCCCGCCAACTTCGCCACGCCCCGCGCGTACCTCGACTACCGCTGGGACGACGCCGCGAACGCGTGGCTCGTCGCCGCGTGCCGGCTCAGCATCGCGTCGCCCATCCCCATGGGTGAGCCGCGCCTGGCGCGGCTCGTGCGCCTGGTGGGCGATCACGTGTCGATTGTGAATGATCTGGGGTCGTTTGATAAGGAGTGGGCGGCGTTCGAGGGCGGGCGGACTGTCGTGCTGATTAATGTTGTGCAGGTGCTAAGGGAGAGCTGTGGGCTCGGCGTGGATGATGCGAAGGCTGCGGCGTTCGTGCTGCAGTTGCTGAATGAGAGGGAGATACGGGAGGAGCTTGAGCGCTTGAAGAGAGACGAGGAACTGGGCGTTGAGCATTGGCGCTTTGTGGATTCGTTGCTGGCGCTTATCGCGGGCAATACGTTTTATACCATGACGACGTCTAGATACGGTGGTGAGGCAGCGAGGATCAAAAAGGATTGATTCCGACAGCGCCCATGAGTATTCTTAAGTTCATCAGGTAGAAGATAGACTGGGACTATCTACGAATGCATAAACTCTTCGTATTTTACCCCGATATTATTGGCTTATAGTAGTGCCCGTTATTCGCTTTGCGGGATATATCGGTTCTTGAAAGAAACATGGGGTAATTACCAAACCCAACTTTTTTTTTTCCCCTAAACCCAACCATCACCGGCGAAACCCAACTCTTAGATCGGGTAGGTTAACCTTCTCTTTTAAAAAACCTTATAATAGATATCTGTGGGCTTAGCTATTACCATAGTAGTACCTAAGTACTTAGAGTTTAATTTCGTTAAGGTTCTACTGCGGTTAAAAGATGGTAGATTTTGATGAAGAAGTTGGGTTTGGCCGACCATTGTTGGGTTTAGCCGGTGAGAGTTGGGATTAGTAATTGCCCCAAGAAACATCTTTTAACGTAGTGTAGCTAATCAGGTCGTCACTAGACGTACAATCTTTGAATAAGGCCGTGCTCTAGCCAGCTGACGTCATCCATGCCTTCCCGCGCACACGCCCTATACATGGTCGTCCCCCCCCCCCCCCCCCCCCTTCCCCCCCCCCCCCCCCCCCCCCCCCCCCCCCCAAACCGCAATCGCGCATCGGCACTCCGTGCCTCTCATCCGCAAAACCGCACGTCATCCCAACTGGTCAGCAGTACTGTCGGTCGGTGAGGTACAGCCACGCCGCGGGGATCGGTGGAGTGGTTGGGAAGCGTACACGAGCATGGGCCCTGGCTCCAACCCCTTCCAGATAGCTACTCTCGATCAAGCTTGGTTCAATGAACCATAACGATAACTGCAGTATATCAGAAAGTCAAGCATTGGGCCTAGATGCGCACGGTCGATTCAGGCTGAAAAATAGAGATTGCTTAGTATTTTCAGCCACTCACTTTTTCCCCGGTAAAGGCGTTTAGTATTTTAGAAGATTAACAAACGACGACCCAGCTATGCTGCAGTAGGACCTTGATATTTCAATAGCTAAACATACCTGTTGTGCTTCTGCGGAATCTGTGGAAGGTAGCAACTATAGTAATCGAAGAGTCTATGGTTTCCTCGTTATCCACAGACTAAGTACCTTCATCTATTAAACAAGCCATCCAATTGACCAAGATGTCGTGCTTATCAGACAGCCCGTTAATGAAAAAGCAGAGATCGAATGACTTGTTCAATCTTTCACCATCGTGCTGCCTTACAACGCCCCCATAGTTTCCAAGACTAAGTGGTTGATGAAGATGTATATTATGTGGGCCGACGTAAACAGGTGTGGCGGTGACGCACATCTTAACATCGGGAGGTATCTTCGTTGAAAATATAACCATGCGTACCGAAGCATTCTTGGGAGACACAATCGTAGTACCGCATTCTTGTACTATTAGTAGTGTTCAAGATGTTGGATGCGGAAACATACCAAAGTACTTAGTGAAGTTCGAAGCCATAGGACTCTGCTGAGCTGTTTTTTAGTCAGCCAAGTTTATACTGGTGTCGGGAAGGAGTGAGCAAGCAGACGGTCGAACGACTTATTCGAAACAATAATTTCAATATTCGAGCAAAGGACAGAGAAGGAAGAACGGTCCTTTCACGATGCGTACTGCAATAGAGTTGAAATGGGTTAGTTGACGGGGCAATTTCAAAAGGAATATTCACTGTACTAGTCATGTTTGTGATGTTGGCCGCCATGTATTATCAGCAGAAGAGAACTTTTAGACCGTAATTATAATATAGTACCTGACGTTGTTCGATATCTACCCTATTATAGAGCTTATATAATTTAGTAAATCTAAGAGAGAAATTCTCCAACGTGAAATTCATATTTTCTGTCGACATCTATTGCCTAGTTCCCTTTTTCTACCGAACAGGCAATCCAGTGAACCAGAAGGGCGCTAGTCTTCGGCAACCCGTCATTGTAAAAGTGAAGATTGAAGGCCTTATTTTTTCTTGCACCATCCCACTGCCTGATGTAGCCACCGCAATTGCCAATATTTTTCACGTGATTACCCATGGTAGCCACGTGACCAATGTAAACCGGTGTGGCGGTGATGATCATATGGACATTACGAGGAATCTCCGTTGAGTAGTAGACTAGAGCGTTCCAGCCACGACCGTCGTATTTGGCGTGCGCTGTACCACAGTCTTTACTGTCAGTTGAGTTTCAAGGGTTTCATGGTAAAACGTACCGAAATACTTGGGGAACTTCGAAGCCGGAAAATTGTGTTGCGCTATGCCTTGGTTAGCTGAATTACTAACGATGGTAAGGGCGAGAGTATAGGTAGGTGCCATTATCCCTGGAGGATCTTCCTTACTCTTGTCTGGGCTCACTGGGCCATTGGGTGTGCTACTGGCGTTGGGGTGTGTTGTGCTTCCGGACTGATTCGGTACATCTTCCGTACAAGAAACCACAACTCGAGTTAGTGCGAGCCTGAGAACTACAGAATGGGCATGAGAGCAGTATCCCAGTCAGACATACCTTTGATAGCCTCAGCAGCCTTCTTTGTATCCTCCACATCCTGTGGGTCCAGAACAAACAGAAAGTCTTTGGCAGCAGCAGCAGCCGCCGCCGCCGCATAGTTCTGCCATTGGTCATTCTTGTGGGAGTCGGCAAAATCGCAGATGCCACGGATGACCAGACAGGGGAAACTGTCCATCAGACCCGCCGCCTCCATCTCAATACACATGGTCTTCGGGCCAGCCAGCTTGACAATCTCAGACCTCCTCTCTGCGTCTTTGACGACCTCGTTCCCCGACGCGATGGTGCCGAAAAAGAGCGATGGCCCATGATTACGCTTTTCCTGGATGACTGGGCACTTGAATTTGGGAAACTTCCGAGAAAGTTCACCGACGAAAGCTCCCGTCCGGTTTCTTTGTAGAAATGCGTCTGAGTCAAGTCTGGAGAGGGCCGAGAGAAGTGCCATCGGGGGCTTATTGAGAACGCCGGTCTGTACAAAATTGCCGCCGTCCTCTGCCTTGCCATAGTCGTACTGCACAACCCCAGGGCTTTTAGGCCCAGGGCTGCTGATCACTACGTCGCCGAGATGAATGTCCGGCTCGGTTTCTTGCACACCAGCACCAATGCCGACCAAAAGGCCGACGCGGACATGTGAAAAGCTGCTAAGCATTGACGTGCCGACGACGGTGGCGCTGGTGTTACCGTAAACGCCCTTTGGCAGGCAGGCGATGACGATATTGTGCGATCCAATGCTTCCCCAGAAGTAGGTGTTCTTGTCTGTGTCCGGCTTCGTCCAGTTCTTTGGCCGCTTATGCTCTTTTTCAAGCGCCGCAATTGCCGCTGCCTGCTCATGCGGAAGAGCTGCAATCCAGCCCACGGTGTAGGCCGTAGCATCGAGCGACTCCGTCATTTTGCTTTCTCAATTCTAAATAAGGATTAGCGCATAATAGACCCATGGCTACATAGACGAAGAGCTCACGAAGGGATAACACAATGGAGTGGTAGTTTCGAAGTGTGATGCACTATGATTAGGATGACGGCCCTTAAAAGGATGAGCTTACTCAAGGAACTTGGCAAAGTAGGTAGCAACTATGATTTGATGGTAATCGTGACCAGTCTGCATGCGCTAGGCGGACATCTCAGCTTGCATGCCCTGCAGATGACCGCCCACGCTCTGATTCCATCCAGCGATCTATCGATTACTCCAGGCAGCGACACAACGTGCATCTTCCTATACCTTTTACGTAGAGCTGAATATGGGTCCCAGGAACATGCATGCACTTTGATAGAGAATATAACAATGCTGTGTCCGCCCATTATGCGCTAGCCACGTGTTTGAAAGTAGGACTTACAACTTGATTAATTGGTTGCGTGGCCAGCTGAGTCTCCGCAGTCCCGCTCAGCCTTCGGATAGTTGTGGGGTTTGTTGCGGGAGAGTTTCCATTGTTGTGATAATTTCGAACATCTTTCTGCCGATCTTTTTGTTTTCAGTCCTTTTCCAGTCATGTGTCCTTAGCTGGCCAGCTCTTCGGCGTTTCCGGCTCCACTCGGCTGAAAAGTCTCCGCCATTGTTTTACAAGCCAATAGCATCCGTGATTCCTTCGTCTATGCATCTATTAAATGCAGGTGTCTAAGAATGACAACCCATGCGGCGTTTAATGCGCACACCAGTTCTTTGCTTCTTTGAACAATTGAAACTGTACCGCAGGCCTGACCGAGCATAAGGGGTATGGGGTCGGCAACGGCACCCTAAACCGAAAGGAGCAACTTTTGAAGAGCTGAGTGCTGAGGTCCATGCACGGCCCCACGCGAAGGCAACAGCTGCACGCCGCACATCAATTTCCTATATCATAAGCAAGCCCGTGTTATATCTCCCAAATCTACGGTAGCGCCGCCGAGATACGAATCTGTGCATCTACGATACAGATCGGTCCCACAGATCTGTTTTTCTTTTCCACCCAATGTCCAAGGCAACGTCGACCCTGTAGCGCTCAATGGCGCGGTCTTGGTGCACTCACTGGGAGCTCTATTTTGAAAAGCATCTCGAAATATATGCTGAACTAGTCAACCATCTAATCGAATTTACGGGTAGCGTCGACATGAGAAAGAGTATCGACTAGATTGAAACATTGATAGTAGGCATGGCTTTGCAGACCTTTACCGTGTTTCGAATGAAAACACTAATGGGTTGCATCTGCTGATAGAGCAGCCGAGTTTAAGCTGTGATAGACCATTACATTATTAGTCGTACTACTATGGTGGCCTGTACAGTCTGGACTGAACGTCAGTGCCGGCGACCGGTGATCACTGTCGGCCGTGCCGCCGGTGGAGGGACAACTCATGATCGGCGACCAGGGGAAGCGAAACAAGTCATGGCGAGAAAACTTCTCAAAGTTGCAAGCAGGCGCTTACCTCGCCTCCTCTCGCCGCCAGAGCCCTGTTTCATGGGTCTTTTATTGCATCGGGAAATGCTCAGTAGAAATGGCAGGGATGGGAAGAGTGCAGCTGCTTTCTTGAAAATGACGGGTGACGCCAAAGCTCGTGCTTTTTCGGCGCGTTGCGTAGTCGTGAACACAGGCAAGTACACAAACGACATATGGTTAATTTCAAAATCATCGGCAAGTCGAATACAAAGTTGCTGATCGAACATATTGTATTTCTCCATCACAATGAAAACATTTGCATTGCTGTCTGTGCAGACTGCGTTGGTGACACGATAAGCTCCAGCCCAAAGTCAGCCTTGCTTGCAGCTGAGCAGACGACATGGGACAACTGGAATGGGGCAAAGCCCCGCATTACAGCCTCACCGATAGTTGCTCACATGAGACAATGACCAATGGGCATCGATTGCTCCAGCCACTGTTCGATAGATTTGTAGTGCTTTGAGTAGTGCGGCTGAACTCTCATTCTCCGTGGAGCAGACCTTCTCCTTTACACCTACCGACACCCCTTTCAGAAATTCAATCCATTCGCTGCTTCAACGGAAAGCTAAAGTCAAGTAACAATCATGAGCGACGATTGGTGGGACGACTTCACCAACAATCTAGCAACAGACTTCGCCCCTCTTGTTGCACTTTTCGGAGAATCCCCAACAAAGCAATACCTTAGCGAATGCTTGACTGCAACCGACATTCTGATTTTTGCGACCGCGCCTCTTGGAGTCATTACAGCTGTGGTCTCAGCAATTCGGGTGTGCGGTACACCGTCACTCCGCGCATTCATTGGCCGCGCTCAGGAAGGAGCGGGAAACGCCGAGGCTGAACTCTGCTCGTCGACCAGCCGCGATGTCTGTGAGCTCTACAACAACGGCGGTATAGCCCGGGTATTTGGACGCCCCAAGCTCCTCGAAATCGTTTATGATTCATCTGCGTCGCTGGATGACTTCTTCGACAACAAAGAGGGAGGACATCCCACCGCGGGCATATACTCGTTTGAGGAATTCAAGAACTCCAAGGACACCGAAGAGCCTTCTGAATGGCAGGAAGTTTACGGCCGGTCGCATGCGAACTTCCAAACATTGAAGCAATACGTTCTGAGGCAAGAGAGAAGGCAGAACAAAGAGAAGGGATTCGCGCCAAACCCTAATCTTTCGCTGAACGTCGGCATTAAACCACGTGGGAAACTTTGGTTCTATGCCGCAGCCGCATTTGGAGTTGCCTTGCAGTCAGCAGTGCTGGTGTGGGCAGCTCTAGCTCGGTATTGGTTCCACCTCGTGCGACACGACGTACAAGACAAATACGCAGTCCCATTCACAATCGTCGGAACCATCTTCCTTGATTTTGGTGTTGGTCTCTGCGCATATCTAGTGGAAAGAAGCACGAAAGAGAGAGTATTCACCAGAAAGTATGATCTCAGGACAGGCGGCCCTCCGCCGAGACCAAGAACAAGGATATACTGGGTCCAGCCTGGTAACCAAGTAATTGGTGACCAAATCTTTGATTCTTTCGCCTACACCGACTTCAATACTCCTCTCATCAAGTACACAACGTCCTGGAAACAGGATGAAGTGGAGGAGGGCGCTATATCAACAATGAAACTCATCTGGGCAGCTGTCTTGTTTTCTCTTGTTGGATTTGTTCTGCAATTCATAGGCCTAAGAGCCTGCCACTCATCTGTCTCTCTTGCACAGTTGGCCATTACGGTCGTTATGAGTATCGTCCGGGCCTCACTCCGTACTCAACGAATGGAGAAGAAGGATAACTTGACAAAAGACGCAAACCTTTTTCAAGGTCATGAACTGGACTGGCTAGCACTTGAGATCAATCGACCTACAGGAGGTCGAACAGATTGGTGCAAAGATTGCCGACATCTTTGGATGGTGTTTAGCGGTCACAGCAGCAGCACTTTCCAGGACTACGAGGAACGTTTCGAGATCGAAATACCGAAAGACGACTCAAAGCACAGGATTCTCCGGTTGGGCTTTGGCAGCTTTGGCAGCCGGGCTCCTGTGGGTCTTTGTCGGATCCAAGACGATGGCTGCAATGAGAACCAGTACAGGAGGATTTATAACGTTTCAGAACTGCATCCTTCATATCCAGGCCCGAATGAGATCATTCATCAGCAAACTCTGGAAGCCTCGACGAAATCATTTTTCCATAGGATTCGGCTGGCACGCATGACTGGTTTGGACGACTTCGACTCAAGCACCAGTAGGAAATGGAATCAAACCTTAGTTTCAGTCAGGCACACTGCTGAGCTTCTAGCGAATGCTATAGAAGCCACTGCATCAGTCCTGTTCATCACTGACACCACTCCCCCTATCGAGATTGAGAACAGATGGAAGAATTCTTTTGCCATGTTTTGCCCTTTTGATATCGCTGTTCGTGGCTGTAAAGATTCAGACAGCAAAAACGGCGTTTCGACTTCATTCTTCACTCTACGCCGGGAGGAAGGGCCAAACCCGGAAGATCCACCGGAAGGACCATGGCAGGCTGACAGAGCCGAGCTGGAATCAATTTTAGGTCTTTGGACTTGGTCACTCATGAACAGACCTGGCTATCCTTCTCAGAAGTCCAAGGTACGCTCGACGCGACTCTTCAAAGAATCTGCCCGCGTTGAGCTTGATCTGTGGCGTCAGAGAGCGATGAATAGGATCCGAACTATCACTTTGAATTTGGAACCATCCAGCAAGAACTACCTACTTCAAGTAGATCTCAAACAGCCTAAACCGCAGATTTCGCTGTGGTGGAATGATGGCAAGAAATTCGTGATGGACCCAAGAATAGGAACAATCGGCTCGACGAATCCTCCGCCTAGTGAGGCAGATGACATCCGACAATTTTACGGTTTACAGGACCTTGACGAGCCTAAAGCATCTTTAGCAGAAGTTCGTGCTCTAGAACTCGGATCCACCAAGTCCCTGATGCTTGCTTGTGCTCAAGAGCTTTACAAAAATTTCTTTGACACAATCATGCGTACTATTAAGCATATCGGTGGTCAAACGAAAGTGAATAAGGGACGAGGGGGCTTCTATCTTGCAAACGAAAACATCGACCGTCTTCACACCGCTTTTGTTCAAGGTGGGCTAGGATCTATTGAGAATGCTTTTGCCTGCATAGTTCCGGTGCTTTACATGCAAAAGAAACTTCCTCCTGTAAGCAGTGCTCTTGCAGCAGCAAGGGAGATTGCAACCCGACAAATGAGGGAAGGAGAATGGGAGCAAGCATCAAACGTCCTGGAACTGGCTCTTCAAAGCCTTCCTTCATCAAAGGATCCTTCTTCAACCGAACTTTCAGCGGAGGTAAAGAACGATCGAAGATTGTGGGTTCTTACCTTGTGTGAATGCTACCGAGGAGCCCTAAAAGACGAAAAGATGAGGACACTGGGATTCTCTTACAAGGGCATTTCAAGGTTACTTCGGGATGAAAACCTCAGCTTGACCAAAGACCGAACGCCGCTTTTTTATGTCGA